GTTTCACCTGCTCCTCACCCTGGCTCGCACCCAGCAGGTAGGCAAGCCCAAGCGCAGGAGGGAGCTTCCTCGCTTGGACTGGGCCGGTTCTGTGATTCTCCCAGAAGCTCTCACCTGCCTGAGAGCTCCCCTTGCCCCTGGGTGGGTGGGCGGGCAGCTGTAGGGACCGGTTGCACCTCATTCCATGTCCCTCCTTCCTAGGGAGCCACAGCAGTGGCCGGAGCCGGCATCACTCAGAGCATCTGTTTGCCCCTCCTGAGTGTGTACCAGCTCAGCACCAATGGGACGGTGCAGGTGAGTGCCAGCGGCCTGCCAGGCGGCCCCGGCTGCCCAGGCCACACTTCCGGTGGGAAGATGCGCCTGTAGCCCCCTTCACTCGCTCCGGAAGTTGTTCTCTTTAGTGGTCTGTGTACCACACGGATGGAATGGAGTCTTCCCCGCCCCACCCTGACCTCCAGCAAGAGAAGCTCACGCAGCTAGTTAGTGGCAGATCTGAGTCTAGAGCCCAGGATTCTTTTATCTCTGCCTCGTGTTCTTTGTCACTGCTGGCCTTGGGCCCTCTCTGGTCTTCCTGGTGGTCAGGTGGCGACCATACCCATTCCAGGAGACTTTCTCCTCGAAGCGGCCAGGCCGCCTTAGCTTCCGTGCTGCACAGAGGCCCTGCTGTGCCTGTCAGCCGGGTTTCTTGGCGCCATGTCCTGCCATTTGTGTCGTAGACACCCAGCGCCTCTCGGAAGTCTCTGGATGCCCCCTCGTGGCCAGGGGTCTACCGCCTGTCCATATCTCTGATGGAGCGGCTCCTCAAAACTCTGCGCTACAACTTCCTGACGGAGGCCTTGGACTTCGTGGGTGTTCACCAGGAGCGGACCTTACAGGTCAGGGGCTGCCGGGGTGGCGCTGGAGGGTTACGGGGGCACTGAGCCACTCAGGGCTTGAGGCCTGGGAGTCGAGGGGTATCAGTGCCCCCGTTTCTGAGGAACTGTGAGGACTGCTGGCTGACTGGCTGAGCAGGGGCCGCCGCTCCGCTGAGTGAGGCAGACGGAGGGTCTGGGATCAGCTCAGGCAGAACCCCTTGGTTGGAACGCCGGGCCACCCGTTGTGCTGCTGCTTCAGTGTCTGCGGGCCCAGGACCTGTCCGCCCCACGGGAGGACGGGGACAGGTGTGTCGGGTCCCCGAGTCACCCCATCCTGCCCTGTCCCTTCCCAGTGCCTCAGCGCAGTGCGGACGGTGCAGAGCCTGGCCTGCCTGGAGGAGGCGGACCACACCGTGGGCTTCGTCCTGCAGCTCTCCAGCTTCATGAAAGAGTGGCACTTCCACCTGCCGCAGCTCCTGCGGGACGTGCAGGTGAGGCTTGGGCGCGAGTCCTTGGCGGGTCCCGGGGAGATGGTCGGGGACGGGGCAGTGGGCGCCGTCCGGGGCCCCTGCAGCGGACTGTGCTCAGAGAGCACGGGTTCGGGTTCACATGGCTTTCCCTGGAGCTAAACGTTCCCCCCGGCATCGGGCAGCCTCACCGGTTGAAAGCCTGGGGGCTTTATTGTCGGACCTCGGTTCACTCCTTTAGGAACAGGTCTGAGGCTGGGCCCTCGCCAGAGAGCAGGGCAGGGAAAGCACTCAGGCTCTGGAGTCAGACAGGCCTCTGTCTTTGCTGGTGCGCGGCCTTGGCCGAGTCACTTCACCACTCGGAGCCGCCGCCTTTTTCTGTAAAATGGCAAAATAAGCCCCACCTTATTTATTGACCGAGGGCTGATACTGTATCGGCCTTTAGGTCCCTGGGAAGCCGCCCAGGTGTCTGCTGGCCCAGAGTGCGCAGGGACTCAGTGAGTCAGGGGTGCGGTGGCGCTCTGTGGGGTCCTGTGAGGTTGCGCTCGTCGGTTGGCTGGGGCTGCCGCCTCGAGAAGCCCTTCACCCTCCCGTGTTGGCTGCAGGTCAACTTGGGTTACCTGTGCCAGGCCTGCACCTCCCTCCTGCACAGCCGGAAGATGCTGCAGCACTACCTGCAGGTACCCGAGCCCCTTCCCCCCGCGGCTGCCTGGAGTGCCCCACCCTGGCATTCCTCCGTGCTCCCCCTCCACTTCTCTCTCCTCCAGAACAAGAATGGGGATGGCGTCCCCTCAGCTGTTGCCCCCCGAGTTCAGCGGCCACCCACAGCTGCCCCTGCTGCCCCCTCCTCCTCCTCCTCCAAGCAGCCCACCGCTGACACAGAGGCCTCGGAGCAGCGAGCCTTGCACGTGGTCCAGTATGGCCTCCTCAAGATCCTCAGCAGGACCTTGGCGGCCCTGCGCCACTTCACCCCAGACGTCTGCCAGATCCTGCTGGACCAGGTAACCGCGCCGCCTGTGCTGCGCCACCGGCCTCCCACGGTGGCCCGAAGACTTGGCTGTGCCCTGCTCGCCTCTTGAGAGCTGCCCGGGTCCTAGCTGGGCCCTGAGTGCTCCGGCCTTGCCTTGCAGTCCCTGGACCTTGCTGAGTACAACTTCCTGTTTGCCCTGAGCTTCACCACTCCCACCTTTGACTCGGAAGTGGCCCCTTCCTTTGGGACCCTTCTGGCCACAGTGAATGTGGCCCTGAACATGCTCGGAGAGGTGAGTCGGGTGCTGTCTGACCCCGCGTTCAAATCTTCCTCCCGCCCTGCCACCTCCTAACCCTGACCGTGGCACATTTACCCAGCCCCCTGAGCTCGTTCCTCATCACACGAGGGGTGTGATGGCTCGCCTCTGTTGAGAGTTACGGTGGGGATTAAGTGAGGCGACCGATCAGATTGCTCAGTGCAGGCCCTGCCAGGTAGGAAGCTCTCGATGAGTCGAAGCTGTCATTGCTAGCTGGGCTGTTTCTTTTTTACCCCTTTTTCTCTTCCTCCAGCTGGATAAGAAAAAGGAGCCCCTTACACAGGCTGTGGGGCTCAGCACACAGGCAGAAGGGACCAAAACACTGAAGTAAGAAAGCCCTCCTGGAGTGCGGTCTGGGGTGGGGGCAGCCGCCTGGCACCTTGTGAGCTTAGCCCTCTGCAACGGCGCCAACCCTGCCCCGCCCAGGTCCCTCCTGATGTTTACCATGGAGAACTGCTTCTACCTGCTCGTCTCCCAGGCGATGCGCTACCTTAGGGACCCGGCCGTGCACCCTCGGGATAAACAGCGGATGAAGCAGGAGCTCAGCTCAGAGTTGGTATGAAGGGACAGAGGGCCCTGGCTGGAGGGACTGGGGCCGGTGGAGAGGAGGCCGCCCGGGGCGCGGGTGCCGGTTCTCATCGGGCTGCTTGTTCTTTCCCAGAGCACGCTGCTCTCCAGCCTGTCGCGCTACTTCCGCAGGGGAGCCCCCAGCTCCCCCGCCGCCGGCATCCTCCTCTCGCCTCAGGGCAAGTCCACCTCCCTCCCCAAGGCCAGCCCCGAGAGTCAAGAGCCTCTGATCCAGCTGGTGCAGGCCTTCGTCCGGCACGTGCAGAGATAGGGCAGCGCCGCGCTGCCCGCCTGCCACTCCACCAGCCTGCACAGCAGCCCGACGGCCCGCCTGGGGCCTGGCAACTCCTGCCACCCTCTCCCCCGAGCAGCCGCAGCTCCAACCACCGCACACTGGCGTTATTTTTGTAATAGTCAGGAGGTCAGCAGCAGGGCCGGGGAGCCACAGTCTGCCGTGCTCACCCCTTCACCTTCCAAGTGCCCCCCGGGTTATTCCTTTTCTTCAAGCATTCCCCAGAGCACTTGACCCCGGCCCAGGGGAGAGACGGGGAGGCCGATGTCACGTGTAGCCGAGGGAGGCTGTGTGATGCTCGGGTTTGAAAAGCTCTTTTCCATGCTCTGTTCTTGCAGTTTTTTTGGTAATACTGTGGTCTATTTATACAAATATTAAAATACTGTTTATAGAGATCTGTGTGACGTGTGCCTCCACAGCCCAGTAATGACCGGGGAGGTCTCAGTGCCTGGGGCAGTCTTCCTGGACCAGGGTCCCGGGGGCGGGCTGTGAGCTGGCGGCTGACTCACTGGCACCCCTCCAGTAATGGGGGGGGGGGTTGCCGTGTGGTCACTTGGATTCCCCCCCCCCCCTTGGCCTGTCCTCACCTGTCTCCCCGACCCGAGCTCATCACGGGGAATAGCCTTTCTTGACACTCTCTGCTCCTTCCTGTTCATGGCCAGGCCCCTGCCTGCCTCTCCCCAGGCCAGGGCCCTCAAACTCATGTTCACCGGGGGCGCATCAGCCTCACGGTTGACTTCAAGGGGCCGGGTGTAACTTTAGGGCTGTCCAAGTGTAACTGCTCCTTAGCTGTTAGGTGAGGAAGTACATTCCCTGCGTGCCCTCGGGGCCTGGTCATGGGCTGGGTCTGGCTGAGACACGTGTGGGCTGGGATGGCTATGAATGCGGCCCAACACAGAACTGTACATTTGCTTAAAACATTCCAAGATTTTTTGTGATTACGTGTTACAGTGCGTTTACTGTGTGGCCCAGACATGCCAAAAAGTCTGGACCCCCCTGAAAAACCCGGCCTGCAGCTCAAAGCCTCCACCTGAAGTTCCCAGAACCGGACTTGCCTCGGCGAGGGGCCCTGCATGGCCGCTGGCCAGGTGCGGAAGCTCCAGGGGGTGAGCGTCTCTGTGATACTCCCTCGTCCGTGAGGACAGGAGGGCCCAGGGCTCGGCGCCCTGGGTCGGTGCCCACCGGGAGCACTGACGGCTGTCCATCAGTGAGTCCAACCGTGAACTCGGAGAGTCCGCTCCACTGCCCACGGCCAGCGAAGCCCTGGGGAGGGACACGGTGACTGTCACACAGCCTCACGCACAGGAACCGCGCTCACTCCCATCTGAGTGCCCAGGCCCCGGGAGGAAGGGAGTGCAGGGATCGGTGCTTTAGGGAACTTCCCTTCCCTCTGCCCTACTGCTGCTGGGCAGGGCCAGCGCACTGTGTACTGTGTACGCCGCCCACCCGGGGGAGGGAGGGAGGGAGCGAACGGGAAGTCTCCCCCTTCCGACCGTCAGGGCCCGCCCCAGGCCCGCGACCCCAGGCAGGCAAGTGCACACCAAGGGTGGTTTATTATTCGTCACTGGCTAGAGAGCGAAGCACAGGCAGAGTAAAAAGATCAGTTAAAAAGTGAGTTGAGTGTGGAGAGGTGCAGGCTGCAGCCGCCATACTTGGCTCGAGCTCTAGGGTGCGAGGGGGAGGGTAGCACCGGGGAGATGCCGCTCGGTGGCCGGCCCTGCCTCTCTGGCCAGGCTCCCCTCTGCTCCAGTTTGCCCAGAGGTGACAGCGTCCAGTCCCACGGGCCCGCCGCAGACCCGCCTGCCCTTCCCCCTTTTGCTGCTTTTGGCAACTAAAAAGCAGTGCTCTCTTCGCCAGCGGTGAACCCCATGGCCTCCTCAGGCCCTCGACGCTGACCCCCCCCCGCAGGCCGAGGTGCTGAGCGCAGAGGCTGCAGCCAGCGTCTCCCTCCTCAGAGGAGCCAGGAGGGCTGGGGTGCTCGGGGGACGCAGGCAGGATCGGGGGGCTCCAGAACCAGGTCAGAAGCAGGGCTGGGGGAGGGGCAAGGGACATTCCACCTCTGAGGCCCCTCACAGCTGGTGACTGGGCAGGGACAGGAGGGGGTTGGTCCCCCACCCTGAGCGGCTGGCTAGGTCACCAGCAGACAAGACAAACGGCAGGGCTGCACCCATCCTGTCCTGCCCGGGACGGGACCAGCAGGGGCCTGGGAGGTCCTGCTTAGCTGAGCAGTTCCAAGTAGGTGACAGGGACCTTGCCCTTCTTGTTGCCCCTCTCGCCGACCAGCCAGTCGGGGTCCATGCCAGGCAGGCTGTAGACAGTGATGAGCTGGAGAGGGGAGCGGAAAGGGAAGGTCGCACCCCGGCTGGTTGGGGCGGGGCGGGGCTTGCCCGGGGATAAATGGGGACAGGGCTGTGCCCCCACTGTGACACGGGGGGGCACCTGCACTCCCGAGGTGGGCATTCACCCCCTCACCGGTTCCACAGCACCCCCGGGATCCCCTGGCCTCAGCCCCGCCCCCAGGGCCCCTCGGAGACGAAGGCAGTGGTGGCGTGGGGTCCCCAGGCCCAGCGAACCCAGCTCAGGTTCCGGGCGCCTGAGCCAGGCCCCTCCGCCGTCCTTGCGGCGCCCAGACGCACCTCGTCGGCCAGCAGGGCCAGCTCGCTGCTGTCGGCCGCCTCGTAGTCGTAGAGGACCCGGGCCTTGCGGGTGCCGCTGGCGGGTGGCGCCACCTCCTCCAGGCAGAGCGAGGCCTCTCCCGGAGGGGCTAGGCCCGCCGCCGAGGGCTCCATAGGCATGGTGGCCGCAGTGGTGGTGGGCGAGGTGCTGCTGAGGGGCGGGGAGGCGGGCTCCGTGGTGCCCACGAAGGTGCCTGGAAATCTGGAGAGTGCGGGGCACATCTCAGCACCCGGGAGCCAGATCCAGTCCCGTGTGCCCCCGGAACGCCAGGGGAGCCCACCGCAGAGGCCCGGGGGCGCGCCCGGCTACTTACATGGCTCCCTGGGAGCTGGCAGCATGGAGGGGAAAGTGAAGCAAGGGGACAGTGAGAGGCCCCCGGGCCCTGTCCCTGACACCTCCCGCCCCGCACCTGAGAAACCGCTCAGAGGTCCCCAAGACCAGGGCCCCCCACGGTCGTCCAGCCAGGGGTGTGCGGGCCCACCAGACAGGGCCCTGGGCAGGGCCTCGGCCGGCAGCCCTGCAACCCGCCCTGTGCGCTGTGGGGGGGGTCCTGGCTCGGGAGAAGCTCTCGCCCGAGGGAGGTGGGGCTGCTCATGGGGCCTGGGCGCCAGGGGACCCCAGCGGGCACCTGCCCAGCTGTTTCTGCAAGTCCAGCATGTGGCGGTAGCACTGCGCATAGTAAGTCGTCTGAGACTCGACGAACTCGTGCAGGCAGCGGAGGTGGTTCACCTGTGTGGGCGAGAGGCCAGTGGTGACGGGCCGGGAGGGGTGTCGGGGTGACACGTACCACTCCCGCCCCCCCCCCCACAGCGTTCCCGTGGCTCCTGCCCCCACCTCTCGCTCCTGGCGGGGAGGAGAGAGGTTCCCACCCTTGGGGACTTGCTCGTTCAGGACTAATTTGCCCTCTTACGGACCACGGGCTCAAGCACGCCCCTGCCCTCCCGCCTCCGAGATCCAGGTTCGCTCAGCCTCGTTCTGGATGATTGCAGTGGGGACATGAGGGGCGACAGGACTCACGTGAGTGCTACTGATTCCTTCCAGCAGGAGACGGGTCACCTCTGCCTGCCGGTCAAACTCTGTCTGGGCCACTCGGAGCTCCTGCTCGGACTGGGAAGAGTGGGGTGACAGTGTGAGGGTGACAATGGCCCCCAGCTTCCCTCCTGTCACCTTCTCCCGTGCCAAGGCCTGCCCAGGAGTAGCTGGCTCCTCCCCTCCCTGGCAGCTGTCACTTCCCCATGGGGATGCAGATGGACATCTGGGTGGCAGGGCTGCACTTCCCAGCCGACCTCAGGCCGGGAGCGACTGCCCTGCCGACCCCCCGAGGCCCAGTCCGCTGAGAGCAGTCCCAGAGACAGACCCTCAGGGGCTGTGCCCAGGCCCCCCCAGGCTGACACCGCCCACCAGGGGAAAATCCCACCCACAGTCACCCCGGGGGCCCACTGTGGAGGTGGTCTCCCCACGAAGGGGAAGCGGCAGCCCTCACAGCAGCCCCAGTGGGCAGGGGGCGCAGCCCCAGAGCTAGAAACAGGCCCGAGCCCCACAGCGGCAGCCGTGCCCAGCCTCCCACTTCCCGCCCGCCGCAGGCGCCCGCCCCAGGCCCCCCGCCCCACTCACCTTGTCCACCTCATCATTCCAGAGCTGCGGGCGCCACGGCAGGGCCGGTGAGCAGGGGTGGGAGGGGCACCGGTCAGCAGGGGGCAGCGGGCAGGGGAGGGCAGCTGAACCCCAGAACCTGTGCCCTGCCCCAGCTCCTCGAGACCCCCACCCTCTCCGCACCCCTGCCCTGCCCCATCCCAACCCAGAGCTGAGGCTGGGCTGAGGCCTGGGGGGAGGGGGCGCTTCCAGTCACACCCAGTCAACATGCCGCATGCAGGGAGGGCACAGCCAGCTGGAAAGTCCTGCTTGGGTTTCCCCGGTTGTGCAAGCCCCAGGCCCTGACTAGGGCTCAGGGGAGACCGAGCGTCCCCCAGCCCCACCCCAACCCTGGGCTGAGTCTGCTGGGTCGGGAGGCAGGGCCGTGTGACCCCGGGCCAGTCACTGAACCTTTCTGTGCTCCGGCAGAGGAGGGCAGCCTCGCGCCTGAGTCACACTGGGGCTCAAGGGCAAAGAAACAAACAGGGCAGTCGCCACCCTCCAGGACATTCTCCCTGCCACTCGGCCCAGAAGGGGGACGGAAGCGTGATCCAGAGTCGAGAGAAGAAAGACCCGCCTCCCAACAGGACTCAGGAGACCCCTTTGTGCGCCCCGCTGTGGGGGTGCTACCGGAGTCGGGACCTGCCCTGGCGGAAGGCACCCCCCCCGCGCAGTGCCCAGCAGTGGGGCCCGCGGGACTGAACTGTGGCTGACGCCCCCGAGGGCTGACGGCCCAGCCACTGAACGGCCGCACGAACACACATGGCAACATGCTGTGACGGAGGTGAGGGAGAGCCAGGGGGGCTGTGCGGGAGGACGTCACCCTCGGGGGGCGTGGACGGACAGAGAAGAGGCAGAGGGAGGCACAGCAGCAGTGGTGACCGACATGACTGATGGGATGCGTGTGACTGGCCGACTTCCCAGACTAGACAGTACACGCCAAGCATCTCTCAGTGACGCTGGAGAACGGGAGACACCAGGCCACTCAGCGTTCCGACCCCTCGCCCCCCACCCGGCGGCGCCCACGCGGGGCTGCGGTCCTCTTCAGGGCACACCCTGCGCCCAGACCGCGGGCCCTGGCACACCCAGGCTGCCCCTTGCACTCCGCTCACTCATTCTCAAGGCCTCCTCACCCCCTCGACACCCAGCACGGGGGACATCCGCACAGCCGGGGGACCCGCGCCATCCTTGCCACCCGGCTGCAGGGGTCTGTGAATGTGTGGCAGGCCAGGCCCCGGCCTCCTCTCTCCTCGGGACTGCGTGCAAGGGCCCAGCAGTCACGGAGGGTGAGTGGGGGTGGTGGGTGGCGCCTGCGTTGGCGGGGGTCAGGGCTGTGTGTGGGGGCGTGCAGACCCTCCGATCCACTGGAGACGGGGCGGCTGCCACCCTGAGTTGGCCACACTGCTCAGGGCAGCTGGCCTGGTCTCCACCTTCAGTGGAGAGGTCTGTACCTTTGCAGGGAGAAGCCAGGCCGGCCACACGGGCACAGGGCACAGGGCACAGGGCCGGGCAGGCAGATGGCGCTCCCGGGACTGGCCGACCAGAAGGGCAGCCCCCCTGCCTCAGAAACCTCTGGCTCCTGTCTGCTGGGCAGCCGCCCCCGAGGTACGGGAGGGGTCAGGGGAGGCTCGGGGTAGGGTGGGGTGGGGGCGCTTACCGCGGAGGCGCTGGCCGAGAGAATGTAATTACGAGGTCTAGTCTCCTGAAAGTCAGGCACCGTCTAGTGGGAACAGAGTTCATGGGGGGGAGAGGGGTCACGGTGGGCCGGAGCTTGGCTGGGGCCAGGAGGCTACAGACAAATACAGTGTGGACCCTCTTCCCACGTCCGCCACCTGGAGAGGAGGCGGGCGTAGAGACCCGGAGGGCCAAGACAAGACCGAGTGGGGGCAGACACGCTGGGGAGGCCAGGAAATGAGATGCCACATGGAGACAGCCTGTGGCTGCCGTCCCAGCCCTGGCCTCTGGGCAAGCCGCCGGCTGGACCCAGCCCCTGGCTCAGAGGCCAAGGCCCATTGCTCCCTGGACCCCAGGCTCACCGAGACGCCCCAGTTAGACCCAGGCTTCCAGACAAACCCCGCCCCCCCACGGCCTTCTCCATCCCAGAATCTCCGCACACGGTCTCTCAGTCCTGCAGCAAGGACCAGGCCCCTCCCCCACAACGAAGGTGGACAGATGGATGCATGGATGGACAGAGTGACAGGCTTTCAACATTTGCAAAAAGCTGACTCACAGGCTCCAACGCCTGGCATCCCCCCAAAACAGAGGCTACTCATGGTAGAGGCTCTGATGGGGAGACCAGCTGCTTGCAAAAGGCCCGGGGACGGGCCCCGGGCCGGCCACGGCACTGCGGCCGCCCCAGGCCGGATGGGCACACCAGAAGCAGCACAGCACGTGGGACAGGTATACTCACATCTCCCTCACACTGAGCCAAGTTACCCAAAGCAGGACGGAAAGGAACAAAAACAAAGAGTTAGTGAGCCCACAGCGCAGGCGGGAGCAGGCCCCCCGGGCCCCCGCAGGAGGAGGCGCCACTCAGACGGGCGGATGGGCACGCACAACCCGCCCTCTGGAAAGCGTCCTGGTGCGTGTGCGTGCGTGCGTGCGTGCGTTTAGAAGGGGTGGGGACGAGGCAGTGAACCCCGGGTCCTCCGGGACTCTGCACCTGGGCTGCCCGGTCCCGGCTCTGGGGAGAGTATCCCGGACTAACCCAGAGGCCTCAGGTGGTCCGGGCCAACCAACTGGAGGAGGGGTCGTGCCACTCCGTGACTAAGAGAGGGCTCCCCCGGCCCGACCGATGGAGGAAACGCTCGTCTGGCCAAGCTCCTCCAGAGTGACAGGGAAGGGGTCCTGCTCAAGTGGCTTAATTAGGTCATCCCAGTAGCCAGAGGTCATCTACCCGACCCGAGCAAGACTCCAGTGGCTGAGCCCCTGCCTCCACCCTGGACCCCACACGCCCAGATGAGCTGAGACCCTGTCCCCGGCTCTTGCTGGAGGCCCTTGCTGGAGGCCCACGAGGGTTTGGGGCCAGGACTCCCCACGAGCAGCTGCTGGGCGCCAGGGCCGGGCCGGGCTGGGCCTGGCCTTCCTCAGCAGGCACAGGTTTCCCGGCATGCCCTGGATGAGAGATTCCCCCCTTGGGGCTTGAGGGGGCCTTTAGGCCCCCCGCACCCACAAGCAGCCTGGCGTGCCGAGAGCGTGCTTGGCCTCGGGCCCAGTTCTGCCAGCCCTGGCCTAGCCCCGATCGAACTGTGCCACGCCGCACCCCACTGGCCCTTCCAGGCCGCAGAGGCCTCGGTGGGCAGAGCCCGGAGGGGCAGCCCCTATCCGGGCTCCTGTGGCCACTGAAGGGGCCCCTCGGACATGCTCCTGAGCAGGCAGGCAGTCCAGCCCCACAGTTCTCACGCCATGGCAGGGGGCCTGCTCGAGGCGCCCTGGGACCAGCGCTGCAGCAGTGGGGCGGTCGTGAGGGGGAGCCATGCCCTGGCAGAGCCGGGAACAGAGCCGAGCATCCGGGGAAGGGTGGGCAAGGGCGCGTGGGGAGCTCCAACCATGTCTGTCCGGAGAGGCTGCAGGGTCCCTGCGCCCAGGCCGGGGCACTGCTGGCTGGCCCACCCCATCAGTGTCGCCCCTGGGACCCAGAGCTCTAGGCTGTCAGGGTTCCCCTGGAGGTGTGACCTGAAGGACCTGAAGTGGCCGGCCCAGATCAGCTCCCCCAGCCAGGCCTCTCCAGGCGAGAACAGGGGGACAAGGTCATGCCAACACCAGGTCCCTGCAGCGCCCCCATGCCGGGGGTGGGGGCCAGCAGGGACACCCACCGTGGCTTTGGCTTCCGCGGCCTTGGCCTTCTTCAGTCGCGCTTTGCAGGCATCCAAGTCTAGGCGCCGGTTTTGGAGGAGCCGCCTCTCCTTCTGCAGACGGGGAACAGGGAGCGGTGAGCCGCCCGCCCTGGGGGACCCTGGGCCAGCTGGTCAAGACAGGGAAACTGAGGCCCAGAGAAGGAAGGTCGTCCACTCTGAGGAACCCAGCCCACAAGAGCCACAGCTGGGGAGTCCCCAACAGGGGCGGGGCCGAGGGGGCGGGGCGGCCCCAGGCCCCTCACCGAGATGGTCTTCCAGTCCCCTTCCAGGAAGTTGCGCAGGGGCGTGAGGAAGTTGATGGAGGCCGTGTGGATAAAATCCCGCTCCGCGGCTCCCAGGCGCTTTTCAGCTTCTGCCACCTTGATCAGCGTCTTCCCTGAGGACACAGAGTCGAAGGTGAGAAGGGCAGGGGGGCAGGCTGAGGCTGCTCCGACCCCAGGAGGCAGCGGGGAGCTCGGACCGAGCCGTGCTCAAGAGGCAAACCCGAGATGCCCCGTGCCGAGTGGCTGGCCCCGAACAACGCAGACACAACCTACATACCCACCCACCACCGGGGGGCCGACAAATAAACAGTGGGACATTCAAAACTCGGAACGTCACACTGCCCTCGAAAGGATGGGGGATGGGGGCAATTTTCGGAATGACAGAGAAAGGAGCGCCACAAGTCCTCTCCCCAAAGAGCAGTGAAGAAACCTGGACAGAGCTGTCAAAAACAACCATTTCCGGGCTCCCGAAATGGACAAAAGGCAAACAAGGAATCCAGACGCATTTGTCCCAGATACATTGGGCCTTGGGGAGAACAATGGCGGGGCCCATGCCTTCGTGCTCTGTGATGCTGGAGCTCCACCCAGGAGAGACGAGCCCTCGGGCTGTCCACGCGGACGCGGGGGCCCAGAAAAAACCCCCGATGCTGTCGAAAACAACAGCGATCTCAGCGGCCCAGCTACCGCGAAGCTGGAAAGCTGGTTGAAACAAGAACCGACCTGCCAGAAATGTAACAGCAGATCGGGGAAGCGAGGCCGTCCCCGTGGGCCCTGGTAAACTCCCGGATGCCGCCAGAGAGGTCTGGGAGGCTACGCCTGCGTGCGACTCGCTCAGGGCGCTTCGCACACCCACCCAGCGAACGGCGGGCAGACACGTAAAGTGCTTTCACTGCGCTCCCCACCCCACTGGCAAATGCATCCGGAAAGCCTGATGGTGCAGTATTAGCACGACCTCCGACCAGTCACCGGCTGACCACTACTGACATATGCTGACCTAGAAGCAACTCCTAGGAAGCTAGGCTTAAAAAATAAAAAAAGGCAGCCCTGGCTGGTGTGGCTCAGTGGATTGAGCGCGGGCTGTGAACCAAAGTGTCGCAGGTTCGATTCCCAGTCAGGGTACGTGCCTGGGCTGCAGGTCATGACCCCAGCAACCACACATTGATGTTTCTCTCTCTCTCTCTCTTTCTCCCTCCCTTCCCTCTCTAAATAAATAAATAAATAAATAAATAAATAAAATCTTTAAAAATAAAAATAAAAAAAGGCAGCCCTGGCTGGTGTGGCTCAGTGGATTGAGCGCTGGACTGTGAACCAAAGGGTCGCCGGTTCGATTCCCAGTCAGGGCACATACCTGGGCTGCCGGCCAGGTCCCCAGCATGGGGGCATGTGACAGGCAACCACACACTGATGTTCCTCTCCCTCTCTTTCTCCTGCCCTTCCCCTCTCTATAAAAATAAATAAATAAAATCTTTTAAAAAATTAAAAGTTAAAAATTAAAAAAGGCAGAGGCACCAGTGGCTGCATAGTGCGGGGGACACAGACTGTGAACAACGAGTCCAGGCAAGTCTCTCAGCAAACAAACAGCAGGAACGACCTCCTGGGAGGGCAGAATCCGGAGCTGCTACATATCGAAAACATCCAGATTCAGCAAGACATTAGGAAACATGCAGGGAAACAGGTAAGTGTGGTCAATACACAGGAAAAAATAGTCATCGATAGACACTGTCTCCAAGGAGGCCCCTATGTTAGCCGTAGCAAAGAAAGACTACTAAGCAGCTATTGCAAATGTCAAAGAAAACTGCCCTGGCTGGTGTGGCTCAGTGGACTGAGCACCAGCCTGTGGACCAAAAGGTCACCAGTTCAATTCCCAGTCGGGGCACATGACTAGGCTGCGGGCCAGGTCCCCAGTTGGGACTGTGAGAGAGGTAACCAATCACTAATCAATGTATGTCTTGCAGATCAATGTTTCTCTCCATCTTTCCCTTCTCTTCCCCCCTCTAAAAATAAATAAAATAAAATAACAAAATAAGAAAAAAAATGTTGTAAAGAAAACTAACAAGACCCTAGCCAGATAGCTCAGTTGCTTAGAGTGTCATCCTGATACGCTAAGGTTGGGGGTTCAATCCCCCGTCGGGGCACAAGCAAGAATCAACCCATGAGTGCATAAAAAAGTGGACAACCAATTGATGTGTCTCTGTCTCTCCCTCTCAAGTCAATTTAAAAAAAAAGGAAAGAAATATAGAGTACATTAAGGGTAATTATACAGACAGCTACAAAAGACAATGTAATTTTTTTCTCTTAACTGATTTAAAAGGCAACTGCATAAAACCGTAATTGTAAAATTGCATTATTGGGCTCACAAGATATGAAGCTGCAACATGTAGTATAATGACAGCACAAAGGAAGAGGGAGGGAATGGAGTTACACTGGAGCACAGTTTCTATGTTTTACTCACATTAAGTCAGCATTACCCTGAGGCATATTGTGATGGGTTCAAATGCAAGTTGTAATTTACGTAAAACCGCTCAGAAAAACTTTTAAGGAAAGCAACAAAAATTAAAACTTTAGAAAGCGTCTACTTAACACAAAAGAAGGCGGTAAAGGATGGTAAAGGCGGATGAACAAAAATGACCTGAGACACAGAGAAAACAATACAAAATTGACACGGAAGTCCAACCACGTTGACATTAGATGGAAAAGGATTAAACACTCCAATCAAAAGGCAAAGGCTATCAGATTAGATTTTTAATAAAGGCCCAAATATATGCTGTATATGAGACACGCTTTGAACTTTCAAGACATAAATGGGCCGAAAATGGTATACCACGCAAACAATAACCACAGAGAACAAGAGTGGCTATAGCACTGTCAGATGAAATGGACCCTAGGACCAAAAACAAAAAAACAAGTTACTCGAGACAGAGCAGTGTGATACAAAGATGAGTCAATTCCTCAGGAAAACAGACAATATAAACATACAGACCTCACAACACAGCTCCAACATATAGTAAGCAAGCACGAACAGATTGAAGACAGGAGCAGACAGCTGAAGAGAAACAGGTGGAGACTGCCCAGTAATGGACAGGACAAGACAAAATCATCAAGGATTCAGAAAACTTGAACAGCACTATTAACCAATCTGTCCTCACCAACACCTCCACAACACTGTACCCAACGACAATATAATATACAACCTTCGCAAGTGACTATGGAACATTCTCCAGGAGAGACCATATTGTAAGCCATAAACAAGTCTTCATAAGTTTAAAAGGGAGACCTCCAATCAAGATGGCGGCATAAGTAAACACGGCTCGCCTCCTCGCACAACCACATCAAAGTTACAGCTAAATTATAGAACCACCATCACTCGGAACTGTCAGAAATCGAGTTGAATGAAAGTCTGACAACTACGGAATTAAAGAACCCACATCCATCCAGACTGGTAGGAGGGGCACAGATGTGGAACGCACTGGTCCCACACCCACGTGTGGTGGATACAAACTCAGGAGGGACATCTCAGGAGCAAGGAGTCCCAGCCCCACACCAGGCCCCCCAGCCCAGGGTTCCAGTGCCAGGAAGATAAGTCCCCACAACTCCTGGCTGCAAAAACCAGGAGGGACTGAGTTGGTGGAAGAAACTACTGGAGTCCCGAGCAGCTCCTTTAAAGAACCCACACACGGACTTACTCATTACTCAGACTCTCTCCCTCTGAGCCCCAGCACTGGGGGAGCAGCTTGCATAAGTTTCAAAGTACTAAAACCATACAAAGTATGATTTTCTGACCAACGTATGATTAAATTAGAAATCAAAAACAGAAAGAAGTTTAGAAAATCCACAAATGTCTGGAAATTTAACACCCCCATGCTGGTGGAAATGTAAAAATCACACAGTCACTTTGGAAAAGAATTTGGTAATTTTCTTAGAAACTTAAATTTACCAAATGACCCGCCAATTGCATTGCTAGGTCTATACCCAGGAGAAGTGAAAACGTTTGTCCTCACCAAGGTTTGTACGCAAGTGTTTCTGGGGAAATAACCCGAATGTCTACGAAATGGTGAATGGACAAAGCAAATGCGGGATATTCATACACTGAAACACCCTTCAGCCATAAAAAGGAGCAAAATCCTAAATCACACTCTAACAGGGATGGACCTCCAAGACATGATGCTACGTGAAGAAGCCAGATACCAAGAGCAATACATCACATGACTCATTTGTATGAAATACTGAGACAGGGCGAACTGATGCAGCCACAAAGCACATTAGCGGTCGGCTGGCGCTGGCAGGGGAGGATGAATGTAAGCAGACGCCAGGGATCCGTTGGCAGATGATGAGGATGTTCTTTAAGCTGGATCGGGGGGATGTTTGTGCAACTCTCGACTTACTTAAAACCACTGAACTTCGCACTCAAAACAGGTGCCCTCTATGATGGGTAGGTTACACCTCAATAACACGTTTCACAAATTGAAGAAACAGACACCGAGGGGCTCCGGACGTGCTCCCGTCTGTGCACAGACGTGTGTCACGCAACACCCAGTTTGGGGGTCAGCTGCAGAGCGGACACGCGGTGGTCCCCCCACAAATGCACACAAACCGAACGGGTTAAGAGAGGCCTCCCTGTGTTCTCTATTTTCATCTCCAGCGTCTGAGGTGTGTACAGTCAGAACGCGTAATTCAGGTATTATCTGTGTCGTTGGAACGAGGAGAGAAGGCAGTGGGGAAGGAGGGAGGGGGAATAAGAGAGGGAGACACCGTGCAGCCCCTGCCCACTGCCCAGCAGCGGCGGGGCCCGGCTCACCGTAGGGAGTGGTGGGCCCCAGCTCACTGGCCGCCTCTGCCATGTACTGAGCCAGCAGCTCCCCGTTGGTGACCCTCGAGGGCACCTTCCTGTCCAGCTTCTCGTACAGGAACTCCTCCACTCGGGCACCTGCGGGGAGACAGACGCCGAGTCACGGGGCTCGGCCCCACGCCCTCTCCGGGGACCCGGCTGGCGTCCTTCCCGCCTCTCCTCCCAAGTCTGTTTCAGTTTCCAGGCATTTCCTCAAGTCCTCTGGGCAAAACTCAGCATTTGCACTGCCCTGGACAGCGCACCTTAGAGCCCAGCACCGACTCCACCTCTGTGTCCTTTCACTGGGACCGCCCCCCACAGCAGCCATAAGCCCCCAAAGTCTCCATGGATCTCACCCACTGGCCACTCCCCCCCTCCCACCCCGCAAGCCTCAGCCACCAGCCTCCTGCCCCCGCCCCTGCCCCGGGCCCGGCCCCAGCCCACTCACTGGGGTTGGGCTGCAGCAGCACCTCCGTCTGCCTCAGGATTTTCTCCGTCCAGTTCTTGGTGCTGTCGGCCCGGGCCAGGAGGTTCTCAAAGTGGGCGTCCAGCTCGGTCTTCTCGGCCTGGCCGAACTTCTCCTCCGTGAACTGTGGGGTGGGGAGGGCCCGGGTCGGGGAGGGCTCAGAGGGAGGAAGGCAGGACAGCCCGCGCCCCACCCACCTACCCCTCCCCGTGAGCTGGAAGCCAGGCCCCAAGGTCAAGAAACTTGCTCTGTAACCTCGATCACACAGAGGGCAAACTGGGGCCCCAAGAGCAGGGTCCTAACTTGAAATGAGGCGGCTGGACCAGAGCTGGGGGATCGTGGCTTCTTTCAGAAATCCAATCAAAGATGTGGACCTCTTTCTTCCCCGCCGAAAGCACGTTTGTGCGAAATCTGGCACACAGCCCTGGCTTATGGGTTCAGCTGGTTGGAGCACATCCCACAGACCACAAGGTCGCAGGTTCCATTCCCACTCAGGGCACATTCACCCAGGTTACGGGTTCAATCCCCAGTTGGGGAGCATATAAGAAGGCAACTGACTGATGTTTCTCTCTCTTCCCCCTCCCTTCCTCTCGCTCACTAAAAGTAATCAGAGAATGTCCTCCGGTGAGCAATTTTTTAAAAATGTAAGAAGAAAATCTGATGTACGACTTAAAGGGGTAAGAAATCATCGGGCACCCACTGCCCAGGGCCCTCCGAACCTGGCTCTGCGGGAAAGGATTTGGGAGAAAGTGCTTACGGAATAAATAAGGCACAGAGCAACTTCTGGGGTTACCAGGAGGCTCAGTGGGGGGACCGGAACCCCGGGGAAGGGTGCCAGGGGAATGAGTGGCTTCAGAACCAGGGGGACCTGATTCAAGTCTCGGTTCTGCTACTGATGAGCCGTGTGACCCTGGGCAAGTGGCTTTGCCTCTCTGAGCCTCAGTCTCCTGAGCCGAAAAATGAGGACCATAAGTAACGGCACCCCCGTCCCAGGCTGTGAGAAGGAAGACGCGGGGGAGACCCGCAGGCCGGAGCCCAGAGTCTGGCAGGGGGACTCGCTTGAAGTGAGGTGCTACAGCGGGGCTGCCGTGAGGAGCGGGTGGGAGGAGAGGCAGCTGGCTGGGACGCGAGGACTGCGTGGGTGGAGGCCACATGGCTGGCGTGCTGGACGGGGGACACCGCCAGCCCGTCAGCGCCAACTCGGAGCACACTCAGGGCCCAGAAGGCTCGGCAGCCCCACCCCAGGGCCGGGCAAGGACCAGGATGCCACCCCGTTCCCCCACGGGACTGTTTGTGGGCCAGCGAGGAACAACCAGGAACAGCCCGAGTCCTGGCCCCACCCTGCTCTGGAAGGGCCCCTGGACAAATGTCCCTGTCTTCCAAACAGGGACGCGAAGGCCTCCTCCTGCCAGGGGAAAGGGCCTGCTCAAGGTCAAGGCCAAACAGCAAAAGGGTGACCGTCACAAGAACAGGACTGGTGACAACAACAGACACCGCTGAGCGCCTCTGTGGCCCAAACCCGGGGCTGAGGGCTTTATGCTGCTGACCCATCCATGGCTCCGAGGGCCCCTCCAGGCAGGTCGGGCCGAGTTTCCCATTTCACAGATGATGCCACCGAGGCCAGGCGAGGGGCAGACTGTGCTGGAGTCGGGATCATCGTGGCCCGAGGCCCTTCCCAGACTGTTCGGCAGAATAAATTATCCAGAGCCCGAGGGCAGCTCCAGCTGAAGGGAACGGGAGGGAGGCAGCCACCGATAGTCCTGTGGCTGATCAGGCCGCGGATGGCCATTAATTATGCAGCAGGGCTTGGGTTTCTCCCCGCAGGGCGGGCGGGCCACGCTGCAGCCTGAGCTCCCACCAGGGACCGGCCGCTCCCGGCCTCCTCCGACCTCCCCCGGCTCCGCGCACCCTCCTCACCTTCGCCCAACTAAGGCCTCCTAGGGAGCCAGGCCCTGAACAGGCCTACCTCGCCCAGCCCGCTGAGGCTGTGGCATCAGTCCCATTTTCCAGATGAGGAAACCGAGGCTCAGGGAGGCACCTCTCTGGGCCTCGGTCTCCCACCTGGACCTGGAGGATGGGGATAACAGGACCTAACTCAGAACATGTGGAAGGTGCTTAGCTCTGCAGCCGGCGCGCGGTACGGCTCTGACGAGTGTCCGCTGGGGTCAGCATCGTCATCAGTGAAAGGCCTCTGCCCGCGGGTCCCTCCTTGGCTCGCAGGAGCTACCTAGGGACCTCCTACCCCCAACGGTACCAGTCACCCGGATCTAGGTGACGTGCACCTGCCTGCCTTACCAAAGTTAGCAGCAGCCCTCGCCACCGGGCTTCGGGGCCCCCCATCCCTCACTCCGCATGCCCGCCCCCAGGTTCGAAGTCCCACCGGGCTTTCCCAGCTTCTCGGGCACCCATCCCCCGTGCACGGCTGCCTGGCTCCGACGAGGACGAGGACGGCGAGGCCGCCGCCTCCCCGACTTTCCTTACTATTGCCCCCACCGCGGCTGTTACTATTGCTGTGGTGACAGCCGACAGTGTCAGTACGACACTTCCGCAGCCCACTCCCACCCTCACTGGCGCCTTACACGGGTGCGCCTCAGACTTTCCTGCCGCCGTGCCTGTAGCTGGGCCGCTCCCACCGCCGGCCCCAACTTCACAAACCCCTCCTGACGTTCAAGCACAGTTCGGGGACTGGAAAGCCATCCCAGGATGACCGATTCTTCCCCCAGGAGCCCAGGTCCGGTTCCCCACCAGATGGAGGAGCGGGGTGAGGCTCTTAAAGGTGTCCCTGGCACTCGGAAGGAATGAGCACTTCCCCAGCATGTCCTGGGACCCACACAGAGGAGCTGCCCGAGCCTTAACGCCCAAGCACCCCTCCCAGCCCTCCTGGCCGACTCCCACCCCAGGACAGACAGGCCTCGGCGGGTCCTCTGAGTGTCCCGTCCTGCTCATTCCCATTTCAGGCCCCTCGCTCCTCTGGCCTGCCACCCCTGCCCCATCCCCATCAAGGGGAAGAGCCCGGTGCTTCAGAAGCTAAGGCCTGCAGGCCAAGGCTGCTGCCTGCTGCATGGCGGCAGCAGGGGGTGGGCGTACAGAGCCAGAGAAAGCCTCTATTTATAAAGCTCCCAGCTCCCTCCTCCACCCTGGAGGCTGGGGCCTGGGCGGTGGCTCCCACTCCAACAGGGGCCGCCCAGGAGGCCTGCCTCCTCCAGGGGGAGCAAGGCCACCGGGCCCGGGCCTCCCAAGCCCAGGCTCTGCAGGTCCCGGCCGGGTCAGGTGCTGGGGCCCACGGAGCAGGAAACCAGATCAGGTTCTTCCCAGATGTGCGAGATAACACAGTCGCCATGCCAGCCCTGGGGAGGGCTCCCCACCTGTCAGGTGCTCCTGGGGCTGTCCCAGGCACTCTGGGGTCCTGGCATCCCCACTAGGGCTGGGTTCACCCTCGGGGCTTGGAACGCGGCGCGGCAAACCCTCAACGGGACACTGCTTTCTAGTAAACATGGCCACATGGGCTTCCCAGAGCCTGTTCGCTCCGGCCGGGCTCCCCCAGAGAGCAAACACGGAAAGGACAAACACCAGACCCGTTCCCAGGGCACTGGGAGGACGAAAGCCCCGGGGGCAGACTGGGGTACACTGGACGACCAAAGGGGACAGGAAGGCTTCGGGAGAAGTGACTTGCCCAAGGTCACAGGCAGCCCAAGTGCAGCAGTAGCCACCACATTCACGCCCACAGGGAGCTGGCCTTGACGGAGCACGCACGTGCAAAGTGCCAGGGAGACCTCACGCCCACCCTGGCGGGGGGATGACCGATTCTCCCATTTTTCAGATGGAGAAACTGACACCCAGAGAGGTAAAGCCTCTTCCTCAGAGTCACGCCTGTAGCTGCCTCTGGGTCTTCACCATTGCATTCGGCTGCCTCAGTTTCCTTCTCTGCCTCCCAGGGGATAGGACTTGTTCCAATGCCAGCATTACTGGCCGGGACAGCTTCCCAAGGTACCCAGCCAGACCCCAACCCCCATGCCTGGGGAAATGGAGGAAATAGGCCTCCCAGGGAGCAGAAAGGAAATTATCCCAGCTCTCTGGCTTCCGGACTGACTATCCAAGCGTGTAAAGGGTACCTGTGGGAATCATCGTACTAGCCCATTGCACAGGAGCAGGGACTGAGGCTCAGACAAGGGACCGCTGGGGATGCGTGAGTTCTCAGGCCTGGATCTCAGGCCTCCAAAGGCCTGCCGGGAGCCAGAGTCACTGCTGGACAAGGGCAGGGCGACAGCCACCGCTTGGTGCCCTCTCCCCTCCTCAGCGGAGCCCCCACCGGGCCCTGGGCGGGCGCCAGGGCAGCGGGTGACTCCGCCGGTCTAAACGATGAACACTGATACTTCCCTCTCAGGCAACAAGGCCGAGGCCCGACTCAGTCCCCGGACCCGCGCCACGCCTAGGGTGCGGCCGGAGTGGCCGGCCGCCTGGAGCTCTTTCTCTCTCTCTCCGGGGCAGTGCAGAAGGAGGAGACATGGGGGGGGCGGGGGGCTAAGGTGTCCGCGCAGCGGGGAAGCGGGCAGCAGCCCCAAGGGGCTCCTCTTGAGCGCCCCGAGCTCTGTTGCGGGGGTGCTCCGGGCCCGCCCCACATCCGGGCCCCGGGAACCGGCCGCGCGGGGCCCAGGACGCACGGCCTCACCTGCACCGCCCGAGTGAAGAAGATGCCCGCGTCCGACGCCAGTTTCTTCATGTTGAAGTCCATGGCGCACCGCACGGCGGGCCGCGCCCGGCCCCAGCGCAGCCTGCCGCCCCCCGCCCGCCTTCGCCGGCCCGCACCCCGCCCACCTGCTGCCGGTGCGCCCGCCCTCCGCGAGCCCTCCCGCCCGCAGCCGCCGCTGCCGAGCCAGCCGGAGAGCGCAGGGCGGGGCGCGGGGTGCGGGGGTGGAGCCTCGGGAACCGGGCGGGCGGGGCGGGGCGGCCCTGGGTGGCCGGGCTCAAGCTGCGGGCTGCGGCCCCTTGCGGCCTTGTCGCGCCGCCTAGCGGGCTTCTCTTGCTTCCTCACCCCTTGGCCCCTCGCCCATGGATGCCTCTTCATCTCCCTTTGTCCATGTGCAACCCCTCCTCCGCTTGGCCCTCCGTCTCCCTACTTCTGGACCTCTTTTGCCCTGGGTGTCTCTGCGCTGCTCACCGCCACCGTCACCACCTTGAGCTCTCTCCAGCACCCTTTCCCCCCCTCTACCCTTGACCTTGGTGACACTAAGAACCACTGAGCCAGGGGACAGGCCGGCTGGGGACCACAGCTGGAAAAAGGCGGGTTGTGCCCCACCCCCAACCCCTTAGGTCCCCAAAGTTGTGGGAGGGTGTAGGAAGGGTTACAGGAAGGGAAGAAAAGAGGAGCGCTTCCACTCTGCCCACGTGGAGGAAGGAGTGGAGGAGGGACATGCGCTGACTTTGAACCCAGCTCCTCAGAGCCCCAGGCGGGCAAGCGGATGGGTGGTCTGCTGGTATGTGCCCCCTCCGGTGGGGCTTGAGATGGGGCTAATTACCTGTTCCCACCTCTCAGCCAGTAGGGTTCATCTTTTTAAACCTGTGGAGAGCGCTGTTCCTGAGCTGGTATGCCCTCCTCCCTGCCCCTGTCCCTCGGATGCCTGGCTTCATTTCCCTGCACTTACCCGGGTTCCCCACCACCTGCCCCAGCCTGTCTGTGCACAGGAGCCTTGGGTCACCTACCGGTTTGTCCATAACCCAGACCCTGGCCCCACTCCCAGCCCTGGTTCTTTCTGGGGTGTGTGGAGGGGTGGTTTGAAAAGCTCCCAGGTGATTTTAAACGTGCATTCCAGGTTCAAAACCACTGATCTGAATTATTATGTGTGTGGAGCCATCATCGGCTTCCTGTCTCTTACTCACTTTCAGATCCTCTGTATGTGTTTCCCTGTCTATTTCTTGTGTCCACTACGTGTTTCCACCCATCTGTACTGGTCCTTGACTTATTTACCAGTATCTGCCTATAGTTGGCCCTACCATTTATGTAGCCAGCATCCAGCCATAGTGTCAACAGGAAAGACCTGGTTCTTCTTGCTGACGCATGTAAAGAGCTACATATCAGCAAATCTATTGGCGTGCAATCAGAGTTTATCAGTGATCTGTTCCCACCTAAGGGAAAGGATCTAGCTAAGGTGAGGGGGTGAAAGGTACGGGTTCAGGGCAATGCAGGGCTGCAAAAGGAAGGGCCAAGGAGAAGCCTGGGGTGGCGAGCCCCAGGTGGCCTGAGGCAGGTGGCCAGAGAGCCAAGAGAGGGGGTCCTTTGTTCTGAGGACTTACGGAGTTGGTGGAGTTGGCGGGATGGGGGTGAAAAAGTTACAAACTGATTGACGGGTCAAGGTGGTGCCCGCTTTCCCTGGGGGAACATGACTACCCGAACTTAGGTATGTGGGGTGGGGGCGGGGTCTATTAGCCCAAATCCTTATCTTGCTCCGGACTCCATTTGTTCATCTTTTAAAAGAATTTTTTTTAGCCCTGGCTTGCGTAGTTCAGTGGATTGAGCGCAGGCTGCGAACCAAAGTGTCACAGGTTTGATTCCCAGTCAGGGCACATGCCTGGGTTGCAGGCCATGACCCCCAGCAACCGCACATTGATGTTTCTCTGTCTCTTTCTCCCTCCCTTCCCCTCTTTCTAAAAATAAGTACATAAAATCTTTTAAAAATCTTTTATGTACTTATTTTTAGAGAGGGAAGGGAGGGAGAAAGAGAGGGAAAGAAACATCAATCGGTTGCCTCTCACATGCCCCCCACTGGGGACCTGGCCCACAACCCAGGCATGTGCCCTGACTGGGAATGGAACCGGTGACCCTTCAGTTCCCAGGCCAGCGCTCAATCCACTGAGCCACACCAGCCAGGGCTCCGTTTGTTCATCTTATTGTAAAACAGATATGTGCCAGGAGGCAATCAACTAAAGTTGGGCCGGTTACCCGAAGTTATTTATGTGCTCTTTCTGGAAGCGTTAGAGACTCCCTCATAGAACAGATAGCGACCACAGGTGGGCAGTTAACCAAAGCTGTCTTATGGGATGCTCCTTGGGGCACCTCGCGCCCTGGCCTGGGGGTGAAAGCGCGGTTTCAGGGCCTTCTTTCCCAGGCAGTGGAAACACTACATAGAATTTCGAGGACTTCCCTCCTTCCTGTGCTAACATAGTGTTTCTCGTGATGTTGGGACGCCTGGCAATATGATCGGACCAGACTCAGGCCTGCTGAGTTGGTGGGTGAGACTCGTCTCCCTCCTCCTCCCTGCCTCGGTTTCCTATTCACTCTACCTGAGCGCTAAAAGGCGTTTCCTGGCAACCAGGACGCTAGACGCCAGCTAGCAAGAGCAGCGCAGTCTCCGAGTTCACCCTACGCTTTCCCTGCCTCAGTATCATCTTCCAACAGGCATGTATCGATATCGTGACATATTCATTCGCTCAGTAACTCACACAGAGCACTGTTAGAGAGAAAAAAAGGTATTCCTGATACTCGTTAAAGACGGTAAAGACGATTTTATTCAAGAGAGGCTAGCACAGCGGGGGTTTGCAATAGGGGAGACAGATCAGGCTCCACTCCAAACACAAGGTCAAGTGGAGATTTACAGCCAAGGAGCAGGGAGGGGGCAGTGGGTGGAAAATGACTGCGGAGAAGCATGGAGGCTAGCGAGATTCTTGCCAAAGGCAAGCCAGGGGGATAAGATGGGGAGGGTGCAGAATGAGGAATTCCATCCAATACGGAGGATGAGCAGATACCAGCGGTGGGGGATTTTTGCTCAGCTGACTCAGCGGGACTCTGGCTAGAACTTTTCTACCAGGATGGAGATGGAAGCCCAAGGCTGAGCCTGGCTGAGCAGTGGGCTCGGAGGAGCTGACTCAGGTTTGGTCGAGGAGGAGGTACTCTCAGCACCTGTCATGTGCCAGGCACTGTTCTGGACAACAGGGAGGCCGCAGTGAACAAAGCAATGCCCCCCTCCCCTTGGGCAAACAAATTCATAACATGTCAGGTAACGAGTCGTAGGAAGAGAAACACAGTGGAGTGAAGGGGAGAGAGTGAGACGGTAGGCGCTGGTTATTGCTGGTCTCCGAGCTGTCCTGGTCTAATTCACTTATTCTCCCAGCTCTCACCTGACGATTGCCATTTTTCTAATAGCAATGACCAAAGTGTCCTGAGCCCATGCTGGGCCCAGGCCCAGCACTAAGAACTTTCAAGTGAATAATCCCCTAAGATTCTCATAACAGCTCCGAAGGGCGAGGAAGCTGAGGTTTAGAGAAGTTAAGTGATTTGCCCGACGTCACAGGGAAGGACGTGGTGGACTTTAGCCCAGAACCCCAGCAGCCCAGCGGCGCAGCCCGCTCTCCTTTGGTCTGGCCCCCTCTTCCTGGGCTCGTTGGCTGCCATGCTCTCCGCCACCTGGAATCAGAGGTGCCCGATTCTCTCTGGCCTCTGGGGCATATGCCTTGCTGTTTCTGGAACTCCTTGCTCTCCTTCTTGTCCAGCTAATTCCTACTTATCCTTCAGGTCTCCGCCTGGGTGTCGCTTTCTTTCTCGAATCTCTCACCACTGCAGGACAGCCCCGGTCTCCCTTGGTATTCCCCACATTCCTGAGTTTCCCCGCATTCCAGCAATGTTACACAATATCACACAAGATTGTATGCATCTTTGTTACATGTATCTTGTCCACCACTGTGCTCCCACGTCCAGCCAGAGGGCTGGCGCACAGCAGTATTAGTTGTTGAATGAATGAAAGTCATATTCTTACCGATGATTATAGTTTAAAAACTTAGATGTGCCCAGCTCTTCACAGTTATAGAAGGGCTGCCACTCAGTTTTCTTCCACGCCCCACCCGAGCCCTGTGACTCTGGCAAGGCAGGGAGTCCACCCCCATTTTTACAAAGGGCTACGCTGAGTAAAGTCCAGAGAGCTGAAGCGGTAAGACTTGATTCCAGCTCAGGTCGGCCTGATTCCAAACCCGGAGTTTAATACAGGCGCAGCTCCGGATGATCGGAGTGGAATCCCTTGACTCCCGTCTCTCGGGGAGGCACTGTCTAGTAGGGGAGACGCGGCACCTGGGCGAACGACTCCAGAAGCAGGTTGGAAAGTGGCAAGTGTTTAACAGGATACTTTAGGAAGTCAGAGGCGGGGGCATTTGAAAATGGGCGTTTGAAGTGCAGGAAGGATTTGTCTGTGGAGCTCCAAAGAGGTAGGGGAGCCAAAGACGGGGGCTCCGACTGCCGCAGCTTCCTTCAACAAAGCCCCTTCAAAACCTCATTGATTTTCCTCAGCCCCTTTAAGAGCGGCCCCGCCTCACTCAACCAGCCTCCCGCGTCAATACAATCTCTCTGGCCAATCACAGGGGAGAAAAGATCACTTTCGTGCCTCAACCGCACTTAGAGGGCGGGGCAGAGGAAGAGTTGAGACTAAATTGGTCATGTGACACACCCCCTCGGCGCGGAGCGGTACTGTTTAGAGACGCTCATTGGCCAAAGTGGGAGTTGGCCACGCCCCCGAGCGACCGAAGGGTTGGTTGCGCGGACGCCGGGGAAGGAGACGCTGCCCTTCCGCAGCTATGGGATCCCGGGTGAGTGGCGGCCGGGGCTGAGCCCGCCGGGCGGTTGGGCGGGCCGGGGACTGAGGCTTGCGGCGGGCGGGAGCCGGGCCTGCGCGGGGGACTGGGTAGGGGCGTCGGTGTCCGGGCTCAGCTGCGCTAGGAGGGCCCGGGTTGAAATGAGCAGGTACCTACCTGGTCGTGGGCGGCGCGAGAGGTGGAGCGAAAGGTACCGGGTCAGCGAGGAAGATGCCCGGGCCTGGAACGTTGTGGGGATCGGGGCAGGCCTGGGAAAGTACCCGGGATGGAAGGAGCGGGTGCGCCGGCCGTGGGCGGTGCCAGTGGACATTCCCAGGGTCCGGGCAAACGATAAGGGAGCTAGACGAGGGCTGCTCTGGGAGATGTCTGGGGTGGAGTGAGCAGATTCTGAAGACGGGGGTACTGCTGGGGTCCCGTGTTCTAGTGCCCGGTTCCGGGCCGGGTCGGACTGGTGAGGGGCACGGGGCGGAATGAACTAGACTGGGCAGAGGATGGTTCAAGGGAGTGCCTGGGTCAGGGTCGTTGCCGAGGTCAAGGCGGAAAGGGGGACTGTTAAGGCCAGAGTCCTTAGTGGGATGGTCCAGGGCAAGGGAGGAGGTGACATCCAGTGACATCCCCACTCCCAGGTGGAGAGTGTGGGCATCCAGCCTGAGGGTGTAAGTGCCTCGGTTTGGGGCGAAGGAGTAGGTCCTGCCCAAGGTTATAGGGCCGGAGAGGTGACCAGCCAGGTGGGCATGGCATTAGAAGTGTCCACGGGGTGGGGACATTGCCATGGGCTTATCATCATGCATGCCTCTCTCCGGGCGGTGCCCAGGGCGGGATAGGGCCCGCCTGGTCTGGACCCGGACCTGTCCCTGGAGTGAAGCAGGCTTGGGGGTGGGTGTCGGCACCCTGTATCTGGCGCTCTTTCCCTCAAGCTGGGGCCGCAGAGGCTGCTGTTGACCTGCCCGCAGGCACAGGCCAGGCCCCTCAGCCCCGTCTCACCCCCGGAAGCGTGTTCAGGCTCATCTTCACTACTCCACGAGAGCTTCTTGCTTGGGGCCCCGGGAGTCCTTCGGGTGCGGCGTGGAGGGAGAGGGGGCAGTGTAGCAGGCAGCTCAGGGGAGACTCGTGGCCTTGGGATCCCCCAGACAGAACTGAGGCCACCTTCCAGGCTGGCCATTTGCTCAGTGGCCTCAGTCGGTTCACTTACCTCTCGGAGCCTCAGGTTCCTTATTTTGTACAGTGGTTGCCGTGAGAGTTCTGTGAGTGGCTAGACTCACAGCGCTCGGTGGAGAGCCTGTCTTAGGCCTGGCCTGGAGTAAGTGCTCGGGAAACAGCGCCGGGGGCAGGGGCGGGGGGGAAGGGGGTGCCTTAGATATTAACCCTGGCTCTGGCCACTGGCAGTCATCACGCGGCTCAGTTTGCAGCCCCCTGACAGGGTGTCTCCCACCCTTGACGTGACAGTTTCTTCAGCCCCAGAACGTTCTGCCAACCCCCCCACCCCCACAGCCCGGCCCTAGGGCTAGACTGATAGCGTCGTCCTTCCGTCCCGCTCACTGGGGATAAGCTGTGTCTTGTGCCAGTCCAGTGACTTTGGCCACCATCCCGAGTAGACAGGGCCTATCCTGGCCTGTGCATTCCTTCTGCTTGAGCTCCCGGGAGACCTTGAAGGCATCCTGGGTCTTGGTGGCAGCGGCGGCACTGGTAGTGGTTGAAGGACACCCCGCAGGACCCTAGGAACGGGCCACCTGCGGCTGAGCCACGTCTTCTCAGCCTTGGAATGGGCAGCGGGCGACCCCGGCAGGGTCTCGGGGGGATCTCCCCCAGGGGAGGGCTGTCCTCGCTGCCTGCGGTTCCTCTGGGGCTCGCCCCTTCCTGCTCCCCATCACATTTAGCGAAAGGGTTGCACAGAACACAGAACCTGAGGTCCGAGAGACCTTGGTCCGAGTTCTGACTCTTATACCTCCTACCAGCTGTGCAACTGTGCACTCCTGACAGCCTCCCTGAGCCTCCGTTTCCCCATTGGAAATTGGCAGGGATGGGGGGAGGGGGCAGGCAGAGAGCCTCTGCTTCCCAGAATTGGAACCATTCGGTGACACGAAGTAGACGCAGATGTGCAGTGGCCGCTATTATCTGAGGAAATGCCCTGCTGTTTCCATAACTCGGGCCACAGGAAGTAAAACATTCTTGGCTTTCTGGGAGGTGACAGACTGTATTGATTCTCGGTCAGGGCCAGACCCTGTGGAGGCCTGAGGTTTATGTTTAGGGAAGAAAGGCCATCGAGTCTGAGAGGGACCTGTCTGTCTCAGTCCCCAGGTCTGCCCTCGGGCCAGCGTGCCAGAGGCACCGCCTTCTGCTCCCGGGGTGCACGGCGGGCAGAGGGTCCGCGGGGCACTTGGCTGCCTTCCTGCTGGTGGACGCAGAAGGCCGGGGCCTGGTTCTGGGGCTGGCATCCCCGATGGAGGCTGTGCTCCCGCCTCGCCTCCCGGGGCCCTCTCGTGTGCGCTCCCCGCTCCTGTGCACACGCCCTTGTGTCCGACTCCGTCCTCTGTCTCTCAGCTCTGCGGAGGGATCCTCTGGTATGCGCAGCCCTGTCTTCCCCAGCCGTGGACGGTGCCTGGGACCCAGGAGGCAACCAGCTGAAGACGTTCTCCTCGGGAACACTCGGCCCCACGGGCTCTCGCCCGGGGTGTCGTCCCTGCCATGGCATTCCGGAGGACAGAGGGCGTGTCCATGATCCAGGCCCTGGCCATGACGGTGGCTGAGATCCCCGTGTTCCTGTACACGACGTTCGGGCAGGTAACGGTTGGCTGGGTTGTGGTCCCGCCCTTGAACCGCCTGGACCCTGAGACACGGAGCCGCTCGGCCGGCGTCAGGGAAGCTGGGCCCTCGTTGTGTCGGTCCAGGGGTCTGGGGTCTCCTCTTTGCGCAGAGCAGGGAGGACTGGGATTGGGGTCCGGGGCGCCTGCCTGGTCTTTCCCTGCCATCCTCACGTGCCTGTGCTGACCGGGCCTCCTGGCACTTTCCCAAGCTCTGCCCACTGGGATGCGGCCCAAGGAGGGGCTCCCGGGCCGGCAGGCAGAGAGTGGGGTGGGGCAGGGACGCGGATAGACAGGACAGTTGGGGGGACCGAGTGTCTTCGTCTTCCGGAAGTCCCTGAGAAGTGGAGTGGCAGGCCCGGGTTCGCTTTCTGTTTCTCTGTCACCGTGAGCATGTGTCCTAACCGGCGTGGGCCTCCGATCTCGCGCCTGGAGGAGGACGGGCATGCGGGCAGGGCACGCAGGCGGAGGCCTGGCGCGGCGGCCGGAGCAGTGGGCGCTCAGTCGCTGCAGCTGTTGGAGTCGTGGCGGGTGTCAGTGGCGCCTGCTGGACCCCAGACGTGGTCTCGGCATCACCCTCCTGCCGGCCCCAGCCCTCTCTTACACCCCTGTGGTCCACATTCCAGAGGGGCTGGCCGGGTCCCCCTCCCGAGGTGGCCGCCTCTTTTATTTTCCTGTCAACGGATCGCCCCCAGCTGCCCGAGGTGTCCCCAGTTCCCTTGTGCTCCCCGGGCGGCCCTGCCTGCCTGCCTGCCTGGGGCTGTCCTGCGGAGACTTAACCGGCTGTCTCCCCCTTCTCCCGCAGTCAGCATTCTCGCAGCTGCGGCTGACACCAGGCCTGCGGAAGGTCCTCTTTGCCACGGCCCTAGGGACCGTGGCCTTGGCCCTGGCCGCCCACCAGCTGAAGAGGCGAAGGCGGAGGAAGAAGCAGGTCGGCCCCGAGATGGGAGGCGAGCATCTGGGCACCGTGCCCCTCCCCATCCTCATGGCCAGGAAGGTCCCATCGGTGAAGAAAGGTAGGTGTGAGGTGGGGGGCGAGGGCCGGGCCTGGAGTCAGGTCCCAGCTGGGCCCCTGTGAACGGTGGGGCTAGGGGCTGGTGACATCCTGTCTACAAGTTCCTGTCGTCTGGGAAGCGGTGTTGACAGTCGAGCCTCCTTCCTTGTGTCCTTGCGAGAATCTGGTGGGTGGTGCGGCCCAGCGCGTGTCCAGTAGGTGGGCGGTTGTTCTCGTCATCCAGGACCCTGGGACCACCTGGGTCCTTGTGTGAAAAGAGTGTCCGTTGTGAATTATCACCGCAAAAGGGAAGTGTTCTCTTCACGACAGTAAACGAGAAGCGTTTAGGTTCGTTTAGAACAGGACCTGAGAAATGCTGATTCTCTGGGTTTCCCTTTTGCATCAGCAAACCTGGGAGACCTAGGGCGACTTCGGCGCCAGCCTCTCGCTCCCCTTCCCCGTACCACCCCGTCCAGCCTCACCTGGTTTTCCTTCCCGGACTTCTCTCACTTAAAAAACAGTCTTCGGTGTGTCCTGCAAATGTTGTTGTTACCTTGAGTCCTTTTTGGAAGGAGGAGGATTCCTAATCAGTCAACCAGCAGCACAGGGCAAGTCCAGGAAGGAGGGGGCCAGGGAGGCCCTGGCTGGGTAGCTCGGTTGGTTGGAGCGCTGTCCCGCCGACGCTGGGTTGCGGGTTCGGTGCCTGGTTGGGGCAGGTGCAGGGGCCCACCTGCGAGTGTGCGGGTGGGTGGGGCAGCAGGTCGACGTTTTTCTCTCTCCCTCCCTCGCTCTAAAATCAATCTGATAAAAAATAAATTAAAAAAAAAGAAGAAGGCGGGAAGTAGCTGGGCTTCAGGCCCTGTGCCGGTGACAGGGACACGGCAGCGAGTGGCCCTGGCCTAGTGCCCGTCTGCGAAGTGCCCGGCTCCGGGTGCCCTGCCGCCACCCTGACTGCGAAGGGCAGGGCAGGCCCCAGAGGAGGAGGAGGAGGAGGAGGAGGAGAGGGCGGCCAGGAAGGGGGGCGGCCCGGCCTGCACGGAGCCTGGGCGGGAAGCCTGCGCGAGCCCTACTCCCCTGTTCCTCGCAGGCTACTCCAGCCGGAGGGTGCAGAGCCCCAGCAGCAAGAGCAACGACACCCTGAGCGGCATCTCCTCCATTGAGCCCAGCAAGCACTCGGGCTCCTCCCACAGCTTGGCCTCGGTGAGGATGGGGGCCAGGGCAGAGGGGGCCCGCCAGGGCCTCGGGGCGCAGTCCCTAGCCGCCAGGCCGGGCTCAGTCTCTGCTCTCGGGGCCTGTGGACTGGCGGGAAGACGGGGGTGGAGATGTGACACGGTCGTTCGTTCGTTCATGCACACACGCGTGCACACACTCACCGTCATCCGTGCAGCAGGCTGTTAGATGGTCGCCGAGGGCCGGGCGTCAGTGAGGAAAAGAAAAGGGGGATCGGTGCAGGAGAGAAGCTTACGGCCTCTCGGGGAAGACTTACCTGTGAACGTTCGTTCATTTCGTTCATTCGTTCGACACTGAGCGAGCATCTGCTTTGTGCCGTGGACTCTGCTAGGTGCTAAGGATGCAGAGATGAGTCACACTCCGGGGAGTGACTGTGGCTCTTGTACTCCTCGATAGTCATTCGTTCATTCCGTCAGCACCGAGCCCCAGCTCGGAGCCGGGCCTGCCCTAGGGGCCCAGGGGTGAGCAAGAGGTGGCTCCTGTGCTGGAGGAGGAACCCACGGCCTGTCAGGGCAGGGGACTGCTCACGCGGAAGAGCGGTGCGGGGCACGGCGGGCCCTGGCCGACCCGCACCTGCGGCTGCTTCCTCGTCTTCCTGGTCTGCCCGGCGGCGGAGCCTCAGAGCAGGGAGCGGGCCCGGGCGGGTTTGGCACGAGGCTGCAGGATCCTGGGTTGGATGTCGGTCCCGGCAGTCTCTGTGAGGTGTAGTCCGGTGCGTGGACCAGGAGTGGGTGGACCAGGTTCTTCCGAGGAGGACGTGACCTCTGCACTCAGGCTGGCTCCGGGGGTGGTGTCTGGAGAGAGCGGTGTGGCACACGGGCGGGCAGTCGGGGAGCCTCGGGTCCTGCAGAGAGTGTGGAGAGGCCTCACCCCGCGCTCTTGGGTCTTTGCGCCGCCTGGTGCCCAGATGGTGGTGGTGAACTCATCCAGCCCCACGGCTGCCTGCTCGGGACCGTGGGACGCCAGGGGGACGGAGGAGTCTGTGACCGCCAGCGACGGCAACGCCGAGAGCCTCTACATGCAAGGTACCGTCCGGGAGGGGCCCCGGGCTCTCCCGGGGCAGGGCGGCGGGAAACGGCTCCCTGGGGCCCAGGCCAGGCCCAGGACACTTCTCCATCTGCTGCTTTGTAGCCCCTCCCCCTCCCCGAGCCCAGCCCCCCATCCAGTGGTTTCCGTCCACCTCTGGACTGGGGAACAGCCCCTAGGAGCAAATCTGATCAGAATGAAGGCCTGTAACCCGATCAGAAAAGTGGTCAAGGCCCTGGCTGGGTGGCGCAGTGGGGCGGAGCACGCCCTGCACACCCCAAGGTGGCGGGTGGATTCCCGGGCAGGGCGCATGCCTAGGCTGCAGGTTCGATCCCCTGTAAGGGGGGCACGTGGGAGAGGCAGCTGATCAGGTTTCTCTTTCACGTCGATGTTTCCCTTTCTCTTTCACACGGATGTCTCCTCTGCCTCTCTCTTTCTCTCCCTCCCTCCCTCCCTTTCTCCCTCCCCTTTCCTCTCTTCTCTCTTTCTAAAACCAATCAACATATCCTTGGGTGAGAATTTTTTTAAAAAGCGATCAGGACCCAGCCCACCAAGTCCTGCCATTTCTGTCCATCGGGGCCCTCTCGAGGGACGCGGGACGGAGCTGCTGTCCGTCCGCCGGGGCCTGACCCCCCTCCCTCCTCTCAGGCATGGAGCTGTTCGAGGAGGCTCTGCAGAAATGGGAGCAGGCGCTGAGCGTGGGGCAGCGGGGCGACAACGGCAGCACCCCCACGCCGGGGGACAGCCTCCGGAACCCCGAGACCGCCTCAGAGGCGCTGTCCGAGGTAGGTGGTCCTTGCCCCCACCCCGCTGTGGAGAGGGTTGACGGGCAGCCCCCCGCCTCCTGCCAACCAGCCAGTCCTCCCCTTGGGCGGGAGTCTTCCCCTTGATGAGGGTGTCGGTCCTGCCAAGTAAAACATTCACGTAACATGACCCACTGTGCGCGTGCCTGGCGCGTGGCAACTATGCAGGGGATCACAGCCGCGCTCACCCTGGCCCCAGCCACGTGTTCTCGCGGGGCGAGGGGAAATAGCCCGTGTGCACAGGTGAGTGGACGCCGCCGCCTTTGTCTCTTGTTCGTACTTTTTTTGGGACATCATCCAGGTTTTCTATAACGGACCTTTATTTCAACATCAGGAATGAAAAAGTAGAAAAGCTGCAATAAAGCACTTTTGTGACAAGCACAGCAAATGCGTGCCCTGGGACGGACGGTCTCTGAGGCGTTCTCCTGTAATAGCGGCAAAACTGGAGCCTCTCTAACGGCCCAGCGGCCGGGGTCTGGAGCACCACGCAGCCACGGAAAGGCCGAGGGGCGTGGCGTGGGCCGGCAGGCTGCTGGCTGCACCGTGCGGCCGGCGGGAACAGCAGGATGCAGCGTGCGCCTAGTGCGGCCGTGTGTGTGTGTGTGTGTGTGTGTGTGTGTGTTTTATAAAGACACAGCCACGCTCCCTCGTGCCTCTCGGTCGCTGCCGGTGTGCACGTGTCTTCTTACTTCCCTCTGACGGGTGCACAGGACACTGTCCACGGCGGTCTGCGAGGGGGGGGTCTGCAGGGGAAGGTGGAAGGCCGCGGTCGCTGTGCCTTCCTGTCCTTTTCAGGACCTCTCTTCACTGCTCCACTTTCTCGCTCTGAGCACGTGCTTGTGGGCGGGGTTTGTGTGAGGGGCGGGGCTCTGGGCTCTTTCCCCGTGAGAAACTCAAGGCCCCGTGGGGTGGCTCTGTTGCCTAGGGTGGTCTCGAAACGACGAGGTTGTGGGTTTGGTCCCTGCGCAGAGCAGCACCAGAATCCACCAGGGCGCCCGTACGTCGGTGCAACAGCAGATCAGCGTTTCTCTCCCTCCCTCCGCCTCCTTCCTTCCTGTAAACTGAACACACAAACACTGAAAACAAGTAAAAACAAAGCCCTACAAGCTCCCGTGCTCCCCTGGAGTGAGCGAGGTCAGGTGGGGGGCGTCTCTTTGGGAAGCAGTCTGACAACGTCTGGCCTGTCGGTTGGGGGTCCCCAGGAGACAGGGACGACTTCGGCTGTGAGGGCCGAGGGCGGTTAGTCCAGGGGATGGTTGCGCGGGTGAGGGAGGAGCCGAGAGCTCCCCTGGGAGCTGGGGCCACGCAGGGGCTGACCCGCGGGGACTGCCCCCACTTGGAGTGGGACGGGGCAGGGACGTGGTGTGAGGCAGGGTGAGGAGGGGAGTTTCTCCACCTTCTGCCCCACCCCCTTCCGTCCTGCCCTGGGCCTCTGTTGGAGGGAAGCAGTGTGCAGCCCTGGGGGGTGGGGACAGGTTGGTGTGAGTGCCCTCCGCCCCGCTGGGGGCAGTAGCTCCGAGGCCTGTCACACAGGCACTACGGCCCAGTTGTGGGGAGCAGAGACTGGGAAACACCTGGGGTGCAAGAAAGGCTTCCGCGCCCCAGGGTGCACGCTTCAGGCCACCTCTGTGTGGGGGGCCCGCGGTGGAGTGTGTGGGAGTGGGGAGGGAGGGCGGAGCTTTACTTCCAAAATTGCGGTTATTGCCAACACTACATCTTTTCTTTTTAAAGATTTTGTTTATTTTTAGAGAGGGGAAGGGAGGGAGAAAGAGAGGGAGAGAGACATCCATCAGTTGCCTCCTGCACACCCCCAGCAGGGGACCTAGCCCACAACCCAAGTGTGTGCCCTGACCGGGAATTGAACCGGCAACCTTTCTGTTTGCAGGATGAGGCCCAACCCACTGAGCCGTGCCAGTCAGGGCTAATGCCGCACTTAGCATTAATTATAGCACTTTCATTGTTTTCCTTATCTCGAAAACAATGAAATAACCCTTACAAAATAGTGGAAACTACAGGAGTGGAAAGGCGTGGGGGGAAATAAGAGCTCGGGCTGTGATCCGTGCGACATGGACAAAGGCCTCGCTGAGAGCTGGTGCCCCCGGCGGGACAGCGGTGCCCGCCGTCTGAGCCTGGCCTGCAGTAGTTGCTCAGTAAATGGTCGTCGTGGTGGGTATTATTGACGCCAGAACCCGTCATCCAGGCAGAACCGCACAGCATCCTTGTAGGCATTTTTCTGTATGAACACTGTTTTTTTAATACTCATAGCAATTTTTTAAAAAGATTTTATTTATTTATTTTTATAGAGGGAAGGGAGAGAGATAGAGAGAGAGAGAAACATCAATGTGTGGTTGCTGGGGGTCATGGCCTGCAGCCCAGGCATGTGCCCGGACTGGGAATCGAACCTGCGACACTTTGGTTCACAGCCCGCGGTTGATCCACTGAGCTATGCCAGCCAGGTCCAAACGTTTTTTAATTATGATGAAATTCAGTATCTTGATTTTTTTTTCTTTCGTCCTTGGTGCTTCTGGTGTCGTGGCTGAGAAACCATTCCCTAACGCAAGGTCACGTCCCAGAGACAGAGCTGGTGGATGTCAGCCAAAGCCACGAGTCTCGCGCCGCGTGGGGCGGGTCTGGCCCTGTGCCAGAGCTAAGCACAGCGGCCCGTGGCCCCGGGGTCCCGTGGCCTGAGCTCACACCCAGCTCCTCCAGGCTCTCGACAGTGGGCTGGGCCCCCGGACCTCTCCGAGATTTTTCTGTGAAACGGGGTCATAGTAGTGCCTGCCTTTGAGGGGGACCAGGTGCCTGGTCCAGGGCAGGCGCTCGGTGAAAGGCAGCCGTGCGCATCGTTACGTCCCCGCTGAGCCCTTCCGGCTCCCTCTCCCCAGTGGCCTCGGTCGGTCCAGCTGGCCCCGGTCTGCTCCCTGGGGTCTGGTTACGTGCAAGTGCAGGACCTGGCAGCCACTGTGGAAACAGCCAGGCCCGCTGGGTCTCGGCCTCCTGGCCCAGCGGAGTCCGGGGGCAGAGGGGCAGGGGCCCCTTCTTCCCTGTGCCTGGCCCGGAGGCGAGGGGTGGAGGGGGGCACTGGGGCCGCGGGACGCCAGCCTCGGGCGCCGCGCCTTCCCGAGCGCTGCAGGCAGCTCTTCCTGGGCTCCTGACCGCTCCCCCAGTGCAGTGGTGGCAGGGGCCTCGAGTGTTCTAGTGGCTGCTGCTCACTGGCGTATCTCCTTGCTGCTTTCCGAGGGTCCCGGGAAGCAGGCACTCTTAATCCAGTTGACAGATGGGCAAACCGAGGAAACTGAGGCTCCGAACGGGGATGCGTTTTGCTCCAGGTCACACAGCTTGGAGCCCGTGGGGCCGGGGTCTGCACCCAGGCTGGCCCGGGTCAGGACGGCACTGCCAGTAGGAGGCCTCGCGTGTTGTTGGGAAGTTCCTAGAGACCACGCGAAAAAGCAAAAGGGAACGGATGAGTTAATTTTGATAACATACGGTAGTTGACGTAAGCCAGTCTATCCAGAATGCTGTCGTTTCAATGGGCGATCAGCACGAACAGTGGCCGGAACACTCAGATGCCACTGACCACGTTTCAGCAGCTCGCTGGCCACATCCGGCTTCTGTGTCGGGCGGCTCCAGCACTCGCATGGCAGGGCCTCAGAGCCTGCCCCTCTCCCTCCAGGGGCTGGGCGCCCCCCCCACCACCATTCTTGGTGAGGGGCGGGGCCGTTGGCGTGGGAGCTTGGAGGCCCTGGGGTGATGGCCACCCTCTCACCCACAGCCGGAGTCACAGCGGAGAGAGTTTGCAGAGAAGCTGGAGTCCCTGCTGCACCGCGCCTACCACCTGCAGGAGGAGTTTGGGTCCACCTTCCCGTCCGACAGCATGCTGCTGGACCTGGGTGAGCCGGGCCCCTCGCGGGCAGCACCGGGGTGGGTGCGGGGAGGCAGCCAGAGAGCCGCAGCGGGACTCCCCTGGTGCATCAGGCAAACCAGAGTCCCCAGGGCCCTCAGGCCGCCTCTGGTCCAGTACACAGACAGGGAAACCAAGGTCCAGAAGGGGTTGAGGGGTGCTCTGACACGTGGCAGGCGGGAGCAGGCTGGGGTGAGGCCCTGGGGAGCCCCTGCACCCGTGCCTTTGGGAGTGGGCCTTGGGCTTATTCAGGCCTTTGGTTTGAGCCTCTTCCTGCAGGCAGTGGGTGGGCAGAGGGGTGGCCCCCAGGATTATCCGAGAGCAGGCCGAGGGGCCGAGAATCTTCCCCGCCATTTCCCTGCCCCACGGGGCTGAAGGGGCGTGGCACCGCTGGGAGAATGAAGTTACGCAGCCAACAGCCCGTGTCGCCCCAGCGGCTGCTGGGTGCCAGACCCTGCGCCGTGAATTGGGCGGCCCCCAGAGCCTTCCCGAGTGTGCCGGCAGCCCCGAGGGGAACCGTTCCTCGGCTCTACTGGTGGCGACCCAGGCCCGGCGCAGGCTGGCCAGGGTGACGCGATTCCCATACCCCCGCCCTGAGTGGCTTTGCCTGTTTGTCTGAGGCCCCACTTCCTCCGGCCCCCCACTGGCAGGGAAGGCGGGTGGGGCTTTCAGGGGGTGAACTCTGCTGGTCAGTGTCTCAGGCCTTTCCCAGGTGCCCGTGAGGTCCAGCCCCTTAGCCCTCAGGTGGGTGAGGACGGGAACTCCGAGGGAGTGGCCTGTGGGCCCCCCCAAGCCCTTCGGTGTCGATAGCCAAGTTTTGGCTGGTCAGAGAGGGGAAGCGACCTGTCCGGGGCCACACAGCACCCCGGGGCCTGCCTCTGAGGATCTCGGGGCCACCGGGAGTCAGGGTGCACCCGTGCGGCATGGGCCGGTCCCCTCAGCAGCCTCATGTCCACGCCCAGCTGCGCCCCCCACAGGGACGTCTCAGGGTGGACGGCGAGGGGCCCCGGGTCCTCACACACACGGGTTCGGTGGACGGGAGCGCCGTGCGGGTCTGCGTCCTCCGCCGGTGCCCGGCGTCCTGGGCGCCGGGTGCATGCGTCCGGCCAGGGAGCTCGGGGGTCTCGGCTCAGCCCTCCTCTCCCCGCTCTTCGCAGAGCGGACCCTCATGCTGCCCCTGACCGAGGGCTCGCTGCGCCTGCGGGCGGACGACGAGGACAGCCTGACCTCGGAGGACTCCTTCTTCTCTGCCACCGAGGTGACGCGGGAGGTGGAGGGACACGGGTGGGCGGGGTGGGGGCCGGGCCTCTGCGCGACCCTGGGCGAGCGCGGTCCTGGGAAAGCGCAGCCGTTCGCAGAGTTGGGCCGTCTCCGAGTGCCGCTCCCTGGGGACTCCGTGCGGCCGCTGGGGCCCGGGAGGCCCGGGAAGCCGGGGCTCATAGGCCCTGGGGGTGGGGGTGGGGGTCTGCACCCCCACCAGCTCCAGCCCACGCTGACCTGTCCCTTCTCCCTGCCACATGTTTGCTGCCTGGCGGCAGCCCCCTGCCATGGCCTGTGTGTCGGGCCCCACTGTCCTGGCCTGCAGCGGGAAGACTCAGGCTCGGGTTCCTTTGGGAGGAACCCCTGGAGACGGGGACACGAGGGCCAGAGATGGACTCGAACCCAGGCCTTCTGCCTCTTGGGCCAGTGCTCCTTCAGACGTCCCCCTGGGAGGCCGCCCCCTCGGGCGTCCGCCGGGCACGGGCGCTCAGCCCCCGGGATGGGACGCGACGCTGTTCCCAGGGGCTCTGACGCCCTCCCTCCTCCTCTGCCCTCCCCAGCTCTTCGAGTCCCTGCGGGCCGGCGACTTCCCCGTGCCGCTCTCCAGGCCCGCCGCTGCCTACGAGGAGGCCCTGCAGCTGGTGAAGGAGGGGAAGGTGCTCTGCCGGACCCTCCGGTGAGTGGGCGGGGCGGGCGCCGGCCCCCTCGGAGGAGGCCGGAGCAGCCAGCGGTCTTTCCTCTGAGAGCACTCGGCTGGGCCCGGCTCACCGAGGGCTGCGGTGGGCGGGCACCCACCCCCGCCCCACTGAGGAGGGCCCGGGCTGGCCCCCGCCGGGCACCGAGACAGGCGCATCTGGAGTTAGCGACGACAAATCAATACAATTAATAAATAAAGCAATAGTGTTTCGTGCTTAGTCTAAGCTCTCGGGGCGGGGGGGCCTGGCCACGGAGACACAGGGGGCCTTGTTCCTTGGCCCCGTGTCCTGATACGACCCTTTCTGAGGTATATTTAGGCTTCTTAATTCATTTTAAATTAATTTTTCTGTGTGACATGAAAATCGCAGCTTGGCTTTTGGGCATGGTTCCAAATTCAAGGTCTGTGTGTTTAAAGTCCACGGGCTGAGATAGCGAAAAGCCCCAGTCGAAGCCCTGGTGACTTGGCTAAAGGGCAGCCAGACCCCGCGCGGTGGCAGCCCCCTGCCCTGGCGTCCGGCCAACCGGGGGCCCAGGTCAGCCCAGCTCCCAGTGACTAGACCTGTCGGCTGTGCCCGGGGTTACTGAGGCCGACATGTCCTCAGAGAGCACCCAGTCAGCCTCTCGCTTTGGTTTGGGGGAGACCGAGGCGCACGGCGGGGGCAGACACCTGCCCCAGATCACACCGCCAGGCCCGGGCAGCGCCACCTGGGGCTCCGCCCAGAACCCCGTGGGGGCCTCGCCGGATGGGGCCCTGGGGGGTGGGGGGCGAGGCTGACTCTGCTTCCCTGCAGGACGGAGCTGCTGGGCTGCTACAGCGACCAGGACTTCCTGGCCAAGCTGCACTGCGTGCGGCAGGCGTTCGAGGTGGGTGCGGGGTGGGTGGGGGTGGGGGTCCTGGGAGGGTGGGGTCGGGGTCCGGGCCGGGCAGGCGGGTCCCAGTGAGCTGGCGGGCCACCTGCTCTGCTCAGCACCTGGGACCGCCCTCTCCCTGGCTGCGGGGGACTGCCAGCCGGGCAGCAGCTCACTCCACCCCCCCCCCCCCCCCTACCCCCGCTCCTTAGGGCCTTCTGGAAGACCAGAGTAACCAGCTCTTCTTCGGGGAGGTCGGCCGGCAGATGGTGACGGGCCTGATGACGAAGGCCGAGAAGGTAGTTGTGGGGGGCTCTTCTTTCAGGTTCTCCCCCCCCCCCCCCGCTTGTTCTGTTTCAGTTTCTAGCTTGTATTTGGTTGTGTGAAAAGAAATGAAAAGAAAAGCCCTACCTGGAATCCAGCAGGGGAACTTGGACTTCACCCTGTGGGAGAGCTGGGAAAGGCTTGGGGGTTTTTTCTGCGCTAATTTTAAAGAAATGTGGGTCTGTGTTGCTTCTCATTTCTGACTGCAATAGAACACAGCGCTACAGAATCCACCAGCTGTGAAATGCAAACCGCAGGGAGTCTCCCTGAACCCCACCAGCCGGGGGGACCACGGCCCGTCTGTCCTGCCCGCTTCTGTGGACTCTGCCCCTTGAACTTGTTGTTTAATCTCCAAGGCTCGGGCCGTGCCTGTGGCCTCTGCAGCCCCGCCGTGCCGTGTGTGAGTGTGTCCCGCTCACGTGTCCTGCCGGTGACGTTGACCGGTTGCGTTGCGTCCTGCTGGGCGGGCGGCTGCCCGTGGCTTGTCCGCTCCTCCCGGGGATGGGCGTCTGCCCTGGGCCTCGCGCGTCAGGGGCGAGGATACCACTTCACAGCCCGTCCCTGCAGTTCTCTCCGCGCGGTGAGGCTGGCTGCGGGACAGCGCCGAGGCCGCCGCAGCCCTGGGCCCTGGGTGCCGGCGTGGGGCCGGCGCGCCCTCCCACGCCCCTTAACAGTGAAGGTCCTCGCCAGCAGTGTGGGAGTGCGTCTCCTTGCATCCTGGCCAGTGCTGGATGTTAATAACCTTTTTAGTTTTTACCTTATTCACGCTCGATGTTTCTTTCATCATTGGTGAGGCTGCATCGATTTCCATGTCAGTGGGACACGGGTGTCCCTTCTCTTTGATGGGTCTGAACAAAGCTCTTGAAGGTGCCCTTGCCCCCTCGGTCCTTTCTCCTCACCTGTCAGGGCAGTGGTTCCGAAACCCACCCGTGACCTCGTCCCCCAGCTGCGTAAGACGCTCCCCCGCCACCCTTGGTGGCAACGGCAGGCTGCCCTCGGTGGCCTGCCCCACTGCGCGCTCTGCCCCGTCCGGACGGACTGGCCCCGGGCTTCCGGTCCACGCGGACTCCCCCCCCCCCTGACGGGGGCCTCTGCCTGTGCTGGTCCCTCCGTGCCTGGCCCACTTTTCCTCCGTCCCTCGTTGGTGAACGTCGTCGTGAGGTGCGCTGGCGAGGGTGCAAAGGGGCATCTGTGGGCTTTAGCAAGAGAAGAGGCGGACCCCCGTGTATCCGGCACCCGGGCTCGGAGGTGCAGCCATGCTGGCGTCTGGAAGCTCCCCATCCCCCCGCCCCTCTTCCGTGGTCTCCTGTCTCCTAAGTCCCCGCCAGGCGGCTCTTTCCCTGGGATGCCGTCGCCTGGCTCCTCCCACCGAGGGCCCAGCGCGGCCCCTCACTCCACATCCCACTCGTGGGCTGTCGCTCTCCGGGCTCGGTGAGCTCCGCCCCCGCCCTGTTGGCCTCGTGGTGAACGCCACTCCGGTGCCGCCTCTGCCCGTGGTTCTGTAAACGGCACCAACCTGTCCATGCTCTTCGGTGTCAGCTCCACACCCCCCACCCCCGGCTCTCCGACACATCCTTGACGTCTCGGAACCTCGGTCTTCTTATCTGTAAAGCGGGCATAACACCAGGGCGCCCCTCTCAGGACGGTACAAACTAGGTGCGTTGACCCACATTAGATCAGTCCCGGCACGTACCAGCTGCCCGTGTCCGTAAGTGCCCGCCCGCGCCCGTGGGTCCTGCTCCAGCTGAACCTCGCGGTGCCGGGGAGCGAGGGACCCGCCCGTGTGCCGGCAGCTCAGGCACTGCTCACTGCCGAGGCCCGGGCACCGGGCTGGCTGTGTCACCTGCGGGAGCTCCTCGGCCCCCCCCGCCCCGGGAAAGCCCCACGAGTGTGGAGCTGCAGCTTCTCCCGTCCCACCAGCGAGGCCCGAGGCCGTGGCGGTTTGGATCTCTGGCCGCCTGACTCGGGCTCGTGTCCTCGCCCACGCTTCCAAAGTGGGCTCCTGCCGCGGGGCGGGCGCACCTCCCGGAAGACGGTGGGTGCTCGGGAACGGGCTGGCGTGAGACGCCGCTGGGAGCCTGCTGTGGGGTCTGTTCTGGAGGCGCCCTGGTCTCCACAGGGGCACATGGAGGTGGGCAGGGCACCCTCCTTGCCTCGGTGCCTCCAAGGCTGCTGCTCAGCCATCGGCCCTGGCCCTGCCTTGGTGCGTCCCCGTCCACGGGCCAGCCCGTCCCCACAGATCTGGTCCAGCTGGGCCTGGGCCTTCTCCCCACAGAGCCCCAAAGGCTTCCTGGAGAGCTACGAGGAGATGCTGAGCTACGCCCTGCGCCCGGAGACCTGGGCCACCACTCGGCTGGAGCTGGAGGGCCGAGGGGTGAGTCGGTTTGTGCTTAGCGCCCGGGACCCTGAGCAGGGGGTGGGGGGGGTGCCTGTGCGGAGCTCTGCCTTGATTCCGAGGGCCTCGGGTGGCTCCATCGTGGCCGTGAGCCCCCAGTTTCTGCCCCGCCCCAGGCCCCGGCCGTGAGAGAGATGGCCCCGGCTGCACCCGGCCACAGAGCAGAGCTGCTCCTGCGCCCCGCGGCGGCCCCACACGCCCTCGCCCCCTCCGGCCTGCGGCCTTCCCCTCCCCGGACCGCGGTCCTGGCCACAGAGCAGCCCGCCTCTCCCAGGTGGTGTGCATGAGCTTCTTCGACATCGTGCTGGACTTCATCCTCATGGACGCCTTCGAGGACCTGGAGAACCCCCCGTCCTCGGTGCTCGCCGTCCTGCGGAACCGCTGGCTGTCGGACAGCTTCAAGGAGACGGTGGGTGGCCGCCCCCGCTCCCGGCGCACACTCGCAGGAACGCACGCGTCGGCCTGGACCCTGGTCCCCTCCATCCCTGGCTTTGGGTACCGAGGCTGGGCTGCCCCCATCAGTCAGCGGTCACCCCGCTGGGCCGGCCCCTGCTCCTCTGCCGCAGAGGAGCCTCCCCGGGACCCCGTTGTTCTCCTCGGCAATGTGGTAAAGCCAGTGGCCTGTGCGTTGTCCTCCCCCGCAACGGTTTCACCTACTTGATTCTGCTCATTCCGCGCCGGCGTTCACGTTACCCAATTTTAATGCATCCTATTAAATTAAAACGTGGAAGAGGATCAGCAGGAGAGCGCCGAGCTCAGCGCCCCTGCAGGGCAAGGGTGCCCTCAGGAAGCCCAGGCAGGTGGTAGGGGCCGGTCTCACAGGCAGTGTCCAGGCGCTCGCTATGGATCCCACGCCCCCGGATGGGATGGGCTGCCGCCAGCCCACTGCCCTTCTAGAGGTCGGGAAATGGAGGCCCCGAGATGCTCAGCGGCTGGTCCCGGGGCCCGCAGGGGTCAGCGTTAGCGTCAGGCTTCAGGTTTAGGTGCATCTGCCTCCTGACTGAGGGGCGGTTAGCGGCAGAGCTCAGGCACCAGCCCCACCTTCCTGCTGGGAGTGAGGCCTCGGGGCCGGGCCGGGCGGCGGGCAGGGGCTGTGGCCCAGCCTGTCGCTCTGGCACCCACTGGGTCCCGTCTCTGCTCTAGGCCCTGGCCACTGCCTGCTGGTCGGTCCTCAAAGCCAAGAGGAGGCTGCTGATGGTGAGTGACCTGACAGGAGGGCCCTTGGCGAGTGCCGTGGGGCACTCGAGGGGGAGCGCCCACTCAGCTGCCCCTCTGCTCGGGGCGTGCTGACCCCTGGTCGGGGCAGGACAGAGCAGGGTGGACAGAAGAATGGGGCGGGCGCAGGGAGGCTCTGCTGAGCCCCCAGGCCTGGCCGCACCTTTGGGTCTCTGCCACAGCACGGGCTGCCTGCCCCCCAGTGCCCCTCCCCTGACCAGAGCGCCTTCACCTCACCCCTCGGGGCCCAGCAGAGCAGGACTCGGGAAATGCTGAGGGGATTGGAAGGGGGAAGGGCATCCTCGGAGGGAGGGAGGGCGGGCACAGGCAGAGAGAGGCGTGGCAGCCGGCTTGGGCGGGGCGTCGGGGTGGGGGCGGGACACCCCGGAGCAGGCAGTGGCCCCGTCCACCATGGGGCTGCAGTTATCTGCCCTCCCAGGCGGCGCCGGCTGCCCTGTGTGGCCTGCGGTCCTTGTCCCTCTCCGCCAGCCAGGCTCTGCTGCCCAGCTGATACCAGCTGCCGCCACCGCCACACACACTGGGCACTTCCTGTGCCGAGCCCTCCCCAGGCCCCTCCTGGGACAGCCCTCAGGGCAGCCCGGAGGTCCCCCCCCCACCCGGGTTCTGCGGAGGTGAGAACGTGGTCCTCCCTAGTGGCCTGTCCGGGGCCACCCGGCGCGGATGGGAGTGCCCCAGGCCCCCTCTAAAGCCCGGCTCCCGAAGGGGCCGCCGGGGGCCCAGCCTCAGCCTCGCCGCCCCAACAGGTGCCTGACGGCTTCATCTCCCATTTCTACTCCGTATCGGAGCACGTTAGCCCGGTCTTGGCCTTCGGCTTCCTCGGACCCAAGCCCCAGCTCGCCGAGGTCTGTGCTTTCTTCAAGGTGAGTGGGGCTCTGCCTGCCGTGGGCCCTGGAATCCGAGCCCGGGAAGGTGCCAGGAGCGGAGCGACAGCCTGGCATGCGCCCCCCCACCCCCACCCCCCGCCCGGAAGGGCCCCGGGGCGCCTGCGGAGCGCACGCGAGGCCCCCTCCATGGGGACCCTGGCCCAGGGGGTCTGAGGAAGCCCGAGACAGCTCTGAGGGTCTGGAGGCCCGGCGGGGGCGAGGGCGGGCAGGGGCGCCAGCCCAGGCCTCACGCCAGCCCTGCCCCCAGGACCAGATTGTGCGGTACCTGCGGGACATGTTCGACCTGGACAACGTGCGCTACACCTCGGTGCCGGCGCTGGCGCATGACATCCTGCAGCTGTCCCGGCGCCGCAGCGAGATCCTGCTCGGCTACCTGGGCACGGCGCTGAGCAGCAGCGCCGGCCTGAACGGGGCGCTCCCCCACGAGAACGGCCCCCTGGAGGAGCTGCCGTAGCGGCCGCAGCAGGCTGGGAGGGGTGGCCGCCGCAGCCTCGTCCGCGTGGGCGACGGCAGAGCGAAGGCGCCCCCTGCCTCCTTCGGGTGGGCACCCAGGGGCCTGGCTTCTACGGCCGTCGGCGGCAGCAGAGCCCTGGCTGTGGGACCATGGGCAGTTGCCCCTGACCTTGCCCCGCACCCCATCACCTGGGAATTCCTAAGGCCTGAGGGGGGCAAACTTCCTTGGAGAGGGATGGAGCCCTTAGGGACCCCACTGTCTGCCCTTGGCTGTCCCTGGGGAAGCAGAGGCTGGACCAGTGGCCAGTAGGGCCTGCAGGGCAGTGAGAAGAAGGCAGTGAGAGAGAGGAAGGTGTTGTGAGGGGAATCAGGGCAGGCAGAGCTGGGGTGCCCTGGGTGTGGGACCCCAAGAGCTCCCCCCACCCGGGGCTACCGACAAGTGAGCTGGGAGGGTGGTGGAGAAAGGCGGGGGCGGCAGGGCTCTGTGGTCAAGGTCGCTGATGTCTCAAGCCAGCAGGCACTTGGGCTGAAGGTTTCAGAATGCAGGCACATGGCTGGCCATTGCAAGGACCATGCCGCCACCCTAGAGTTTGCAGCTCCAGAGAGGGAGGGTGGGGGCCTCGGACTGGGAGGGTGGGACTGTGGGCACCTTGGTAGCAGCAGGCCAGGACCCTCGGGAGGGGGGACAGAGGAGGGCCTGCACCCCGTGCTCACATCTGGGCAGGGGCAGGTCCTGGACAGATCCGAGCACCAGGCCAGGGCATCGTCCTCGGACATTCCCTCTCCCTGCCAAAGCCTGTCATTCCTCTCCCCCCACCCCCCCGCCCCTTGCTCCCGCCACCACCAAAGACAGGAGGTGGGGCTGGTCCTCCTGCCCCTACCCACCTCCTTTGGCGAGCCCGGGACTCCCAGGTGGTGCCAGGCGCCGAGCTGGAGGCTGTGGCCCAGCCTGTCCCCTGTGCTGCCGTGGGCGGTGGCCCGAGGGGCAAGGGGCCCAGGGACCACACGGGGCGGGGGGCAGTCAGGAGGCGTGCCGGCCAGGCCGGCCTTCAGCCGGACGTGCAGATGCCCTCCGGTTGGTCGGGCCGCAGCGTGGCGCCCGCCTCCCCGCTGGCCCTCAGCGGGAGGCGGTCAGCACACGTCCCCGCGTCGCTTGTCCCCACACCGCGGGGCTTCTCCCGGCCCTGCAGACTCACTTCTCTTAGGGTGTTTCCGCCTGAGCCGTGACGTTTTATTTATTGCCTTAACACTTTATTTTGAGGTTCTGCCCCTGTCCAGGTTGGGAGGCACGTGAGAGAAATACCCTTCTCCTGGTTCTCTGTTCCCTGGATGTGGGGGACTGGCTCTCCTCTCCCCTGAATGGCAGAGGGGCCCCAAGGGGGAGTGATCTTGCCCATTTGGGTCCAGGGGGAGGGAGATGCTGGCATGGTCCACCCTCTGTGAGCCCCCTTTCCTCCTAGAGTCCGCCCCCCACATGCCCGCATCTCCCTGCACCGCCCGTACTCCCCAGACGGGGGCACTGCTGCGCACTGAGCTCGGTCTGACTCTGAGCCCGGTAGCTTCCCAGGGGGAGGCCCGGGCGGCGCCCCTCCCCCCCAACCCAACATTCCGTTCGTTTGCACTTAACCCGCGCTGTGAATGTAATCTGGGGCCGGGGCCCGGCCTCACTGATTTGCTCCCACATCACACACAAGTGGCATTTTCATTCATTTCGTCTGTTTACACATCCACGCACTGCCCCTCGGCACTCGGTCTGTCGCGGCTTCCGACTTTTGTACGGTAGAGCATCTGTGCATTGACTTGGAGTCGAATAAACGATGTAAGGGATTTCTCTCCGAGTTGCCGTGCCTCTGGGTACACGCGTGGCCGTTTACTTCCTGGGCCGGGGCCGGGCACCCTCTCTTTGGGGCGCAGTGGGCGGGGGTTCCAGGAGGGCAAGGGTCGAGGGCAGCCTGGTGGAGGCGCCGAGTCCTTTCCAGGCCACTGAGCCTGGCGGGGTCCACGTGGTCCGCGGGCTGGGAGGGCCCCTGCTGCGGGAGGAGGAGCGGTGGCCAGTGAAATGCCTGGGGGCGCAGATGTGGGTGGGCAGCCTGGGCGTGGACCAGCTCAGGCAGACCTAGGTGGGGCGGCTTCTCCGGGGCCCGTGTCCACATCTGCAAGATGCGGGCGCTGCAGGAGACGGGGAGCGAAGACGCAGGCGCAATCGCTAGCCGCCTGAGCTGCGGAGAACCAGGGCGCGGGGCTGGGACAGGTGGGAGCGGCAGGTGTGAGCCCGCCTGACCTTCAGCTGTGTTCCTGGGCACTCACCGCAAGCTTCATTTGAAGGGTGCTTTTTTTTTTCCTTAAAGATTTTATTCATTTATTTTTAGAGAGGAAAGGGAGGGAGAGAGAGAGGGAAACATCAGTGTGCGGTTGCTGGGGGTCATAGCCTGCAACCCAGGCATGTACCCTGACTGGGAATCGAACCTGTGACACTTTGGTTCGCGGCCCGAGCTCAATCCACTGAGCTACACCAGCCAGGGCTAGCAGGGTGCTTAAAAAAAGAAGAAAAAACTTGGAAAATGTTCAAAGGTACTGAAGAGTTAAAAAGAAAACCATATAAAGCCTGCCCATAAAATGAACACCTCCGTCAGTAATTAACATCTTGCCATGTTTTTAAAGATTTTATTTATTTATTTATTTTTAGAGAGAAGGGAAGGGAGGGAGAAAGAGAGGAAGAGAAACATCAATGTGTGGTTGCCTCTCATGAGTCCCCCACTGGGGACCTGGCCTGCAACCCAGGCATGCGCTCTGACTGGGAATTGAACCGGCGACCCCCTGGTTTGCAGGCCTGTGCTCAATCCACAGCCACACCAGCCAGGGCCATCTTGCCATTTAAAAAAATATTTTAGAGAAGTTCCAGACCTGTGCTTTACCTGTAAGCACCTGAACAAGCAGATCTTAAAAACAAGGTAGTTCTTTGACATGACCAAAATAACATAATCACACCCCAGAAATGTATCAGTCATTCTCCGATATCTGCTGGGGCTCTGAAAACAAGTTTCCGATCAACTAATGGACTCAAGTTCCACCTGAGAAGGAAAGTGTGTGACTCCCTTTGCCAGTTTTAGAGACGCCACCTGATACGGTCACCTCCAATGCTGGCAAGTAGGTGGGTTTGGCTGAAACAGCTTTAATGAGGTATCGCTTCTATGCCATAAAATGCATTCGTTTGAATGATTGTTCTCTCAGTTTAGGGAGCGCAGCTATTGCCACCACCACAGGAAGACCCTTTGTGCCCACCTGCAGTGAGCCCCCCCCCCCCGGCCCCAGGCTGCTACTTCCCTCTCTCCACTCCCCTTTCAGACCTTCCTGCAAATGGACCCCCACCGTAGGTGGTCTTCGTGCCTGGCTTCGAATGACGTTTTGTGATTTGTCCGTTTTATGGCACGTACCAATTAATTTCTCTTGCTGACTAGCATTCCATAATGCAATGAGTTTTTCCGGTTTTTGAACACTGCTGTACACTTGTGGGTTCTTATGTGATAACGGGCAGTTACAGTCTCTTTTCTGGTGCTCAAGTGGCCACAGATTTGATAACCCGTTTGAGCTGCCTCCTGGGCCCTTTGGACCCCCCCCCCGCCTCATCCCCATCCTCCTTTGAGCACTTCCTGCCTTTCTAGAATAACATGATGTTCCCAGAAGCCAAGCCCCGGGGACCGGAGCCGGGGAGGCCCTGAGGGAACCCTGGCCCACTTCTGAGGCAGAGGGGGGCGGGCTGCCTAGGCATCCAAACACAGAGACTCCCGAGGCGAACGGAGCAGCCCCTAACGTGGGGGGCCGCGGCCGACAGGGTTTGGGCAAACGGGGCCCGAGAGCGCGCATGTCGGAGTGCGAACCGGTGTCACGCTTTGTGCCTCCGGTGTCAGGGCTGCCCTGTCTGGCCTCTGCCGGAGGAGGGGCCAGAAGGAAAGGCCAGCCCTGCTCGGGACAGCTGGGGACTCTGGGAGAGCCTGGTTCTCCGGGCTCATCCGAGGACGCCCAGGGGGCAGGCCGGCGACTTCCTCAGGGTCTCCGTGGTTCCCCGTGCGGCATTCACACCCGCACTGCCGAGCCCCTCGTCCCCACGCCCGGTCTGACCTGTCCCCTCCGCCGTCTCATGGGACCCTGCAGTGGCTCCTGGGCGCATCTCCGTCAGAAATGCATGCGTAAGCGCGCCGGAGATACACACGAGGATGCACCTAGCAGTGCTGGTTGTGACCCCCCAGACCTGGACACACCCCACATGCCCGTTAAAAGTCAAATGGAAGCCCTGGCTGGTGTGGCTCCTTGCATTGGATGCTGCCCCGCGAACTGAAAGGTCATCGGTTCCATTCCCAGTCAGGGCACGTGCCTGGGTGTGGGCCAGGTCCCCACTTGGGGGCGTGCGAGAGGCAACTGATCCACTATCTTCTTGCACATCAACGTTTCTCTCCCTCTTCCTCCCTCCCTCCCCTTCTCTCTAAAAATAAACAAAATCTTTCAAGAAAAAGAGTCCAATGGAAAATAAACCGTGGCGTACTCAACACCACACGGCACTGAGAGTGAACTAATGACGACTAGGGGGCAGGTGTGGATACATGTCGCAAACACGACTGTGAAAGAGCCACACGTGAACAGGACACAGAGGGTGGGACGAACGTGGGTTTACAGTTGTTTGTATGGAAAAGACCACAATCATTAATAAATGCGAGTATCGTCCAAGGATAAAGTGTCTTGCATGCTCAGAACCCTAAACCTACTGTTACCCCGCCCTGCGCTGTCAGACACCCACAGAAAGCAGGAAGCCGGCCCGAACTCGTGCGCGGTGTCAGATGTTGGGGTGGTGGCCGCCCCGGGGGGAGCAGGTGGGGTGTCAGGGGCTCCTGGGGCTCCGGTTCTTGATCCAGGGCTGCTCACACAGGTGTGTTTTGTTTCTGAAACCATCACATTCCATTTCTGGAATTTCTTGTCTAAATGTTACGTTTTAATGTAACTTATTATTAATTTGGGAGAGAGACGGAGAAATATGGATTCGTTGTCCCCCTTATTTATGCATTCGTCGGTCGCGTCTTGTATGTGCCCTGAACCGGCAACCTTGGCCTATTGGGACGACGCTTTAACCAGGAAGCTACCTGGCCAGGGTTATATTTTCATTTTTAGAAAAAGTACAACCAGACCAAACGACACTCCCATCCTTCCCGGCTCCCACCTGTCCTCACCACTAAGAATGGCCCTTGAAGTTTTGGGGGGCCAAGCCCCTGCCGCACCCCCACTCTCCCAGCCCCTCACCCCTCACTCTCTGTTGCCCATTTCACCCAGCCATGCCCCTGTCTCAGGACCCTGGGTTCTGCTGTCCCCTCTTCCAGGAAAACCCTGCACTGGATAACTCCTCTTTCTATAGTTCTGCGTCTTCACCACGGCCTTGGAATGCTTCCCCCGAGGAGGGCACTCTGCAATCACACAGGCCTGGGCTTCAGGGGCTCTGCCTCCCTAGGCCTGTGTGCTCACTGGAGAAATGGCCACCGACCAGGGAGGGGCAATGCAGCCAGACCAGGGTGGCTGCCCCGTCCCAGGGGCTGGCTATTCTGGGAAACTCACAGCCCACTCTTCTCGTACCTCCTGCTTCTCAGAAGCTAATAATGGCAGTGCCTGAGGTAGCTGACGACAGGTGACAGGGAAATGGGGCCAGCTGACCCAGAGAAGCCGAGGGGGGCTGGGTGGGGAGTTGAGCGCAGCTGGGGGGAGCCAGGGGCCCTCCCGGCTCCCTGGTGGTCTCCGAGGCAGCACGATCCCCCAGCCCTCCCAGCTGAGCCCACCACCCCAGCTCCAGCTGTCCTGTGCCCTTGCAGAGCCACCTGCTCTGGCTGGTGGGATTCCCTGGTTTACTTTCACTTCTCACAAGCATTTATATCATTTAACAGCCTCTTGTTCTAGGTCTGGTCTGGGCCAGGCCCAAATACATAACGGGCCCTGTCTTCAGGGTGCCCTGGGCTTCTCCAGGCATGGCTGGAACCACTTGTACTGGTGGTTCCAGTTGTATCAGAACCCCAGGGCCCTGGCTGGTGTGGCTCAGTGGATTGAGCACAGGCTACAAACCAATGGATCACTAGTTTGAGCCCCAGTCAGGGCACATGCCTGGGTTGCGGCCAGGTCCCCAGTAGGGGGTGCTCCAGAGGCAACCACACATTGATTTTTCTCTCCCTGTCTTTCTCCTTCCCTTCCCCTCTCTCTCAAAATAAATAAATAAAATCTTAAAAAAAAAAAAGAACCCCAGGGCATGTAAGAATGCAGACTCCAAGGCCCTAGTTGGACCCAGGAATCTGCATTTCCTATACATTGGTCTTCCTACAAGTTGGTCTTGGTGCGCGTGAAGTCAGAGAACCATTGTGTACTGGGAGAGACAGACAAGAAACTGATTACAGTCCTGCGTGGTCAATGCTGGGGTAGGAGAGGGGCCCAGTGGAGGCTGCTCAGGGGACCACAGAAACCTCTACGTGAGAACGGACACTGGAGCCAGATTGGGCCCGGCAAAGTCTGGGCAGGGATGCATTCCAGGCAGTGGAATAGCCTGTGCAAAGGCTAGGAGACAACAGGAGGTCAGCACTTTGCCTGGACTATGAGTAACTCAACCTATTCTGAGACAGTGGGGGTAGGAAAGGGACACGTGGGTGGCAAGTTGCGGCTGTTTACGCAGGGCCTTGTTGCCTGCCGAGTGGAATGCTTGGGGAAACTGAGGTAGATGGAAAACCGGCTTCCTGTTTAAAATGTTCCCAAGCTGCCTCATTAAACACTGTAAATGTGACTGAATAATACGCCTTTGTTAATTGACTAAAAGAAGGAAGGAGTCTTTCTTAACTTCAATTAAGCTTCCACTCTTCGCATCACGTAAGAAGAGATAAGTGCCTTCTGGGTCTTTGACTTCAGTTTCCTCGTAACTAAAAGTGTGTGCACTCAGGCCCCATCGTGCCCAGGTGGCCTCCCCACTTCCAGCAAGCGCCCTAACGGCGCCCCGGTCCCCCCGACTCAGAGCGGGGTCCGGGTACTGGGGAAGCCTCCACTCCGCTCAGGTCCCAGCCAAACCAAAGCTCCCACCAAAGTTCAACACGCCCCCCAAGCTAAGGCCTGATTGGCCCGCCCTGCCCACGCTGTGAGCCTGATTCACATTCTGATTGGCTGTTCTTCTCTTTATTCTGGGCTGGAACCCTCCTCTTCCCTGATTGACCAGAAACCTACCTGCGCTCGCCCTGGATTGGACGCTGGCTTGGCTGGCTCATAAACTCCTAGGGGCCTCGCTCTCTGATTGGTCACTGGGGCCAGCCCTACGGCCTGCACGCTGAATGGCTGCGCCGCTACCTGTATCAGCTTCCAATTGGACGCGCGGCGCCTCCCCGGCGTGATAGGTCAGGACCACCGCCCCCCTGGCACTCCATTGGCTGCTCAGCGAAGCCCGGTCTCCGGGTAAGATGGCAGCGGACGGGCAGTGCTCGCTCCCCGCTTCATGGCGGCCGGTCACCCTTACCCACGTCGAATATCCTGCAGGTAAGAGGAGGCCCGGGCACCAAGGACGCCTTCCTGGGGCCGGCCTTTCAGCCGCGGGCGCTCCGGCTCGTGCGATCCCGCGGAGGAGGCGCCAGGGTATCGGGGTAGGAACTGTCAAATAGTGAGCCATGGAGGGGCTCGGCCGGCGCGCGCGCCGCGCAGGCGCGGTGGTGCGGCGATGAGCTGGGCGAAATTGTGAGGCTCGCTCGCGCACTCTGCGGTTGCGCGGCTGGGGTGCTCCCCCTGGTCCTGGGGCATGGGTGGGCTGTAATGAGGAGGGGTCTGTGTGAGACGGGGAAGGATTACTGCCCTGGACCTGGGCCCTTCTTATCCTCCTACCCCGGAGCCGGAGAGGCCGGACTCTCTCCCCGGCGTTCAAGGGAGTGTCTGTTTCTTTCCAACAGTGAATTGGGGCTGCCAGTAAGAGAAAGAGCTCCTCGTTGCTGGAAGTGTGCAAACCGAGGCCAGGCAGCTATTCCTTGTTTGAGTGCTTCTGCTGTTGCCACGCCCTGAGCAGGGAAGTGCTCCACAGCGGAGGGGAACCCGGTGACGGGCAGGCGGCCCCCAGGATCTCGACTCCTGGAGCTGCCCATCAGACACGTCTCTAAACGCGCAGGGTTTTCTAGCCGGGAGGTTCTTCAGCCACCGTTCTGTAGGCGGCCTGGTAGAGTGTTGCGGAGCTTGGGCCTTGGGGTCAGAGGTGTCTGGGTCTAAGTTCAGGCCTGGGCCTTGCGCAAGTGACTTCCACTGTAGGTGTCCCAGTCACCTCGTCTCTAAAGTGGGACTAACTGCGGTGCCTTCTTTCTAGTGGTGACGTGAGAATCCAGTAACAGGGGGCGTGAGAAATGCTGAGTGCAGTGCCTGGTGCACAGGACGCATTGAAAAATTACTGCGGTTCATATCCCACCTTCTCAGGACCTTGTTAAGCCCACCCCACCCTCCCTGGGTAGGATGGTTGAGGATCAGATGAGCCCCTCATTGAACCCTGGTTGTTCTAGGAAGGGCCTGCTTGAACGCTGCTCTTTGGGGTGGAGAAGGGAGAACCTGGCCCTGTTGGAGGCCACAGGGCTGGCTGCCAGAGAACTTTGACCCTGGGTGTTCTGGGTTATTGTGTGGGTGGGGTGGCCCTGCCAGGTGCTGGGCCCTGCCAGCCTGCCCGCCCACCATCCATCCATCCATCCATCTTTGCATTCAGCCAGTATCCATTGAGCACCTCCTGCGTGCTAGGCCCTGGGCTAGCTCTGGGTTTAGAGGGGTGAACAGACCGATAAGTCCCTGCAGCCCTGGCCTATGAACAAAGCCCACTTTACAGGAGGGAAACCGAAGCCTGGAGAGGGAAAGGGACTTGGCCAGGCCTCAGCACCTTCACGGCTTCTCCCACTGGTGCCTCGGAGTAGCTTCTCCAGATGCTCATAGTCTCACGGGCAGCGTCAGGAACCCGGCAGTTGTGAGCAGTATGATGCAGGCTGTGACAAGGGACCCTTCAGTAGGGACGGTGGGTCCGGAGGAGGGACCTGGCTGAGCCAGGGCATCCATGCCAACTTTTCTATGGCCTTCTGCACGTCTGCACACCCCCTGCTTCCTTTTTCTTCACACATTCTCCATTCACTGACCATTATGTTGGAGCCTAGTTGAGTGCCAGGCGCCGTGCTGGGTCGGGGGAACTGAGTGCCGTGTAAAGAGACCCCTGTCCCTGCCCTTATGGGCCGTGTAGAGGCAGAGAGCAGCGCAGCCCTATGTCTACACTAACCGGTGTATCATGGATGATGCCTGGTTGTATATCCCCCTCACCGTACTGAGAGCTCTGCAATGGCAGGATCGTGTCTTTTCTGCCACCGTGGTGGGTACTTCCTTGACACTGAGGTAACCCAGGCGGCACCCCACGTGGGGGCAGCAGTGTGTGCAAAGGTCCAGAAGTAGGGCAGAGCGCGGAGTGTGCAGGGAACTGGAGTGCGGTCCCGGAACTAACTGGAGCACAGGGTGGGAGGGGAGCAGGGCTGGGCGTGCTTAATGAGCTGGGCAGAGGCGGGACCCGTCCCCAGGGCAGAGGCAGCCACAGAGGGGCTCGGAGCAGAGTGGCAAGGCCAGAGTCACAGACCGAGTCTGCAGGAAGGTCCCAGGTTAGGGCCGTGTGTGGGACAGGCCATGGAGATGGCCACCAGCTGCTCCCCTTCCTCACTGCCAGGTGCTCTGTGCATCAGCTGGGCAGCTGAGAGACCCACCATCTCGGGGCTTTAAGAGGCCAGGGCATCCTGTGGGTGAGGAGGCAGAGGCCCAGGAACAGGAAGAGCCTCACCCAGTGCCACCCATCTGACCTGTGGCAGCACGAGCCCTGGAGCCGAGCCGGATGGCCTATTCTCCCAGGCCAGCTCCAAGCCAGCCCTGCCCTGGGAGGGTGTGGGCGGGGCCAGCTGTGTGCCCATCTCTTCAGCCTGAGTCTGGGCTCTGCCCTGTGCGGGCGCCTCCCCAGCTGCCCGTGTGAGTCCAGACTGGTGGTGTGGTCCATTTCCCATGCCGTGTTCACCCAGCCTCTGGGTGAGCAGCTCCCCCAGCGTGGCCGTGTCCTGGTGCCAGGGACCGAGCTGGGTGTCCCACAGGCACGGGGGCGGGTGCTAGTTTCCCTTTCCCAGATGAGAGCAGAGGCTCAGGGACGGGGCGTCTCTGCCTGGGGTCGTACAGCCAGCGAGTGCTGGCCCGGGACTGAGCCGCCCCCTCTCACCTGAGAGCGGCCGTACAGCCGCCCCGAGTTGAGTGGTGAGGGTGGCCTTTGGACTCGAGGGGGAAAGTGGCTGTAATCTCACGGCTGCAGAGATTCTGTCATTGCTGTCTCTGTCCGTGGCCCGCCAGGATGGTAAAAAAGCGGACAGCCGGTAGGTAATCAGCCTCCTGCCAGTCTGAGAGGGAGCTAGGAGCTGTCCCTGCAACAGGCGTCCGTACTGGGCAGCACGGCCTCCTCCCCAGCCCTGGCCTTGGTCCTTGTGGGGGTCGGAAGCACAGACCGAAGTCTCTGTGTGACCGGCCGGGGCAGTCCGTCCCAGCGCTGTGTTCCAGAGGCACCGATGGGTGGGCCTGCGGGCTGTCGCCTGGCCCGGGGCCAGCCTTGGGGTCAGACAAGCCGAGTGCAGACCCCTGACTGGGCGGGGTGGTGGATATAGTGTCTGGGCGGGGGCCTCCCCCTACACGGCCCCAGCTGCCTGGCCCTGCACACCGGGCCCTGCGGGGACCTCCTTTCCGGCCCGGGTCCTACTTTTCTAGTGAGCAGGGCCGGCCCTGCTTCCGGTGTCATGCTCTGTCCTCACCCCAGTCTCCCTGTCGCACCCAGGTGATCTCTCTGGCCACCTCCTTGCCTACCTGAGCCTCAGCCCCCTATTTGTCATTGTCGGTTTCGTGACCCTCATCATATTCAAGAGGGAGCTGCACACGGTGAGTCGGTCCCCGCCGCTGCCGCTGCCCCTGCCCCTGCCCCTGCCCCAGGAAGGGCAGTCACACCGTTCCGCCCCAGGGGCTGCCCCGTCCCCTCCATGCCTCCGCCTTTCCTGAGGTGTTGGAGCTCCCTGGCTGGTTCCAGGTGGGTCACCAGCTGGGCTGGGAGGGTCAGCCCCAGGCCGCGGCCTGTGGGGCTGGGCAATGGCAGGGAGGCCCCGAGGCCCTGCTGAGCGCACCTCTTCCCGCAGATCTCGTTCCTCGGGGGCCTGGCCGTGAACGAGGGGGTCAACTGGCTGCTTAAACACGTCATCCAGGAGCCGCGGCCCTGTGGAGGTAGGGCCTTGGCTGTGGGGATCCGGGCCCCCAGGGTCGGGTCGTGGCTGGGAGGCCTCATCCTCCCACCATGCCCTGTTCTCTCTCCCCAGACCCCCACGCGGCAGTGGGCACCAAGTACGGGATGCCCTCCAGTCATTCCCAGTTTATGTGGTTTTTCTCCGTCTATTCCTTTCTTTTCCTGTATTTAAGGTGAGCTTCCCCCGGCTGGACCGGCCCTGAACTGGCCCAGGCCAGACTCCTTGGGACACCCCTTGGGGCTTGGCCTCTTCCGGGGGCGGGAGGGGCTGCAGACAGGACGGCGGGCTCCCGGGGAGCCTGGGGGTGGGGCCAGGAGCGGCGTGGGAGGCCCGGGCCCCGGCTGTGGGCCGAGGCCGTCTGACAGTCCTGTCTCCCCAGAATGCACCAGACGAACAACGCCAGGTTCCTGGACTTGCTGTGGAGGCACGTGCTGTCCCTGGCTCTCCTCACTGCAGCCCTCCTAGTCTCCTACAGCAGGTGCGGAGCGGGGGCGCACCCCACCCCGTCCCTGCCCTCTGGCTCGTGCTGGGTTCCTGGTCCTGACTGGACCTGTCTGTGGACCGAGTCCCAGAGCCCGCGGGGCGGGGCGGGGTGGAGAAAGAGGTCCCAGGCCTCTCATTTCACGGGGTCTGGGCCCCACTGCCCCGTGTAGTCCAGTCCTCGCCCTGTCCCCCTGGCTGAGCCCAGGGTCCGGGCCACCTCCACAGATCAGCCATCTGTTCCCCGCCTCCTGGGCAAGCCCCTTGCAGACAGACTCGGAGTTCAAGGGCTCCACGCTCAGCTGAGCCGCCTCCTCACTTCGGGTCGGGAGGGCAGCCGGCAGGGGCCGACCCCCCGCCGCCTCCTGGAGTCCGCCTGAGGCTCTGCCTTCACAGAGCTCCACCCCCGTCCGTGCGCGTCTCCCCGAGTGTGCTCACCGTCCCCGGGAGGCCAGGGCGTGGGTGTGGGCGTGGAGCACTGCGCAGGCCTATTCATGAACTTCCCTTTGTCCTCGGCCCAGGGTCTACCTGCTGTATCACACCTGGAGCCAGGTGCTCTACGGGGGCGTCGCCGGAAGCCTCATGGCCGTCGCTTGGTTCGCCTTCACTCAGGAGGTCCTCACCCCTCTGTTCCCCAGAATAGCATCCTGGTAACTGCTTTCGGCCCCTATGGCTGCCCCTCCCCCCTCCCCAGGTGTTGTGGCTCCTGTGCCCTCCTCGCGGAAGAGGCCATCAGTGGGAGGACCCGGGAGTCCCTGCCCCAGCCCCGGTCTCCCTGGGAGAGCCCTAGTGTCCGGGCCTCTGGCGGGCATGAAGCTCGCGAGGCTTCCGTATCGCCCAGGGGTTCCCTCAGGCCCAGAGGTCCGGGTGGCGCTCTCTGTCCCAGCCCGGGCTCTCGGGGACTCAGAAAGCAGCCTGAGTCCTGCTGAGCTGTGTGTGTACACTGAGAGGGCGTGCCCCTGCCTGGGTGACTCGGCCAGGTCTCTCAGTGGCTCTGGGGTCACCGGCCGGGCAGGACTCTCTGAGCAGCTGGGGGAAGGTGGGTGGCTGGCCCCAGGCACTGAAGGGGGACTCTGGCTTGATGACAGTCCTGACGTGGTCCTGGGGTTCGGGGTGTCTGTCTCTGCAGGCCTATCTCTGAGTTCTTCCTAATCCGAGACACGAGCCTCATTCCCAACGTGCTCTGGTTCGAGTACACAGTAACCCGGGCTGAAGCCAGGTGAGTTGGGGGTTCAGCAATCGCTGGGTCCTGGCTCAGCGGGGCATGGCCCCAAGGAAGCCACTACTCCCCTTTTGGGAGCGCTCCCTAAGGGCCAGGCCCTTGCCTAAGCACTTTCCTCGCACGGCCTCACTGAGTCCTCCCCTGGGCTCCGTTTGCAGATGAGAAAGCTGCAGCTCAGAGACGAGACGGGGAGCCCCTGATGGATGACTTAGGGACTGTGTGGGGGAAGCTGGGCTGGGAACCCAGGCTGGCTGGCCCGGAGCTCTGCTTTTAACCCCTGTGGCCCAGAACCAGAGAGCCGGGCAGCCGGGAGTCTCAGGGCGCCTCTGTGTGGACGCCCCTTAGGCTGGTTAGCACAGACACTTTCCCTGTAGAAGGGCCAGCCCGGGCACGGCTGTGCGGCACGTTGGTGGAGAGCTGGGCTTTGGAGCCTCCTGATGGAGCTCTCCCTCCCAGCTTCCCCCGAGTCCCGGGGAGAGTGCCAGCTAGGGTGGGGAAGGCCTGGCTGCTCCCGGGGTGCAGAGGGGAGCGGAGGGAGGTCAGGCTCCAGAGCAGGCCTGGGAGGTCTCCCTGGGAGCTGGTGAGAGGAATCACAGGGCGGGGCAACCCAGCAGCCTGGGACTGGGGCTAGTGCATCATGGTCCGAATTATCCTAAAGAGCTTAAAGTGTAAAGCCTTGGATCCATGAGGAAAGGGGATTTGAGGTGTTTAAGGCAGGCAATCCCATTATTGGGGGAGAAGCCCCCGCTGGCCCAGGCTCCGCCAGTGGTCCTGCCCCAGAGGCCCTGCCCCACCCGGCCTGACCCCGCTGGCCACGCCTGCCTTCATTTACCAAATTTTCGATGTGCGCATGCTCAGTGCCAGGCTGCGTGCTGAGAGTGGGCAGAGAGCAAGGCAGCCCCCGCGGCCAGGGGGTAAGGCGCCTGCTTGTGCAATGAGAGCCCCGGGCTTGGGAGCCCCGGACAGGGCCCCGACTCGAGTGGGGTAGGGTGGGCAGGCTGCTGCCCCAGGGAGACCGACCAGATGTAGAGAAAGCCTTGCCTGCTGAAGTTGGGGTTTGGCGGGAAATGCTCTCAGCAGAGGGAAGAGAGCTTCTGAGGCAGAGGGACGTTCGGGGAGCCCACCCCGCCAGGGCCCAGGGAGCGAGGGGCGGGGTGTGAGGCGGGGCCAGGGCCGCATCGGGCGTGCGGGAGCAGCGGGTGCCGTGAGGCTCCTGAAGTTTAACTGGGACTCTGTGGACGGCCCCGATCTTCTTTCCGAGCCTCGGCCAGGCTCCCTAGAGGACGGGGGATTGCCCCTGCTTCCCTCCGGCTCCTGGGCCCCTCGTGGATGTAGCCACGCCCCCGAGCCAGGTACTCGGGACTCCTGTGTGACCTCCGGCAGTAGTTCCGCCATTGCTCGCACACCTCTCGGGCGGAGAGCGCGCTGCCCCGCAGCCTGCCTTGGGGGCTGCAGTAGCCCCGCTTGTGCCGGCCCCTCTGTGCGGGGGAGCTCCCTGTGCGGAGTTAGAACCTAGCCACGGCCCTCGGCTGCTTTTCCTCTCGTCCTGCCCTCGCCCCTGCCCCGATCTCCTGGCTCTGTTCCTGGACTCCAAGCCAGGACATCTGTGATGCAGGCGAGCCGGAGAGATTGGCCATCTTTAGGTGCTGGGTCCTAGGGCAGGGACTCGGACTGGCCTGGCCGAGCCAGCCGCTGGGGGTCCTGGGGGTGGGCCTTCGCTGATTTTGCTGGGACTGTGGGTAGGGAGGGGACAGCCAAGGGGGCACTGAATGCCAGGTACCCCCTCCTCGGACCCCAGGCATCCTCACCTTGGATCCCCACCCCCCACTTTGCAGGAACAGACAACGCAAGCTGGGGACGAAACTGCAGTGACTGGTGAACGAGGCTGGGTCTGGCCTCCAGGTCTGGCCTGCGGGACGCCTTGCAGGACGGACAGAATGACAGAGGGACGAAGCAGAGACCTCTACAGACCAAGTCACCAAGTGGAGCCTTTTCTTTTCTTATTTTTATTTTAATGAACAAGGTGGCCCGATGGGCTGAGCCAGCCCCTCAGCCGGGACCCTGGAGGGCCTGCTGCCGGGGGTGCCGGGGGCCGCGTGGCCGGAGACCCTCGGTGTGCTGCTGCAGCCCCCGGCCGGGCAGGAGGTGCCCGCGGTGTGGGCGCTGGGTGTGGGGTAGTGGAGAAGGGCTCATACCTGTGCTCGCGGGGCCGGGGAGTCCAGGTGGCGTGAAAAATACACACTATTTATTTTTGGTTTTGTTAACGGCAGACGGGATTTCAGAGACAGGGCCGCAAGAGCCTGCTTTGCTGTGGCTGCCCCAAGTCCCAAGGGGCCTGGGCCCTTGGCCTCTTCCTGGGCCTGAAAGGTGGCCCTGGGGGCCCAGGACAGGGGAGTGCGCCGTGCCCTCCCCGCCGCCATTGCCATTCCAGAGCCTCAGTCAGTGTTTCCCGGTCTGGGGGGCCAGGGGCCAGGGCCCAGGGAGCGCGGCCTCCGGCGGCTGCTGTCATGGCGTCCTGCCCCGAGCCGACCCCGCACCACAAGGGCTTTCTCTGGTCCCTTTCTGACAAAGGAGCCTGCACACGTGGGTGAGCGAGCCCAGGCTGTTTACAGCTCTTTCTGGTCCTGCCGTCTGGGAGCAGTCCGCTTTCATCTCCACGAGGACAAAATGCACGGGAGCCGGGAGCTGGGAGCCGGGGTGGGGGGCGGGCAGTGGGTGCCTGACATCCCCGGCCTGCCCTTCCCCCTTCGCTCCCCACAGTCCTTGTCCTTCCCGGCCCTCTCCGAGGGGCTGGGAACTTGCCTGTGTTTGGGGTGGGGCGCACAGACCCCGCCGTCCAGCCCGGGATGGTCCCTCCTGCAGGGACTGGATCTCTGAGTCTCCCTGAGATGGAGTCGTGGGGTGGGCCTGCCTCCAGGCTCTTGGAAGTTTCTGGAACTGACCCAGGCTGCTCCGGCGGGACCTGTGTTCGAACCCCGCCCCTCCCTTTCTTTGTGGAGGTCCCTAACCTGCTGCTGAAGCACAATGTTTGGGTGCTTTCTTTTTTCCTTCGTTGAAGACAGTGTCCAAAAGCCATTCCAGGTGCCAGGACCAGGGGCCTGTTTCTGGGGAAGGTTGGGCAGTCCCCACATTTCCTCCCCCTCCTCTTTCCTCCTTATTTTGTACGTTTTGCCTGAGACAAGCCAAGCGTGAGATGGTTGAAGAAAAATCAATGAAATTGTTTACTATTGTTTTAAAATAAAATCTTGAACTCTGGCCGCCGGAGCGCACGTTGACTTGAGCTCACGTTGACGAGGCGGCCGGAGGCGCGCGGCCCCGAGGAGCCGGGAGATGCGGTTAGAGCCGCGGCTTTGTGAGCATCGGTGAGACGTCTGGTCCCTCCCGCCCCTGCAGCCACAGTTCGAGTGGCCCTGTGGCGTTTCCCCCCAGAACCAGAGGCGGCCGTGCCACCACGCAGAGTCAGGCAGGGTCCCCTCTTCCCACCCCAGTTCGCCTCCCTGTGCGGTCCTGGCTGGCTCCGGGCTTGCTCGTGGTGAGTCTGGCTCCTCCTCCGAGCGCCAGCCCTGGAGGACGGGGGCGACCCGTGCGCTCTGCCCAGGCCCCCGCTGGGCCCTCCCGTCCTTGCGGAGCTCACTCCGGCTTGAGCGTGTGCGTGGTCAGTCTTGCTGTGGAAGAAATAACCGCAAACTGAGCTGGGATGTTGGAGGCCTCGTAGGAGTGAGATGGACCTAAGTCGAACCCTGGCCGAGGTCGGGGGGCGGGGATCTAATCCTCCCTTGATTCTCTGTGCTGAGACGCAGACTGGCTGCACCCTAGGGTGAGGAGGTCAGAAATAACTGCCCTCGCATGAGCTCGAAGGCTGTGGGTCAGGGCCCCCAGTGGCCCCCAGAACCTTGACATTCAGTGAAGGCGACCTCACCCGAGATGTGGGGCAGAGGCAAACGATTCTCCGGAGGAAGGAACCCACTACCTAGACCCCAGTCATTTGTGCAAGTGGTTCCTACAGTGCTGTGAACAGGACGGGCGCAGAGTGGATGGGAGCGACTCCGAGACAGCCCAGCAGGAGGCGGGTCACGGAGACAAACCTGCTGACCCCTTGGGTGCCGTGGTGGCCTGGTGCGGGCTGCAAGTGTTGTTATGCGGAAACAAGAGACACACTTGAAAATGTCAGCAGGGAAGGGGAAGCTGTAAGGTGAACCATGGAAGATTTTTAAATGCATCCGGACGGGGAAATCCGACAGCTGAGAAACAAGAGCCCAGCAGGCCAGACGCAGCAGTGGAGGGGAGAAACCAGACGGTGACAGGGCGGAGGAGCCCCCGAGGAGCGCACTCGGAGAGGCAAGGCCTGAGCCCGGCGCGTCCCGGGTCCCAGCTCAACTCTGCTGTCGTCCCCAACGACACACCCGCCCCCGCCTGCCAGCCCCACCACCAGCTTCCGTTGCTGTTGCGAAGCCCGCCGACGCCAGCTCAGGTGTTGGAAACGTCTGCTTTCCTCTGCTGCCCTGCCCACTGTGGGCCCGGCCCAGGTCCCCACCGCCAGGCCCCCTCTGCCTCCCGGCATCTCCCTGGATGCCCTCCTCAGGGGCTCCGGCCCGGCCCAAGTGTTCAATGTGGCCCCCACGTGGCTCCCTCCGTCCGGCCCTCAGCCCCCTGGCAGGCTCCACGCCAGGTCCGCCTCGTTTCCGGCCACTGCACTTGCCCCATGAAGAATGCCAAAGTCAAGTGCACGCTAACCTGGACAAATATTCAGGTACTTTGTGGCGTCAGACTCATTTTCACCGGGGGCCACAGCGGCCTCGCGGTTGCCTTCAAAGGGCTGAATGTAGCTTTAGGACGGAATAAATGTAACTGCTCCTTAACCAGGGGCAAGGAGCTGGGCGCTGCTGCCAGGCAGAGAAACCAGGTGCCGGGCCAGATAAAACCGGGTGGAGGGCCGGGTTCAGCCCACGGGCCTCGTGTTTGCCACGTAGCCGTCCACTCATTCACTTATTACGCGCTCACGTCTCCAGTAACTATGGCACAACGTGTGCTGACCTAGAGCAGTTCTCTCTCTCTCTCATTTTTAAAAAATCAAGTTCATCTCTGCCATCGGGGTCTGGTCGCCCCTGCAGGCCACCCGAGTCAGTTCTCTGAACTCTGGGTCCCAGCAGTGTTTTCTGGATCTCAGGCGCGATGCTGACGCTGGAAGTCACCCCCGCACGCCACGAGCGCCCACTGCCGTGGCCTTCGGCAGTTCGCCCGCCCAGCACCCGCCTCTCGTGTGCGCGCAGGAACCTTTGAAGCACCTGCTTGTGTGGCTTCCAAGTGTGAGGGCGCGGGTCACACCCCCTCGGGAGCAATGACATGGTCTGTTCCTGGGCCTTCTCCCTCCCCTCCAGTGCCCCTAGGGGCCAGCACGCATCCCACCGACACCGCCCGGGGTTCCCTTAGGTGCTCGGTGTGCCTTCCCCGGGTGCTGTGTGGTTCTGGAGGAGGACCTGGGGGTGGGGAGCCCTGCCTCGCGTGCACGCCTGCACGGTCCTCGGGACTGGAGTCCTGGGAGTCCTGGGTGACCGTCTGTGCAGTGTCCGTGGCCTGCTCACTCGGCTGCTGTGGCCCCCGCTTCCTGGGGCTCCCGGTCACCCCCGAGGGAGCAGCGTCACCCCCGGGGTGCAGAGGTGACACCAGGCTGTGTATTGTGTTCTTTCCGGGTCCTCCCACGCACGGCCCAGGGAAGGGACATTCAGGTGCCAGCACCGCCCCCGCCCCACCCCGGCGGCACCCCACCCTGCCGGCCTCACTGGGGGCCTGAGGCGCGGCCAGGCCTGGAGCAACCCCCACTCGCCCCATTGTCTGGGCCCCGCCTGCTCCCCGAGAGATGTTGCGCAAGCGGCACGCCCTCTGTCACCCTCGCTGGAGAATGAGGACGCCGAGTCCCCTGTTCTGTGGCTCTGGGGAGACTGCCCAGCAGGCTCGGTCCCCAGCACAGGTTAGTCCACTCAGCCCACGCCCTAGTGCAGCCAGCAGCTTCCTGCTGCACCCTGCTCCCCTCCTCGCCAGCTCGCGGGCCTGAGTCCCGGCCGCTTCCACCCACGGCCTCCCTCTCACCCCCGCCCTGGGTCGCCGCAGTGGGTGGCGCAAGGGGCTGGGGCCTCGGCTACAGGGGCTCCCCGTCCCCTGACCTCTGGGAATCTCTGCTCTGTTCTTTATTCTTTAGAGGCCTGGTGACCTTAACCTCTCCGGGCCTCAGTTTCCTCATCTGCATGAAGGAGGAAAGCCCCAGGTCGACCAGGCCACGAAGCACGTCTCACAGGCTTGACGACCTCTCCCACCCGCACCCCAAGCCTCTGCTCTGGGTCTTCACGAGCCCGAGGGCCGGGGTGGCCCTGGGAGGGAGAGACTCTTCTCTCCACATACGGCCCACCTGACTGGCAAGTCACCTTGCTTCTGCCAGGTGCCTAGGGTTGGGGACAGGTAGGTTCAGGGTTCCGGTCAGGTGGCTCTGTGATCCGGGGCCCCACTCCCATTGGGCTCTGTGGGGAGGCTGTGGGATGAGGCCTTGGGCCCTCGTGCCAGCCCCCCAGCCCACCAGACCCGGGCTCACAGGGCCCCGAGCCCCATGGGGAGTCGTCGCCACCCTCAGCCCAAGGTACAGGAGGGGCCCAAGTCACTCGTGGGTGGGAGCTGTCTCGGACTGGCCCGTGGCTCCCTGCCCTATGCCTGAGGCCCCTCCTCTTGTCTCCTCTGGCCCTGGTGGCCCCGGCCGCTGGGACACCAACTCCAAGACGCAGGAAGAGCTGGAAGGAGGCCAGGTGTCCACCCCCACCTGCCTGCCTCCTGAGCCGGAACGCCTCTTTACCAACAGACTTTCCCTTTATTAACACCTGGAGCGTTACTATGATACAACCAGGAGCGTGGCTCAGGAGTCCGACCGGGCGGAGGCGAACGAGGCGGGGTTCTCGGGCCGCATTCCCCAGAGGAGCGCGGCGGTCCTGCGGGAGACGGCCTCACGGTGCAGGGCGCGGGCGGGCGGCCCGGGCTCCCCCTTTCCCAGGACACCTCGCACCTGGCCTCTCAGCCTTGGGGTTGCCTGGAGTGTCCCCGCCCCCCCACCCCCGCTCCAGAGGTCCTCGGGAGTCCGAGGGCCAGGGTACAGATCTGAGCATGCTGCGCAGACGGTGGGGACGGGCGGGCCAGAGGGGACCTGCCGAGAAAAGGACTCCCCATCCCCCACCCTGGCGGGGGACGGGCTCGGCCGGCTCCTTTCCCCAGAGGAAGGCCTCTGTGGGGTACACATGGGGCGCCCGGCCTCTGAACACAGCCCAGGACGCGGCCCACGGAAGGCACTTGGCTGGGGCCCGCGGGCCCCACTGAGCGTGTGGTGCTGGCCCTGGCTCAGCTGGACCTGCGGGGCCCAGGGGGACGGGGAACAGAGAGCGGAGCCCTGGTGGGTGGCCCACCCGAAGGCGGCTTGGCTGCGGCACCGGCAGGCCCGAGCGTAGGGGCCTCAGAGCTTGGCCCGGGGGTGGCCCTGCAGCAGAGCACGCATGTCCAGGAGCGCCTTCTCCAGGTAGTGCGCCAGGCGGGCGGCGTTGGTTTCGGCGCAGCTGTTGTAGGCCGACACGGAGAAGTTGATGTGGGACTCCAGGGGGTTGTAGCAGATGCCGTAGCCGTCTGGGACCACAGGCCCGAAGAACATGACGCAGTCTGTCTTGGCGGGGACCTGGGGGTGGCACGGGACTGAGGTTCTCGCCCCTACCCCGCCCCGTTGGGCCCCCTCCAGCCCCTCGGCGGCACCGGCCTGCCTTCCCACATCAGTGCTCGGCTGTGCTCGGCCTCCCCCTTCTCCGTCAGACGGGGGACTCCCTCTGGCCCTTTAGGGCGCAGTTCTGGTGTCGCCCTTCCATGGAGCCTCACTGACGCTCCTGGGGGCTTCAGCTGCTCCCCCTTCGGGACTCGGATGACCCCCAGCACTTCCGGGGGCCGTTACTAGCTCAGTCCGCGTGCTTCCGGCCCACACCGCGAGGCCCTGGAGCAGGGATGCTACCGTCCCTGCTGTGTCCCAGCACCCAGCACAGGCTGGCACGGACCAGGTGCTCCTTCGCGTCTTGCTGGGAATACGTGAGGCCGACTCTCCCCTGCGGGGCCCTGACTCCCCTGGGCCATAGGGGAGCCCCCCGACCCATCTCCTCTGCCAGAACTCAGTCGCTTTGGCGGCGGCCTGTGGTGGCCTGTGCGGGCCACACCGCCACCGAAGTCTGACCGTGTTCTAGACCTTGGCTCTAGGCAGCGCAGCCTCTGTCCCACTCCAGCTCCAGGGGTGCTGCTCCACCCTACCCCGGGGCACCCGGGACAGGACAGGGGCCCCGAGGGCAGAGGCCCCCAGCTGGCTCTGGGGCGGTGGCCCACCTGGCTGGTGGAGAGGTTGAAGTGCATGGCGATGGCGTAGGAGGTGTCCATGAAGATGTCCGGCATGCTCACCAGGTCCTCGATGGCCTGCAGCTTCAGGCCCAGCAGGTGCCGGTCGAAGGCCTCCCCGCGGATGGCCTGCAGGGGAGAGCACGGTCGGTCAGGAGCAGCAGCCACGCCACCCTCCACAGAAGCGTGTGGCAGCAGTGCGTCGTCCCTCACGGGCCCCGCGGACCAGTGAGACCGCAGCGGCCAGGCGGGAGAGCCCTCACTTCCCAGACCGGGAAACTGAGGCCCAGGGCCTGCGCAGGGAGGCAGGACAGTGCATGGCTTGAGAGCACAGGCCTGGCGCTGGGTGGCCTAGCCCCATCCTGGCTGTGGGACCTTGGCGGGTCCCTTACATCCTGGAACCTCAGTGTCTTCATTTGTAAAATGGTGACAGTACTGAATGCCTGTGGTAGGGGACCTAAGCGGTTATCTGCGTGTAACACAGGCGGAGCATGGCCCACAGGCGCTCAGAGCCACAGCCAGGATGGGGACCCAGACCTCCACGCCATGGACTGTCACCTGAGCTGTCAGATGGCAGGAACCCCGGTGCCTGCCCACTGTGCATCCTCGGAGCTCCAGGGGCCCCAGGTCACCGGGGAGAGCCTGACACAAGACCGGAGGCTCCCCTGAGACCTGGGGCCACGGCAGTCATGGGCTCGGCCTCGGTTTCTCCAGCTTTAGTATGGGGGTGTTCAGCCTTGCTCCAGGTATCCGAAGGCTCAGGGGAGCGGTCGTGCAAGCTAAGGGCGAGCAGCCATTTGCTGCAGGGGCGGGCAGGCGGATGGACAGACATGCCAAGGGCCCAGCAGGCAGGGACAGAGAGGCCTCGCTCACCCGGTCGGTGTAGGCTCGGTGGGCCTGCACGGCCTTCCGCAGCAGCTCCACCTTCTCGTGCTCCTGCGGGTGGGGGCGAGGGGAAGAGGGAGCTGGAGCGCCGTCCCTTTCCTGCCCTTGCCGGCCGTCTCAGCACCCACTCCCCACCCAGCGCTACATTCTGAGAGGAGGGAGCGGAACTACCATCACTCTAGGGCAGATGCTCACTGGTGCTGAGTGAATGAATGAGTGAATGAATAGTTCCCTTTTCTCTTGGCCTGACAGGAAGCTCAGAACTAAATTCCTGGCTCCATCTTCTATTACATTCCCTTGCCCACCACAGGGCTGGAATACAGTAGGCGCTCCATCAGTGCGTGCTGACGGAGCGAACAGGAAGGGCGATGGCTCACGCCCAGCTCACCCGCCCTCACCCCGCACCCTCACCGACACGTTGGCATCATCCATGGCTTTGACGAAGGCCAGCGAGTCCATGGAGGCCGAGCGGATGGTGTCCGTGCGGCCCAGGTGAAACATGCGCAGGGAGGCGCTTTCGTACGTGGCACAGGCCTGCCCGTATATCCTGGGGGGACACGGGGTGAGCACGGTCCTGGCAGGCCGCCCCCACCTCTGCCCCCGGGTCGCACCCCCCTCCAAGACTGGGCAGGGCAGGGCAGGGCAGGGCAGGGCAGGGCACACCTGAAGTAGGCCAGCTGTAGCGCCATCTGGATGAAGGCGTCAGGGCTCAGCTTCTCCGCCTTGGGGAAGTCCTTCCCGAAGTGGTGGAACACCGCCACGATCATGTCCAGGTCCTGGATCATGCTGGGGGCGGGGAGGGGCGGGTGAGCAGCAGGCGCGTGGCCGGCCTGCCAGCTCCAGGGAGGGAGGTCTCGGAACTGGCTGGGTACGAGGGCGGACCTGGCACCAAAGCCGGCTGGACTCAAGGGGCCGGGTCCCCTACCCAGCGCCTGGCACTCACATGCTAAGATTCTGCTTGGCCTTCTCGATATCATTCTTGATTTCGGGCGTGATGTTGAACCGCAGCTTCTTGGGCATGGGCAGGGGCACCATGGGAGACCGCATGAGCTCGGGCTTCTTCCTGCACAGACACACGGGGCCAGGCTCACCCCAGTGCCGGGGCAGCCTGGGCCCACCTCTGGGGCGGGGGCGGGGAGGATGGGCCCCTGAAGCTGGAGGGGGCCCGCCTGGGGAGGCTCTGGGGTTTATGTGCTGAGACCACCTCCCGCTTTCAGAAAGCCAAGTGGAGGAGGCCTGGAGTGGGGAAGGGACTTGTCCAAGGTCACGCAGCTGGGAAATGGCAGAGCCAGACTTCACACCCTGGTCTGTCTGGCCCTAAAACCCATCCCCCTTCAGGCCCAGGCCCAGGGAAAATGCCATGCCCCCACAGACCAGGCTGTCCCCCGTCTCCAAGGACCTGGGGAGTGGGCAGGGGCGGGGCCACACTCACGTGTACTCAATGACGTGGTCCACGAGGGAGATGATGGGGGGGCCCTCGGCGGCCGCGTGCTCATAAACGAGCCCGCAGGAGCCGTCCTCCGCCACGATGAACTGCGGAAGGGCGTGGGGACTGGTCAGCCCCCGCTCCCTGGGGCCACTCTCCGGCGGCTCCCACGGGGAGGCCTCTCTGCGGTCCCCGCAGGGCCCAGCCCTCTATCACGGTTGTCAACGAGAGCCGGCGCTCACAGGGGCCTGGGCCCGTCTGGGCCACGCCAAGCACGCCCCACGCTCGCATCCCCCACCGCGTCCCTGCGACTCTCCCACCGGCAGCCCCACCGCAACCCCTACTTTCCCAGCCCTGGGCTCCCTCTGATGTGCGGAAGGGCCGCTCCGGGGGCGAGCACGGTTTCCGGGCCCCAGGAACGGCAGGCGCGCAGCCTGGTAATTACAGCCGCGTCCGCCTCCTGGCTTCCGCCTGCTTTACGAGCTGGGGTGCCAGCGGTGGTGCGGGCCGGAGCCGGGGAGTCCCGAGGCTGTGTGTGTGGCGGGGGGCCCCCCGGCCCTCCCAGGCCCTCACCTGCAGCGTCTTGTCGAACCAGCGGTTGCCGCTGTTGAGCTTGCTGCCACCCCCGTGCAGCATCTGGCCCGCCACCTGGCTGCGGTACTTGTCCTCCGACACCCGCGGGATGACTCCGTCCAGGCACATGGTGAAGATGCTCTTCTGGATGGAGCGCACCGAGTCCCGGTTCACCTTGTCTGCGGGCGGCACGGCGGGGAGGGGCCCAAAACGGGGTGTCAGGCCTGTAGTGGCCTGGGATGCCTCCAGAACATTTACCGAGTGCCAGGACCGGGGTCAGAGCTTCACACTCAGCGGGGCCCTGCAGCCCCACGGCACCCCGTGAGGCACCCCCAGCGCCTGGCCCGCTGGGCCCGCTCGAGAAATGAGGGCGCGGAAGACCAGGGTCTCCCAGAGAGCGGGGGTGGCAGTCAGGGGCCCCGAGCAGGGGTCTGGCTCGGGGACAGTGCCCCTGGCTGACGTGGGGACCGTGGTGGGCTCCGCGGCCAGAAGACTCAGACTCTCACCCCACTTGGTACTTAACCGAGGGAAGCGAGCCCACCCGACCGAGTTTCCTGAACGCAGGCCAACACCTGCTCCGGATCCGAGGGTTCAGGGGGGACCCGGGCCCGGTGCGGGCAGAGGCCGGGCTGGGGGCCTCGCCTCCCCGCCCCCCCTCCGCAGGCACCTTTGATGAGGGTGTTGTACGCCTTGGCCCAGGAATTGCGGTGGTTGGAGGTGAGGACGCCTACGGGCTCTTTGTTGGTTTGCAGTGACGAGTTCCAGATCTTCTCCAGCTGCACGAAGATCTGGTCCGAGGTGAGGGGAGTCCCGTCGCTGTGGTACACGTCCAGCTCGAAGAACTGCCCGGGGACAGGACGGTGGTGGTGAGGACCTCGGGCAGCCGCAGTCTCGTCCCACCCCAGCCCCCTCCTGGTCCTGGCAGCCCAGATGTCACAGCGAGGTGACAGGGTCAGGCCGGGGGTGAGAGACAGGGGAGGGCGTCCCCGCATTGCTCTCCCCAGGCTGGGCAGGCCCACGGCCCCTCTGGACCTCCCTGAGGCTGGGGCCGAGCCAGTCACCCGGCAGAGACGCCAGGGCACGCCGGCTCCCGGGGACACACAGGCGCGTGTGCCGGGCAGGCGGACTGCTGGCCACGCCCGCCCTTCCCCGCGTGTGCACGCGCGCGGGGCCCACCTGGTAGTTGTGCACCACGGTGATGTGCATGGGCGGCTTCTTGGTCTTGCTGAAGTTGACGACCGAGTCCTGCTTGGGGCCCGGCACGCGGCAGGAGGACAGGATCTGGTAGTACTGGTTCATGCACAGCGGCTTGCCCCCGAGGTGCTCCACGGGCAGGGTCTCACTGTGGGGCAGGGGACAGTGAGGGGCCGCTGGGCGGGTGGGAGGGGAGAAGGGGAAAGGGAGCTGCTGGGCACCGCTCGGGGCCGGGCCGGGCCGGGTCAGGTCTCACACAAACGGGGCTGTCGCCCCTCGGGTCCCTGCTTCCCCTTAGCCTGAGCCGGGGCCTGGCAGAGGGGGTGAGGGTCAGGAGCCTGCCGTGAGTCACCCTGGAAACTCCCTTCCCCTCTCTGGGCCTCCGCTTGCCGGGCGGAGATGAAGCGCCCAGTCACCCTACAGGGGCCTCTCGGGACAGAGTCAGCAGAAGGAAGTCCCGGCAGCTGGAGCGGAGGACGTAGGCGTCTGACCCCCAGGCTCCCCCTCCCCAGCCCCAGCAGAGGCCGGGCCAACAGGAAGTGAAAGCACCCAAGCCCCGGGCCAGCCCCGCAGCCAGGGCTTGGGGTTGGGCCAGGCCGGGCTGCAGAGGCCGGGTTCATTAGACAGGCAGGGTAGAGGCAGCCAAGTGCTCACCTGTCAACCATGGCCTTGAAGTCCAACACGCCCTCGATGACTTTGGCAGCAAACCTGGAGGGACCAACGAGAGATCAGAAGCTGTGTGGGCACCATGAGGAAGGGCGCTGGGCCGGGGACACGTGCAGGGTGAGGGGTGACCCATTGCTTCACTCCTCACACCCACTGCTGGCAGCTCGCCCTTCTGAGCCTGCTTTCTCAAAACCCCCGGAGGGAGGCGCGGGGGCTCAGGGAGAAGCTGCTGACCAGACCAGGTGCCTGGCACGAGTCCGGTGTGAAGGCGCAGGGACGTGGCCGTGCTGGGTTACGGGTCAGTGCAGCTGGCCCCACCCACAGAGGGCCTGCACCCCGCACCGTGGTCCAGGGGCTGGAAGGACGGTGCTATTCTCTCAGGCATCCATTACGGAAGGACCTAGGACCCCAGGGGAGGGGCTTGTGATGTCCCCTGCACTAGGTCCCTACCCATTTCTGGGCCTCGGTCTCCCCCAGGCCATCTCTCAACCTGACCTTCCTCCCTGGACTGTCTGGGCCATACCAACCATGCCCGACACCCGGGCTGTCCCTGGGCCCCCTATTTGGGGACCACCAGCTGGAGTTGCTGGGCCTGAACCCCCAAGACCTTCCCAGGATGCCCTGGTGCCTTTAAGAGCAGCAGGTGGTGGCCATGGGTGGCTGGTGCTTGGGCAGGAAATCCCTGCCTCCGGTATTTTTATCCCTGGTAGGACGGGAGCAGAGGCCAGGGCAAGTGACATGGCCAAAAGTGGAGAAGGGGACTGTGTATAAAGGTCACCCCCGGGGCCAGAGGAGAACAGGAAGGATGGGTGAGGTGCTAGAAATGGTGTGCGGGGCAGGCTCGGTCTGGGTGGGGCAGGGTGCCGTCCACAGGGTGCTGGTGAGCAGGCACGAAGCTCTGGAGCCTGCCCCGGCTCAGCCAACACCGAAAGGGGATCTTGGGCAGGCTGCCTCACTGCTCTGCGCCTCAGTTTCCCCGGCTGTAAAATAGGGGTGATGCTCCCTGCTTCATGTTTGGGGGGATGAAATGTAACGAGCAGGGCTGGGCCCCTCCGGCCTCCAGTCTGACTGGAGGGAGTGGACCCCAGGGCCCCGCCCAGCCTCAGCCACTCACCGGAGCTGTCCCTGCAGATCCACGAAGTCCTGCTTGGGCAGCACGAGGCCAGGGCTGGAGTGGATGACCACGGGCTGGCGGTACTGGAGGTAGGCCGTCTTGAGCCACCATTCGGACAGCTGGGGAAAGAGCCAGAGCCTGTCGGGGGCTGGGGGGGATCTGGTGGCCCTTCCCCACAGGGCCAGGGGACCCTCCGCCCACTCTGCGGAGCACAGACTCTGAATGCAAATGCTCGGACCCAGAACCCCCTCCCCCTTAACCCCACCCGCGGCGCCCCGTCACCTTCCCGCAGCCGGAGCCGGGCGGCAAGGGTGGTCGGACAGCGCTGCCAGGACAGGCAGGGAGCCCAGGGCATGGGGCGAACGCAGGCAGAAACGGAAATCGTGTTTCGCTACCTCACAGATTTTGGTCCGTGCTTTGGACTACTCTTAGAAATAAAAAGTTCCGCCTGATAGAAAGGAAAAGTAGAGGAAGATACAGAAGAAGAAAGTCCAGTGGAGGAGTGTTTGCTCGTCCCAGCTGAGCCTTCTCCAGGGAGGCAGGAGCCAGGGCTCCGTGCAGAGCTGGGGCCCCCGGGCCCCCGTGGCCTGTTTGGCTGGTGTCAGACTGGGGAGCGGACACTCACTGGGACCTCAAGGCCAGCGTGATCTAGGGGAAGCTCGCTGAGGACAAGTCACTGCGCCGGTGACAAGAGGCGGGCTAGATCCAGCAGGGGAGTGTTGCCCCCGCTGTGCCTCCTGCTCGCCCTCAAAGAGGGGTGGGACGAGCCTTTCGCCACACCGATTCCCCTTGGGAGACGGCTGGCCTGGGGCACGGGCCATTGTTAGCCTTGGGCCCTCGGAAGGGGCGCGGGGGGTGGTGTGCCCACGGCGCACAGCACACCTGTGGGTGCCTCGCCGCCCGCTGGCCTGCAGCCCGTGCGAAGGAGCTGCGGGCTACGCAAAGTTGGAAAACTGCCAGAGCCCAGACCACCTCTGTTCCTGATTCCGGAGCCCAAGGCCCCGGGCTGCCTGGGCTCAGCGTGGCCACCCACCGCCGGACTCCCGCCTCCTGTGCGCTCGCCCCACCCTCCCAGGTGCCCCCCCAGAGCACCTCCTACCCTGGGGGGGGGGCCGGGAACCAGACCTAGCTGTGGTTCTCTCTTACAGACCAGCCCCTCCCGTGGCCGTCCCCTTCTCCTAAGTCCCCCTGACACTGGCTTTAGGTTGGGACTGTCCCCGTCTCAGTGCCCCCATTGGCAAGTACCACTGGCACCAAAACGTCCTCTGGACTGAGGGACTCCCCCGCCCCCTCCCCGCCAGCATCTCCCTCAGGGTGAAAGTTCCAGCCTTCCCACCCACCTCCTGCTCCCACTCTTGTGTCCCCCGCAGGGGCCGGAGAGGTCACTGTGAACTTCACACTGAGGCATGAAACACACACAGAGAAGTACACGGGACATCAATGTAGACAACTTGCCGCCAGGTGAACGCACCTGCGTGGCAGGCTGAGACACACAACCGGGGCGACTCGTCCCTGAACTCAGATCCCCTGCTTGAAGCCATCCTGCAGCCCCTCCCTGCTGAGCTCAAGTCCAAATCCCTTCTCCTCGCTCGCGTCCCCCGCCCCGCCCTTGCCCTCCACTCCCGCCTCTGTCTGTTCCCGAACTCACCAGGCTGTCGCCGCCTTGTGTCGCCCCCTCTGTTGGTCGCAGACCCAAAGCCACCTCCTGCCTGCCTTCCCTGACCCTTCAGCGCAAAGACGCTGCGATTCTCCACCCCTCTTTCCCATCCTCGTCGCGGCTTTTCACGTCTCCAGAACTTCGCCGCCTGCCATGGCCCTCACTGTGTCCTGTGTAGTCACCTTCCTCCCTGCCCCGCTTGAGTGCCGTCGGCCCCGCGAGCCCGACAACTGTGTCTTTCCCGCTCAGCCAGCACCGTGCCGAACGCCGGGCCCAGAGCAGCGCTCACGGAACTGCGCGCAAACGAAGGCACCAGAGCAGCCGGTGTTGGTGTTGGAAGATTCCGTGTGCAGCGGGGACAGGCCACACTGCGGGACGCTCACAGTGATCCACAGCCTCCAGGAGGGCCCGGGTTCCCCTCCCCCTCCGTGGGACCTGGGGGGTCGGTGCACCCTCGGTTCTCACTCACCCAGTTCTCCATCTTCGTGGCCCTGCGCTCCAGCCCCTTCTGCAGGCGCTCTCCCACACCCCCCGAAGCCTGAAACTCTTCCACCAGCTGCTTGGTGTGGGTCCACTCCTCCTCGCTCACGATGGGCTGCAGCGCCTTCAGGTAGTGGTCCAGGGACTGCTGGAGCGGCGGCACCGGCAGCCGGGGCAGGGCATCCTGGTGCGCCTTGAAACGGCCGGCGGCCTTTGTCAGGGAAGAAGGCTTGAGGAAGCCCAGGGGCTTCACCTGCAGGCAGCAGAACGTTCTGCTCATTCTCTCGCTGGCTCCGGGAGGCCCTGGCGATCCCAAGCTGCAGTCCTGAGCCCTTATGTGCCCATCACTGGGGTCAGATGGCCTCTTGGGTGGTGCCAGGCCTGGCTTCCCAGCCCTCGGGCTATGGGTGTCTCCACCTCTCCAGGGCCTGCAGATGCAGGTAGGGCCGGGGGAGGGATGGGTGTGGCCACTGATCTTGGCAGAGCTCTCAGGTTAACCAAGTCAGGATGAATGGCACCTGGTGGGGGTGCCCAGTGGAGAGGAACCTCTCACCTGTCTCAGCGCACAGAGCCCCGCCTTTCTCCCCCTGGGCCTCCGAGCCAGCCGGCCGTGAGGTGACTGCCCCCTCCCAGAGGTCCGCACCTCCTTTTCTCCCACCCTTGCCAGGTTGAGAAACAGGAGGGAGGAAGAGAAAATCAGAGCGAGCCAGACGGATTACAGCACCTTTGGGTGAGGGTGAAGCCATGGGACTCTTTCCTGCCTGTGGGATGGTGGCAGGGGTGGCGCGGGGGCAGTGCTGAGGCAAGAGATAGCTGAGTGGCCGGCAAGGAGGGCGAGAGGGGGCGGGGAGACTCTGAAGGCGGCCGGAAGGAGAGACAGGAGAGAGTTGGAGGCTGCTGGCAGCAAGAGGCAGGCAAGTGGCAGAGGCTCCGTTCCGTACCTTCTCCTTCTGCTGCCCGTCCTCCATGGCAGGACTGAGGTTCTGAGCCCTGTCTGTCTGCCTTGGGCTGGATCTCTAAGCCTAACTGTGCTACCAAGTGGGCGAGCGGAGCCTAGCAAGAGGCAGCCACTTGCCTGGGCTGGAAAGAGAAGACAAGAGCCAAGATTCAGGGGGGAGGCGGAGGGGGCAGCGGCGATGGCTGCGGTGGCTGCAGTGGCATCAGGGGCTGTGGCTGTGGCGGGGAAGCCGCTCTGCCTGTCCTGGCTTCCAGAGGTGGGGGAGTGGGGAGCAGGTGAAAGGGCCGCAGTACGTGGGCCTGGAGTCGGAGGGAACCTGGAAGACGTTCTCCTCTCTTCTCTGCATGGGCCCGGAGCCAGGGAGGGAGGCCAAGAGATACTAAAAAATCCACCTGTTAGAATCTGCATGGGTCTGTTCAGCGAAGAAAAACTTGGCTGGAGGGCAGGGACTGCCAGGCCGCTGAGTTTGCCACAACTCTGCGGTCAATCTTGAAAGTGGGGATGGCTCAAGGGGGCAGGCACCGGGGGAGGACATAAGCGGACTGGCCACTCAGAGCCCCGTCCATCCTCCGGTTCCCTGCGGGGCTCTTGGGCGCCCTGCCAGGCCACCCGTCCACCAAAGCCTGGTTCTCTTGAGTTGGGGCTCCTTCAGCTGCGAGCCAAGAAGGAAGGACTTTGGCATTTAAAAAAAAAACAAACAAGCAGAGCTGGCTTTGGGATTGGGCTAGATTGGAGTCACCCCATCTAGGAGATCCTGGTCCAGTCGCTCCTTGCCTCAGTTTCCCCAGCAGTAAAAGGGATCAGACCAGGCCATCCGGCAGGTCCTGGGAGACGGCTTAGAGGCTGTTTGTGGGGTGGGGACACAGCCCGGGCGGCGGCAGTGACAAGAGTGAGGTGGAGCCTCGGGAAGACTGGGAAGAGCCTGTCCGCCACACGCCCGAGGACAGGAGCCCCCGTCCCCCATGCCTGCCGTGTCTGTTCGAATGTTCTCCGCGGCACAGACGGAGGGAGATACAAACGAAAAAGAAGAGCTTGGGGTAGAGAGTAAAGGAGTCCACATCAGGGTACCAGCGCCTCTTGCTCCAGGCTGCCCTCTGGGGAGGGCCTCGGGGGCGGGGCGGGGATGCTACGGACAGGTTGGGGGAGGGCCTGGTGGAGAGGGAAGGCCTGGGGCAGCCACCTGCCACCTCCTGCCAATTCTAAGGCCTTTCTGGATAGCCCAACTGATGGCTCCACGTGAGTTTCTCTGGCTACACTCAGCTCCCTCGGGACCATCTGATAAGTTCAAGGAGGCTGACCAGCTGGCTGGGGCTGGGAAGTGGCTCTGGCCCGGGCAGAGACCGCCCGGTTGAGCGTGTTCTCCGGGCATGAGTCAGAATAACTGAGCCAGACGCTCTGTGTCAGCCTGCTCCCCCACTCCGTGTCCAAGGGTGGGGTGCTGCCTGAAGTCGGGGTGCCACTGTTCCTGGTCCTGGAAATTGAGCGCTACGGGTTCGAACCAGCCTCTGACCTTGAGCCTCCGTCTATTCCTCTGCCAAACTGGGGAAGCCCACCTGCCAACCCCACCCCGGCAGCTTCCGTCCAGCCCGTCCAGCGGCCTCCCCGGCCGTGTAGCCTCACAGCTTGTCAGCTTGTTTACCGGTTTGGGCGCAGCGCTGGGTCTGGCCCGGCTTGCGGTCCGCGGCCCGCCCCGTCCAGGGCCCGCCAGGCCGGGTTCCCGGCCGCACTTACCACGGTCCTGACCGCGAATGCCAACATCTCTTCGGCCCACCTGCGGACACGCAGTCCGCTCCGCGCCCCGTGCTGTGCAAAGTCCGCGCCGCTGTCGCCACCGTCGGTGGATCCCCGCTAGAACCTCCTAGCCAAGGTCGCCGAGTCACCGCCGCCAACGGGTACAGGCGGCCCCGCGCCCACCCACCGGGCCGGGCGGGTGGCGGGCTCGTGGCCCGGGGAGGAGGACTCTGGGAGCGGTCACCGGCGGGTGGCGAGCCCGAAGGAGCTAGCCGCGAGCGCGGGGCGGGGCCACGGCGCGGGGCGGGACGGGGCGGGGCGGGGGCGCGGCTGGCAGTCCCGGGACGCCGTGAGCGATGGGACCCAACATCAAGGGCCGGGCGCGCGGGCCGCCGTCCCGCTGGCCCTCTCCCACCCCCAAATGCCGTCCACGGGTTTGGAGGCACTGGTGTGCACTCCTCACAGCCCGTTTGGGGTTCTAGAGCACTACTCTCAGAGTGGTAGCAGCACACAACCAAGTTGACAGGGGCAATGTCTCCTAATATCTCTCGGGACAGGGTCAGAGCCACGCACAAAGATGACAGGTGGGAACCGCCCCGCAAAAGCATGGTTGCCGCAAAGGCCCTCGCTGGCCCTGCAAAAGCATGGCGGCCGCGCCCCCCCCCCCCGCCCAGTGCCCGGCGGGCAGTTGTCAGGTCAGGTGGCGAGCGGACCGTTGGGGCGCATGCGCCCGGGTGCCCCGCACCAACATGGCCGCGGCCTCCCAGTGAGCGCTGCCGCGGCGAGCGGGCCGTTGCTGGGCATGCGCCCTGCGTGCCCCGCACAGACATGGCGGCCGTCTTCGCTGGGGTGACTTTAATTCTTGGTTTTCGGTTATAGCCGGCCGGGGCTCATTTCTTTTTAGAAAGCTCTGAGCGCGGGGAAAGGGAGGGTGGGTGCGGGAGTGAAAGGTGAGGGGCCTGCAGGCGTCAGGACGCGCTCCTGGAGGGAGGAAGATGGCTGAGGGCGAGCGGCAGTCGCCGCCAGGTAGGGCGCGCCGGCCCGGCGGGGCCGGGGTGGGGGGCGCGGGGGCGGTGCCAGCAGTGGGGGCGGGGAAGGGGAGGGTCGGGCGTTGGAGGAACGCCAGGGGCTGGAGCTGAGGGGCCCTGCGGGGAGGGCGGGAACGGGGGGCCTGGTGGGTGGGGCGCAAACCCGGCACCGGGGAGCCCGGCCTGCCCGAGGGGTCGGGTGGGCCAGCCCCCTGGCCAGACGCGGAGGCCTTTCCCACGTCTGGGCTGCGCGTGCAGGAGTCAGCTCTTGATGCGGCGAGGAAGACGCCGAGGACGGGGGCCGCCTTCTTGAGACCCTGCGCAGGGGCCGGGGGCGCTCCGCGGGGCTCGGCCTCTGCCTGCCCGCCCCCCCACCCCGCACCGCCTCCGCGCCCTGCGCGCCCCTCGCAGCCCGCTTCGGGAGGCCGGCCTCAGCAGTTTCGGTGGTTGAGGCTTAATTGGGAGAAACTGCCCTTGGTCGTCTAAACCCCTAATTTAAAAAGGCCGGTTGTGCAAGGAGATGAGAGAGTCTGTCTCTGGCATCACCCTTTGTAACTTGTGTTTACGCAGCGGCCTGTTTGTAGTTCGTCTCAACTATCCGGGGTGGAGGTGCCAGGGAAGGGTTCGTAGAGAGACCTGAGACCCGGAGAGCAGGAAGGCTGCTGACCCCCTCTTCCCCGCTTGGGCTACGGAAACTTGAAAGATTGTGTCAGGAGCAAATTAGGTTGGCGAAACACAGCCGGTGCTTTGAAAGCATTGGGGGGGGGCGCGGCGGGGGGGATTGTGGCACCTCTAATGGCATAAACAATACAACATTTTTAAAAAGAAAGAAAGAAAGAACAGGGAAACCTTGGCTCTTCGTTCTGCCCTGTCTCACATTTGGTGATCCCTGGGCGGGCGAAGCCAGGTGTTGATTTCATTAAGTACAAAACTTGCACGCGTGTCCCCTTAGCGGTCTGGTAGTGACGTCAGCAGATAGGGGGCCGCCGGGATTCCCAGTGAGCTGTGCCTCTGATGGAGGGAGGGGAGCCCAGGGTCTGGGGGGGGGGGCGGGGAGCCTGGGCCCGGACAGGGAGGAGGGCTCGGAGGTGGGGGGCAGCTGCGGCCTGGAAGACCGTGCTTCCCTGGGTGGGTGGGGGCGGCCCGTCTCTGAAGTCGGAGGTAGGACGTGCTGGGACCAGTGGAGGGAGCTCCTCCACTCACACGGCGCGGTGGCGAAAGCCTTGGGTTTTGGGGGCACGCAGACCTGGCTCTGCCCGGCAAGAACCTTTGGGACCCTGTTCATTTCTTTCTTATCCCGTTATTTTCTTCCTTAAAATGGGGCTACTCGACCTTCGTCACCGAGCTGTAGTGTGTGTGGTGAGGGTGGCGTGGGCCACCCCTGGGACGCGGCAGCTCCACCAGTTTGGAGAGGTGTTATCCTTTCCAAGGGGGGTACAAGTCGAACAAATGGACTGCTTCCACTTAATACATTATACTCTCTGGGCTAAAGATTTCATTTGTTTTTGGAGGGGGGGGAGGGAAGAAGAGAGGGAGAGAAACATCAGTGTGTGGCTGCCTCTCCCACGCCCCCTACTGGAGACCTGGCCCACAGCCCAGGTGTGTGCCCTGAGTGGGAATGGAACTGGCGACTCTTTGGTTTGCAGGCCGGTGCTCAGTCCACTGAGCCACAGCAGCCAGGGCCTCTCCGGGTTATTGAGGAACACGTCTAAAACTCTGGATGTTTCCGTCTCACACTGAGAGGTTTTAGGGGGTCCAGTGGTCTGGTGGCCCCATTGTTGGAGGCGGAATCTGGTGCTGGAAAGGCTGGGTCTGACTTCATTTACCACAGTCCTGCGTTTGAAGGCTTCTTTTTTCCAAATCGAGGAATTTATGTTCTGGTAACCTGTGTGCTTCATCAAAGATTTGTCGTCATTGCTACCTATAGGGTAGCCTTTGCCCTGGAGGTTTTCCTCTGTGACGAAATGGCAGGAGGGCTGTCCCCTGGCAGGGAACGGTTCTCTCCAATTTACAAAAGGGTTGTGTTCAAAGAACATTTGCACGTTGATTATTTGGAACATGGAACACGTTTTCCAGTAAAAACCGTGTAGTGAGGTTGTCAGTCTGACCTACCAAGCTTTTTATTTAGCGTCTTATTTAAAGTAGCAATTTACCGACAGTAGAGGGTCTCCATTTTGGGTTCTGGGAACAGGGCTTGCAGAACAGGTGGGAGGAGGGGGAGGGTTTCTGGCCTCTCTGGGGCCCTGGTTTGCATTCTGAACGAGGCAGAGGTTTGCCTTGCCCTGATCTCAGACTCTCTGTGCTGCTCCGTAGGGCTCCAGGCCTCCTGGCACCCCCTCCACCTCACTCTCCTTGCAGAAGAAGGGAGGCGGGAGGCCCGTGGGTTTGGCGTGACAAGCCAGCGCTCTGCCCCAGGAGGCCGAGTCGGGCTTGCACTAGGGCTTGGGTGTCGGAGGCTTGGTTTAAAAATGTGCGTGTGTCGAGGGGGGCGGAATTCTATTTATCTGTGTGCTTTTTCATTTTCTTTGTCAAGATTCTTCGGAGGATGTCCCTCCAGCCACCCAGAACTTCATCATTCCAAAAAAAGAGATCCACACGGTCCCAGACATGGGCAAATGGAAGCGCTCTCAGGTACCAGTGGGGTCTACACGGTAGGGTCAGAGCTGGGAGGAGAAACTTGGGTTTTGTCAAAGACAGTGGTTTTCTAGGAGCGATGGGCTGTGCGTTCCTGACCCTTCTTGCCCTTGGAGCACTTGGAAGCTAGGGAGAGAGGTGACAGGGGAGATGACTGTCCCTCCCCTTTGGGGGCAGCACGCCAGGCCCTGAGCACCGGGGCCAGGGCAATCCTGGAGACCTGTGCTCCCGGCCTCATAGCCCGTCACCCCTGGACGGCGCACGAGTGCCTAAGTGATGGGAGCGTGTTGCTGTGGTTTTTGGTGACAGCGAGCAGCAAGTTGGGGACCCAGTGTATCAAAGGGAGAAGAGGTTGTCACGTGAAAGCCTTGGCCAGGGAAGTGGCTGAGCCTAAAAGCCCAGGGATCTGGGGCCCAGAGCACTGGGGGTGGACCGGCTTTCTGCGCTGCCAGGCCCCCGGTGGGCGGAAGACAGCAGCTTGTCTCTCCCGGGCTGTGGTCAGGCGGTGGAAAGACCGTGCCTGGGGAAAAGGAGCCAATTTCAAATTCCTAGGGAAGGGCTTGGGTCCGGCTCCAGCCGGGTGCCTGCGCCTCGCCTGGTCGGCTGCCGTGGGGAGTGTCGCTGCAGGCGGGGGCAGGCTCGGCGGTCCCGGCAGGCGGGGCCGCTAGTCTAGGCCACAGGTCGGCAGGTATTGCCTGCTGGCCTAAGGTGGCTCTCCCTGTTATTGTAAATTCAGTGTTACTGGAACCCAGCCACGCTCTTTCCTTTATCTGTTATCTGTGGCCACCCCCGCACTGTGAGGGCAGAGTGGAGAGCGTGTGAACCAGGCCGTGTGGCCCGTGGAGCCTGAGCGCTGGCCATCCGGCCCTTCTCAGGCAGAGTTTGCCGGCTGCGCCCCAGCCGCCCGCACTTGGGGGAAGCGCTGGTCACTTTCTCTCCTGACCTGCGTGTGGGATGATACCTGCTAGGAGCCTCCGATGCACCCTGGAGCTCAGCGGCGAAGGGCACGGCCCTGCTGCGGCCGGGCAAGGGACTCTGTGCGGTGGCCCCAGTGTCGCACTAGGCCGCAGAGTGCAGCCGCAGGAGCGCAGGCTCAGGGGCAGAGGGGGCAGGGCTCGAAGCCCGGGGCCACCGCTTTCTCCCCTTGTGACTTAGGCGTGCCGTCCAGCCTGGCCGCGCCCTGGCCCCCTCCGCTGTAAGGCGGGGTCCTTGGGAGGCTTCAGTGATTGAAAGCCCAGAAAGCACCTGGCCCAGTGCAGGCGCGCGGTGAGCCTCACTGCACGTCAGGTGTGTTTGTTACTGCTGTGAGGATGACGATGATGATGGAGATGACGTCAGCAGAGACTTTGCACGCAGTCATGTTCATAAAAGAGTGTCCTGAGTTTTAGTCACCAAGAGACCTGGACCCATGTGGGCGCAGGGACCGTGGAGGGTGACGCTGCCCCGTGCTGCTTCCCTTCTTGCATCCTGGTGTAGTCGCAGGGGTGACCGGACAGTGGCTGTAGACAGGAGGAGGGCTCAGACCGGCCCTGCGGGGGGAGAGTTGCTGTGGGCGACCCGCTGGGCCTGCTGTGTGACCCTCATTCCCACCGGGCCGTGGGCAGGAAACAGTTTCTTTTCTCGGGAGCAGGTACCTGCACCGCAGGCAGATGGCCTGGCCAGTGTGGTGGGGAACCATCTGGAAGATGACCAGCGGAGGGACCCTTCACGGTTCCCTGGGACTCCTGGCGATGTAGTACAATGGTCAGGTGCTCGGCCACTGTGCTTCGGAGTGTGGTTGTCTGGGTCCTGCTCCCCATCTGATGAGTCCTTGGTCTTAGGAGACTTTGGGCAAGTTACTGCTCCCGCAGCCTTGGTTCCCCCCTCTGTAGAATGGGGACAGGGATAGTGTCTGGCTCATGGGTTGTTGTGCAGACAGCTGGTAGCGACAGTGAGCACGCGGCAAGCTCTGGCTGGAGGCCCAGGGGTCACGGGCTCGCCCTGGAGTTGGACAGAGGGTCTGGGTGGGGTACTTGGCGTTATCTTCCGCTGCTCCTGCCGCTGGGGTGGGAGTCGGCGGCTTGCAGCGATTCGGTGACTGGGCGGAGCCGGGGGCCGGCTGGGGTGTGAAGAGCGGGGGTCTGACCGCCCTTTCCACGTCCCCCTTCCTTCCCCCCACCCCGTCTGGCAGGCCTATGCCGACTACATCGGATTCATCCTCACCCTCAACGAAGGCGTGAAGGGGAAGAAGCTGACCCTGGAGTACAAAGTCTCGGAGGTAGGCCCGGCGGGGGGGTGCTGCGGGGAGGCCTGTCCGAGAGGGGCTCCAGAGCCACAAGGGGCTCGCTCCCCACCGCAGGGCGCTGCAGAAACAAGATCCCCAGACACTTGTGACGTTTTGGTGTCTGTATTTCTAATCTTTTAAAAAAAATCTCTGAGTAGAAAATTGTGGTCCAGGTAAATATGCCATTTTACAGCATATAAACGGCATGCATTTTTGCTCCTTAATGTCTTTATTTGTTTTTAAATCAAAAGAGATCACACAAGAAGACCATAAAGGAATGCTCGCCGCAGAGATTCCTGATAGAAACGTGTGTAACGTTAGCGGAAAAGCTGCCCTCTCGCTCTGCCCCGCCGCGTCCCCGACCTTAGTGGTGTGGGGGGTGCCCCCGCCCTGCCCCGAGAGCCCTTGCTGTCCTGCCCTGCGGACGGCTGCCTCCCGGAGCCAGCCCTCGTCCCGTTTAAACAGCCCCCGCCTAGACTTCCAGGCGCCTGCCCTGAGCACGGCTGCCCTGAGCACCCTCGCACCCGGGTCTGCGGGCGCTGTTCCCCAAGGCTCCGTCCCTGGAAGTGGGAGTGCTGAGGTGGAGGGCGCCCTGCTCCCTGGGTGCGCTTGGCTCTGTTTCAGCGACAGGCTTGTTTGTGGAGGGAGGGCGGGAGCTAGCTGTGGCAGCCCGATACCCGTGGGAAGGTGTGGTCCTGCAGCTGTTTGCTCTGCTGGCTGCCGTCTTCCCGGGCTGGGTCCCAGGCCTCCAGTGGCCTTTTGGATTCCTGTCCCAGTGGGTCCACAACCACCTTGAGCCTCTTCTCTGAGACGCCAGGGCCTGAGAGCCTCTCCCCGCGCCTTGTCTCACCCGGTGCTCTGGCCGTAGCCTTGGCCGGTGGGTGAGGCCTGGCTCTGCTCGTGCACGCAGTCTCTCCACCATCCTGAGGCTCGTGTTACCCCATCGGCCTGCGTATTCCTGAGCCCTGGCTGGTTGGCGGATGGCCAAGGCCCTCTTCTGTCACTGTGGGGAGCCAGGCCCGTGCGAGGGATTGTCAGTCTTCTCTTGGGAGCTGGCCCGCCAGCGACCTCCTGAGTTCCTGTGAGGCCCACGCCGTGCTCTGGGGTGGTGGGAGGGAGGGCTCCTCCTTGAGCCTGCAGCAAGGGGTGCTCGGCTGTGCTCAGCGGCCTCGGGGGTGTGGTGGGCAGGGCTCGTGAGAGGGGAGTGTCGTCATTACCCAGCAGGTGCTGCGCTGCCAGACCCCTCGCAGGTCCCTTCGTTGGCCCGAGGGTGTGACGCTGCGTGGTTAAGTGCTCGGGTTCTGGAGTCAGGTGACTGGGTTTTGATGGCCTCTCACCTCTGGCCTGAGTGGCCTTGTCCCCTGTGACCCTCTGTGTCCTCATCTGTAGAGTGGGAAGAGCCACAGACCTCCTTATGGCCCCCGGGGAGGGTTTGCTAGATCCCGCATGTAGGGTGTGTTTGCACCGTTCCTGGCAAGCACTGGATGACCGCCATCACTATTAGCCATTGGTAACAGGAGCCGTGTTGCAGTTCTAATTTCCAGTAGTGTTATTGCTCCAGCCGAGGCTCCCCCAGAGCTGGGGCACATCCTGGCACTGGGCCAGTGCGGTGCTCCTTTCTCAGGGGACAGAGGGGACTAGGTCTCTCAGCTTCTGCCCGCACTGGCAGGGACAGCAGGGGGCATGGCGCACAGCACGTGGCCTACGGGGCTGTCTTCTGCCCGGGGCAGCGTGGGTCTCCTGCTGCGGGCGCGGCAGCTGCAGCTGGGGCGAGGGCACAGCGGCCTCCTTCGGGCGGTGGCACGCAGACGGCCTACGGCAAGGGCGACGCGGGGGCCGGGCCCAGGTTCGGAAGGCTCTCCTTCGTTTGCGGTTATGTCTGTCCTTCTCTTTGGGGGTTAGAATTCTTAACTTTTGTGGAATAAAGATGGTAGTAGATGGGAGGCTTATTTTTTGTTGCTCTGTTTTATTTTTTAAATGAGGGCAAAATAAAAAATTGGTAAGTAAAATTTTGGAGCAAATTTTACTCGTTCGTGAAATCCAAAAGGGAAGCCTGGATTCGGGAGAAGGAGTGTAGGTCAAGGTGTTCTTTGTGCTTTCGGGTTCCGGCCCACGGTTCCCTCTCCTCTAACTCTCCCCCCGACTAGCCAAGACCACAGAGTCTGCCTGCCCCCCCCCCAATTTAAAAATCCCCTGCAGAACGAATTGCTAGGAGCCTTTTAATTATTCATCGGCCCTGCCGAGCTAGCAGCTGGGGCCTGGCCACTGCAGGGAGGGAGCGCCTCCTTGATCCCCCTCAGCTCCTTGTCACCAAAGGCCGACGTCTCTGGACTGGATGTGCCTTGCTGAGCGTCCTGGGCCAGGACTGTTGCACCGCCCTCCCACGCGCAGCTGCTCTGCAGGGGTGGGTCTGCTCTGTCCTCATCAGTGTCCCTGGTGACCTGGTTCTTCACAGAGCCAGGCTCTGGCGTCATCTCTGTCACACTTCAGCAGGCAAGGGCATGTCGCCCTGACCCTCCGCTTCAGCCAGTCTGAAGGAGCTCTCCCCTCCACAGGCATTCTTTCCCCTCCTCCCAGGCCCCAAGCACAGGGGACGGGAGGGGAGGCCATGGTCATGCCGCACAGTGGCAGGAGGCACCTCTTACAGGACAGCTGTGTGACTTGTGCCTCCTGGAGCCGAGCCGCGGGGGCGCTGGCCAGCACGCGCACCATTGGCTCGAACCCGCTCCCCGCCGCCCCAGGTACCTGCGTAGCTCTTGGGAAGCGGCTGTGCACGGCCGGTGGCCAGGCCTTGTGCTCCCCGTCACCGCTTTTCCTGTGGCACCACCCTGCCAGTCCCTGCCGGTGCCAGGAGCTCCTGGGCGCCCCTCAGGCCAGCTGGGCCCAGGGGACGCGGGCCCGATCCGCCTCTCGGCAGGGCCCCTCCTCCCAGGGCCGCCTGCCTTCGAGTGTCCTGTGCAGCGGGCCGGCCCGAGCCTCCCGGTGTCTCCAGAGGCCCCTCTCTGTGAGCCACGTCCACAGGGACCCGCTCCTCGCCTCCTCGCAGACCTGCGGGTGGGCAGACAGCCTCGCCTGGTTTCCTTGCTGAGGAACGTGTCGGGTGCCAATGTTGTCCTGGCCTGTGACACCAGTCCCACTCAGCCCCCGCCTCCTGTGGGGAAGGTCGGGGCCGCAGACGCCCGCGGCCCCACAGAGCACCCCTCCCATCCGCGCCTCTGGCCCGGCGTTGCCGCAGAGCGCGAGTCGCCAGGTAGTCTTCCGCGGTGTGGTTTGTGGGCGCGGACAGCTGGGAGTGACCCACGCGTGTGACAGGAAGGGGTTCGGTATGTGTGTAGTCCACTGGAGCAGTGACACCCTGGTCACTGATCAGAGGCTGTCGTAGAATGTGTTTCCATGTTGGTGTGCGGCGAGGTTCACGAGGAAACAGTGGCTGCAAAGCAGCGTGTGCCCCTGACCCGTGTCTGGAGTCTGCGTGGAGCCCTGCCCGTCACCCTGTGCCAGGCGCTGCGCTAGGCCTCCGTCCTGGATCGTTATCCAGGGGCCCTCGCGGAGCCCCGAGAGGCGCTTGTCGTCCGCCGTTCTGGAGGCGCAGCAGCGGGCGCGGAGCGGTGAAGCCGCTGGCCCGAGGCCTGGCAGCAGCTTAACGGTGCTTTAGCTGGGATTTGAGTCCAGGTCCAGCCGCCCTCAAAATCGTCACTATGATAAGCATTAGAAAGCTCTAGAAAGAGACGAAGCTGAAGAGCAGGTTAAAATGCAGTAGCATTTACTTCTGGGTGGCAGGGTCGCTGGTCGTTTTCGTGTCCTGCGTTGCACACGCCCGTTCTCTGTGGTGAGGGCACGGTTGTGCGCTAACCAGAGGGCCCCACCAGTTCCACCGAAGAAGGTCCGGGCTGCCGTTCACGCTCGTCCCGCACCTCCTCTGGGCTAGCGAGGGGCCCAGCTGCCGAGGCCACACTGTCCCTTCGGCCCAGGGCCTGTCCCTTCCTGCAGGGCACACTGTGCTCCCCTGGCTTTTTTCGCATTCAGGATGGTTGGGAAGGAAGGGGGTGCCAGTCAGCACCACGCCTTGAGGTCCTTGTTCAGCAACAGCTGGGACTTCTCTCTGTGGCTCTGGTTTGGGGCACTGGTCATTCCGGCTTGGCCACCTCTATTTTGCCCCCGCAGGCCATCGAGAAACTGGTCGCCCTTCTCAACACGCTGGACAGGTGGATTGACGAGACTCCTCCAGTGGACCAGCCGTCTCGCTTCGGGAACAAGGCCTACAGGACCTGGTACGCCAGGCTCGACGAGGTGAGGCCGCTACAGACAAGCCTGGGGCTGGGCCACGGGCAGCCTGCAGGCACGTCAGGGGCACCGGGCGCTCGTTCAGGGGGCAGCTCCGTTTACCAAAAGCACAAATGCGTTTAACCATCTTCTGGGAGTCGGATGCGGATCCCTCCTCACGTGGATGCAGAGCCCTCCGCACAGTGTGTACGAGCAACTGCTGCAGACACCCGGGCGTCCGTCTGCAGGGCATCAGTGAGGTCACGGCCGTCCCGCACGGAGCACTCTGCAGCTGCGGGGAGGAATAAGGAGTCCGACTGGGGACTCAGGGAAGGGACTCCGAGATCCACTGTCAGGTCGAAGAGCAGCTGCGGTGCACATTGCAAGCTGCCTTTTGGTTAAAAAGAGGGAGAAATGAAAAGATATGTTTGTATTGCTTGATTTGCATAGAGAAACACCTGCAATGGAAGGTTACACAAAAGGCAAATAGAGCTGAAGTTTCTTTTCGAGGGCAGGGAAGAGGAGCATGGGTGGGGACAGGGGTGGGTTGGGACTTCTTAATGCATTCCTTTTACGATGTGTTTGTTTTTGAATCACACGAAAGCTATACCTATTCCAAGCAAAGCAGACAAGTAAACAAAATGCAGGATTGCGACCCCATCCTTAGAAAAGTGGAGTCGGTGGGTCAGAGCGGAGTCTGTGCACCCCAGTTTCCACTGGGTCTCCGGGAGATCCTCATGCCGCGTGTCCACAGACCAAACTTAGTGGGACTCGGGTCCTCACTTCCTGGCCCCGTGTCATCACATGGGGCAGAGAGGAATTAAGGGACACAGCGGAACGCTCTCTTCCCTGAAGAGTGGCCTGGGCTGCCTCTGGCTCCTAGGATGGCACATGGGCTCAAGTTGTTTTTTTTTAAAGGTTTTTATGGAGTAATAATTGAAAGCTGACATATTATAGCTGTATAATGTGTTTCACCCTTGTACCCACCACCCATAATAAGCTGTAGAACATTCCAGCATTTAAGCAGTACCCTCGTGCACCCTTCTAGTCGATGTCTCCCCAGCTCTTGATTTCTGTCTCATAGATAGTTTTTGCCTTTTTTGTGAACTTCATATAAACGTGTGGCTTCTTTTACTCAGTGTTATGACTGTGATTCATCCGCGTGGTTGTGCACAGCAGTGGCTTTTTCATCGCTGCATAACATTCCACCGTGTGGACACGGCACAGCCTGTCGATTCTTCTGTCGGCGGGCGTTTCAGTTGTGGGTCGTTTCCACGTTCTGGCTGCTGTCAACAGCGCTGCTGTGGACTTCCTCGTGCGTGTCTGTCGGTGGACACGTGGCACAGACTCTTGCTGGCAGTGCGAAGAAAGGTGACATCCGTGGGGATGTCGATGAGTTACCAGATGGGAGAGTTGGATGGCTTCAGGTCCCTGTTGTCTTGCCCCCAGAACCTTAGAACCTTGTCGCTAGGAGGAAGGGTCAGCAGATAAAAAGCCACCCCGGGGTGGTCTCTGTTGTGTGAGAATAAATGCCCTCCCTCCTCTTCCTTCTGTGACTGGCCCCAGCAGGGAGCCGGGCTGCCTGGCCCAGCGGTCTGGGCCCCAGCCAGACGCTGCCCCTGGGCGCTCGCTTACCAGGATGCTGCATAATCTGCTGCCACCACTTTGTGTCTCTTGTGTTATCAGGAAGCAGAAAACTTGGTGGCCGCAGTGGTCCCCACCCATCTGGCAGCTGCTGTGCCTGAGGTGGCTGTTTACCTAAAGGAGTCAGTGGGGAACTCGACACGCATCGACTACGGCACAGGTACCTGCCGTTCCCGGCATGCACTTGGCTTCACAGCATCCTTTTCTTGGGCTGCTTCCTTTTGCTTCCAGGTTGTCTCCTGGAAGCCCAGAGCAAGCTGCCTGTCTGGGCCAGCTGGGGAGCAGCGCTGCTGAGCGCAAAGAGCCTTGGAGCTGCTCCTGCGGCTCTCGCTGCATCCACCAGGGGGAGCTGATGCCCTGAGTGCTGCCACATGAGCAGCGCTCCTGTGATTCCTGCTCTTTCCGTAGACGGTCTGAGCTTACTACCGTCATCACCGGAAGGGTGCACTGCGCACTTACTGTATCTCAAGGCAACTGCTCACAGAAGCCTCGAGGAATGAAAGAGCTTGGTGGCCTCTGGCAGCATCGTGGCCGCCCTCACCCCGGGCCCTTTGCCCTTGGCCACACCCGCTGTGTCCCTGCGCTCTCCAGGTGAGGGAGCAGGCGGGCACCTCAGCCGGGGGTGTTCTCTGGGTCTGCAGAGGCAGGCCTGGGGAAGGGCCCCCTGGACCTGCGGCTCGGGAAAGCCTTGTGTCAGCTCCCCCGTTGCTAGGGAACAGGTTTAGCAAGTGTTTTGATGCTTTCACGGGTGGGGCTTTGACGAAGGCTAACGGTGAGACCCTAGACGGGAGAGTGGTCGGGTTAGCGGGGGTGGGTTTTTCCTCCCTCGGTTGCTCTCAGGTGTGTGAGAGTGATGGTCACCCCCGAATGAGGGTGGCCTGGGTCCTGGCTGGTCATGATGGGAATTGTGCAGGGGACAGTAACGGGTCACGAGCTTTCCAGGCCCCTGGAGGGACTGGCCTACAGAAGCAGGACAGGATGTCACGGAAAATACTCTCCACCCCCCTCCCTCTGTGGTGCTGAACTGTGGACTCGGTCCGAAGCCCAGCCAGCGTTCTCTGTGCTGCTGACCACTCCTATCTGACGTGCCCGGGGAAGGGAGAAGGGGGCCTTCGCCCTGGGGTGTGACCACGCTTAGAGCGTGACCCGCTGAGAAGCCTTCGGTGGCTCCCATTGCTCTGAGGACGAAGGCTAAGCTGTCCACTGCGGCCGTTGTGGCCCGTCGGGCCCCAGCCGCACCTCGTGGTCTCTGCCTCGGCCGAGCCAGCCTCGGGGCCCCTCAGACTTCGCGTGTCCCCGCCTCACGGCCTTTGCACGTGCCATCCGTGCTGTCTGGCGTGCTCTCTCTGCTTTCCCCACCGTGTGCCGTGCTGACTCTTACTTGTATCTCCGACTCCAGATTAAATACCGTTTCCTTAGGGAAACCTTCTTGAGCCCTTATGTCAGGCGCCTCCGGAACAGCCTGCGGTTATCACCCCACCCTCCCGCAGAGCTGGGGCCCTGGATGTGACTGTGTGTTGATGCCTGTCCTGAACTCTTGAGTTCGGGCCGGGGCCGTTTCCCTGCGGCCGTGTCCCTGCGGCCTGACACAGACAGCGGCCGCCCGGTGGGAGGTGCTCAGTGAACAGGGTGGGCTTGGGGGTCAGACCTGCAGAATAAAAGGTTCGCGCCTGCTTCCGGGCCTGGTGGGAGTAGAATGATAGTGCTGGTGGCCCTTAAAAGGGCCGAGGTCTTCCTGGGAGGGCAGAGTCCCCGTGACCCCCGTGCTGCCCACCTTCTTGGGGAGGCAGGTGTCAGTGACTTGGACCCTGGGGAGGCCAGGAACAGCCCCACTCCTTTTCTGGAAGGTTGTCGACCTCGGCTGTTCTCCCCCCCAGGACACGAAGCAGCCTTCGCTGCCTTCCTCTGCTGTCTCTGCAAGATCGGGGTGCTCCGGGTGGACGACCAGATAGCTATTGTCTTCAAGGTGTTCAATCGGTGAGTGGGGGCGGGGCAGGGGGCGACTGCCGGTGGGGTGGGGAGCACAGGGTGCTCTTATCCTGGCCCAGTCAGGCTCCGGCTGTGGATGGGCTGTCCACTCGCACTTCTAACAGCTTCAGGTTCAAGGACTAGCAAGTGAAGGGAATGTTACGTAACGACTGCTGATGCCTCCGTGGTGTTCACCACGTGGAGGCGTGGCTAAGTGCTGTACCCACAGCTCACGCGCAGGTTCATCGCAGTGCGCTCTGTGACGTCCGCACGACGACACAGTAGCAGCGCGTTCCTCACAACACGTCCTCGTGCCGGCGAATGGCCGCTTCTCAGCACAACCCTAGAAAGTAGCAGCTGTCATTTCCATTTTATAGATGGGGACGCCGAGCCAGAGACTCGGGGTCTGCTCACTGAGGTCACACAGCCCGGTGAACCCCGGTAGTCAGGCTCTGACCTGCGCCCCTCACCGCCCAAACCACCTGGAGCGCAGGTGTGTTTCCACCACCACCGCGTTGACAGTGCCACCATGCAGGGGCTCCGGGGCGACTGGGACGCAGCCCCTCACGACACTGGCAAGCCCGAGGCAGAGAGGCCGAGGCTCCCACCCAGGCTCTTACATGGCGGGGGGTCGATGGTGCCGACGCCCCTTCCCGGGTGTCCCGCACACTCCTGGGCGGAAGGGAGACCGATGCGGGGGAGGGCGGCAGCCGTGTGCAGAGCACTGGCTGACGTGAGTGGTGCGGTAGGTCTTCGCCGAGACAGACCAGCGACGCTCTCAGGTGGTCCCTTCCAGCCCCCCTGTGCTCCCAGTGGCAGAAGGGCTGAAGCTGTTCTTTTACCTTTGCTACCTCTCCTCCCTCCCCCGCTCCTGTGCAGGTACCTTGAGGTGATGCGGAAACTTCAGAAGACATACAGGATGGAGCCCGCAGGCAGCCAGGGAGTGTGGGGCCTGGACGACTTCCAGTTTCTGCCCTTCATCTGGGGCAGCTCGCAGCTCATAGGTACTGAGGTGGGGCGTGCGCCCCTCCACCCTCAGAGCACGTTCTGTGTCCCCGCTCCCCGGCTTCCTCTGTCCCCGTCCCTCTTTCCTCCTCCTCCTGCCCAGACAATAACAGCCGGTGAATCAGGCACTAGACTGGCTATAGGCGGAGGCTGCTTGCTGGCCTTCTGCTGTGTGCAAGCTGGGAAGGCGGGGGCAGGCGGGGGCAGGCGGGGGCGGAGGCCCTCCAAGACGATGGGAAGTGAGCAGGGGCCCTCACCAGACTCACAGTGGACCGGCGTGAGACACACCCCAGCTCCTGGCAGCAGCCTGTGGGGTTTTATGCTGAAAATCAGGGGCTCTTTGACTCAGTGACCACCGTCATCTACTGTCACTACAGAGCCATGTGCAAGGGCCCATCCGGGAGCTGCCACCAAGTGCTGGGCAGTGGGCCCCTTGCAAGAGTGGGCCCACTCCCCCCACTTTCCCATGAGCAAGCTGCCATGGGCGAGGGATGACGTCTGCTCCGACATAGGTGTGACAGACTATGCGATAACGTTAATAAGTGACCACTGTCGAATGCACGCTCTGTGCCGAGCATTGCTCTAAGTGCGTGGGGTGGGGGCTGCCTCCCTGGAGCTTCTCAGTGACCCTGGGAACTGTCTCCTAACGCACCGGGCAGGCGCCATGCCGGGCGCCTTTCCGTGCTCATGATGGCCAGCAGGTCTTCAGCAGCCCTGCAGGGCGGGTGCTGCTCTTACCCCGCTGCAGAGACTCGGGGCCGAGGCGAAGGTTGGCACGCTAGAATACGCACACGCACGAGACTCCTCATTGCTCCTGTGGGGTCCGGTGTCCAGGGTGCACAGGCGGGACTGTGGCCCTGGGTGGGTGTGGGCCACGTGGGCCGAGGTGCCCAGTGGCGTGAGCACCCGGTCCTGAGCCCCGGCTCCCTGCTGTTCCCAGACCACCCGTGTCTGGAGCCCAGGCACTTCGTGGACGAGAAGGCCGTGAACGAGAACCACAAGGACTACATGTTCCTGGAGTGCATCCTGTTCATCACGGAGGTGAGGGGTGAGGGGTGAGGGGTGAGGGCGGGCCGGGGACAGCCCCAGGCTGAAGGGAGCTGAGGCTTTGGACAGAGGGGCCAGAGCTGCTGCCCAAAGGCAGCAGGGCTGGTCCCAGGAGGCAGGTTGTTGGAAAGGAAGCCCCACCAGGCCTCCCTGAAAGGTTGCGTCAGCCTCTGATCACCCAGGATCTCCTCCTCCAGACCGGTGGTCTGGGCCTCCTACCGGGGCTGAGGGACTGAGCCCACTCACCGGCTGGCCTGTGACTGACGCAGCAGGTCTGCACGGTGGGCGGGGTCAGCATCCTGCAGGCGGGGTGCAGCCTGTGGAGCTCTGCATGTGTGGCTGTGTAGGACGGGCCATCTCAAGAGATGGAGGGGCTTTGCAGTGGATGGCAGGACAGATTTCTCCGAAGGGACATGGTTTGGTCAGGGTCTGCGAACATGGGCCAGGGGAAGGGTCACAGGTGAAAACAAGCAGGCCTGGACCCCAGCCCTCCCTGCATCTTCATTTAACCAGTCTCCCACAGTGCAGCCTTGGACCTCAAGGTCATCTGGGGAGCTTGTTCAAACACATGTTCCTGGGCCCCACACCAGCTTTCTGAATCAGAATGTTGGGGCTGGAGAGCCAGAAACCTGTCCTTAATCACACGTTTCAGGTGACTGTACGTGAAGGTCAGGGGCCCATTGCTCTCAGGGCTTTTCTGCCAGGAGGCGGCCTCTCATCCTTCCTGCCTCGTACCTGTTCCCCGCAGACTTTCGGAGGATGCCCTGGCTCTGTCTCGGGAGGGCCCTGTTTTCTTTCCTAATGCCCGCATGCGTGTCTACCGGCCCCAGTGCCGTCCCTGGCACACCCGTGCACCCCTGCCTGTGGGCGCGGTTGCCTGCCTGCCCATTCTGAGTCCGCTGAGGATGGGGCTGGGAGGGTGGAGCCTGGTTACTAACGCAGCTGTAGCTCCAGGCTCCTCCCGGTCAGCATTCGGTCCAGGCTTCTGCCAAACTCCAGAGGCCAGAGGGGAATGACGTGTTTTTTCCAAGTCAGCAAATGGACCCGGGACTGATGGGTGGGCGGCCACCGCTTCGTCCGCAGAGATCTGCCGCCTTCAGCGGTGCGGCGGGCCCAGGGTCGGAAGGGCTCCGGGGCAGCCTGGCTCACTGCTGTAGGCGCCAGCCCCACTACTCACTCCAGAGTGGAATGCAGGGGTCTGTGGAGCCCCGGGGAACCCCAGGAGGAGCTGGAGGAGCAAGGAGGGGTGAAGGGGTGCACGTGTTATGCTGAGCTGTGACTGGGCTCTCTTGGAGGGTAAAAGGCTGAATTGTTCTGGCTCCCCCTGGTGGTGGGCCAATCGTCTGGGTCCCGGTCAGTAACTAGCAAGGAGGAAGGCCATGCCCGGCCTCAGGGAATACGGGAATCGACTCCTGGTTAAAACTTTATATTTTTGTTTGGTTGGTTGGTTATGCTGGTATAAAAACCCAAAAGCTTTCCCAAAGTTTGGGATCCAGTTCCTCTGCTAGAGAAAAAAATCCCACAGTGGCCACAAGGTGGCAGTAAAAGAACGTTGAACGTGGAGAAGGTTTTGGTTGCCATTTAACTGGGGAGAGGCCCTAGACTTCTCAGTTGCTCCACACCCTCTGGGCAAGGCCTGCTTTTCACTTGGGGTCTAGCTGTTTCCGTACGGTGGTCAACATTTGTCTAGGAGGGGCGTGCCTCAAGGCTGAGGTGACTGTAGTGAGGGCCCCCTTCTGCCCACCTGACCTGGCTGCTGATTGCAGCATCTAGGGTACCTCCAACCCCTGCCCCCTTCCACCTGAGGCCAGCGACCTGCAGCTCCTGATGGAGAGTGAGGGCCTGGCCTGGCCCGCTCCGACAGAGGGAGCCCCAGGGCCGGACACGGGCGGGCAGGCAGGCCCGGAGGTGGGTGTGCAGTTCTGCGTGCTGTGGCCTGGAAGGGGGCGGGGCTCCCTCTGTAGCCCTGGGGATCACGAGGGCTCGGGCGGCTGGGTGCAGCAGAGCAAGCTGGAAATGAAGCCGAGCTTCTCCTCCCGCTGGGCTCTCGCGGGGCTGGGGAGCCAGCCTGGGACGTGCCCTGGTAGCCCTGGGCCTCCCAGAAGAGGGACCCACCTGGAAGAGCTTCTGCTGCCGCAGGAAATGCAGCCCTGGCGCCTTTAAGAGCCCAAGGCAGGCAGGAAAAGAATTTCAGTTTCAATCTGGCTTCTAAATTTGGAGTTTTGGGAAGGGAGGGATCAGATTTCAGCTGGAAGGGAAGGAGCTGACAGGAAGGCGCTGTGCAGAGCCTCCCCCACCCCCGCCCCATCCCCCTCAGTTACTGACAGAGGAACCATTTACAAAAGGCCGATTCTCCTGGGAGTGGAGAGGCAGGAACGCAGCGTCTGTGAGTAATTTCCTGCTCAACATGGCTGCTCTGACTCACACGATTCCCCTGGGGTCACTGCGGGACTGCAGCTCGCTCGCTGGTTCTCGCTCTTTCTCTTCTCCCTTTGTGGCTAGAGTGAGCTAATTTTTTTTTGTTTTCTCGTGCCCATTCCTTTTTCCCCCTCATCTGTTTTCCTTCCCCAGAGTTGCAGTCTCCTTTGCAACTTGGGGAGACCTTGGGGCACTGAAGGCCTAGGGGGTGTGAGGGGGGCAGCTCCCCTAGAGAAAGAGCATCTCTGGCTTTTTCACGGGTGGGGGCAGGGCCACTGCGGCCCTGGAGCTCAGGCCTCCCCCTGGCTCTGTCAGCAGTTCAGAGGGACCTTTTGGCGCTCCTCTCCCAGGCCCTTAGTGGGTGAGGCTTCCCAGCATCCACCGGGCACCCTCGCCGAGCAGGCCCCCGGCGCTGCTGCAGTGGGGGGACGCCCGCAGGGTCCTCCTGAGTGGTGTGCTCCCGGCACCCTGGCCAAAGGGGAGCTGCTCATGCAGCTCCCCGGCTCCTGAGCTCGGGGCCTGGAAGCAAGTGAGAGGGCTGGAGCCAGGCCCCTGTCCCCTAGGGCAGGGAGCCTGGGGAAGGGGCGGGGCGAGGGGAGGGTTTGAGGTTAGGGGTGGAGCCTGCTTGAGTGGGACTGTACAAGGGAGGGAGCTCCAGGAAGGCCAGGCTCCTGCAGGCCAGGCGCCTGGCTGCCCTCCTGGGAGAGGGAGCCTTAGAGGAGGGGAGAGATCCTGGGTGCCTGGACTGGCCCAGGAGAGGCCCTGCAAGCGCCAGGGTGGATTTGTCTCTGTCCAGCACCCTGGCCCGTGGCCTCGACTGGGAGGAGGGAGCCTGCTGTATTGAACCTGGGGGTTGACAGGTTTGGGGGGACTTGAGCCAGGAGAGGGAGATGGCCGGTAAAAGGGCAGCGTTTGAAGAGCTGCCCTTTCTGAAGGAGCGGGAAGGCCTGCGGGAATGGGCCACCTGGCAGCGGCCGCGGCGGGGGCGGCTGGGTGGCGGCTGCAGTGGTGATGTGCTCCTGGGCCTTTATTCTCGTGATGCCCAATAGGCAGAGAGGGCTTCGGACCCTCCTGTCTCCCGGGAGTAGCTCCCTCTCAGCCCCGCCTCCACGAACAGCATCTTCTGGAACCTTCCACACACTCACGGTCCAAGTCTGTGCTTCCTTGCCAGCTCAGCTAATTTTGCCTTTCGCACTCTTTTTTCTGAAGCCCGGGGCTCAGGGTGCTGAACCATGTTCCCCTGGCCTCGGTGCTGCTTATCAGCCAGGGAGGGGTGGTGTGGAGGCAGGGACTGGGACCTGCTTGTTGAGCACGAAGCTGCTGGCCCCGGGCCGTCGGAGGGGCACGGTGAGGCACACAGACTTCCCTGTCCCAGTGCTGCTGTGGCTGCTGCTGTCATGGGGACCCCACTGGGCTCGCTGCAGTTTCTTCCCGCCCAGAGGCCAGGTTTTTGACCAGAGAGTGACCAGGAGCGGAGCTGTCCTTGCACCTGCCTGTCTCCCGCTGGTGTGATGACCGTCCCTTTTACACTTCCTGGCCAGGTCAAGGGCTTTCCGAACAGACCTTCCTCCTGAGCCTGCTGCAGGTGCCCCCAGTCTGTCTGCAGTCGGGCCCTCCTCCAAACCACCCCCGCCCCCGGCTCTTCAGCTCTGCCAGTGGCAGGTGCAGACCAAGTGTCACGTGGCAGAGCCCACCCTGTGTGTGGGGCTGGGCTGGGAGAGTTGGGGTCTGGGCTGCTGCTGCTGTTCATCTGAGTGCGAGCTGTCCCCGTGCTGTCAGGGCGCCCCGGGCTCTGGCGAGTTGGTGGGAGATGCACTAGGATTTGGGCCGAGAGTATTTTTTCTGAGACTGCTAGATTTGGGGGGGTAGGAGTCACATACCCCTTTTTTGGCTATGGAAGAAAGAGGGTGACTGGGGGTTATGCAAGACCCCTAGTGGGTCTTGCAGGCCAAGAGGGACCCTGCCTCCGGTATCTGGGGGGGGGTGTGTGTGTGCATGCATGCATGCGTCATTGCGTGCCTGTGTACATGGCACGCACACTTGACCTTGCCGCGGGGAGCAGAGCACAGGCTCCCAGGTGGCCCGCCTTTCCAGCCGTGGACTCTCTTTTCCAGATGAAGACGGGCCCCTTTGCAGAGCACTCCAACCAGCTGTGGAACATCAGTGCGGTCCCCACCTGGTCCAAAGTGAACCAGGGTCTCATCCGCATGTACAAGGCCGAGGTGAGCTCGGGCTGGCTGGGGCCCTTGGTCCTGGGGCTGCTGCTCCTCCACCCGCCGCCACTGTGTCTCTCTGAATCCGGGCCAGCACCTCTGGCCCCTGAGGCCTCAAAGTCTCCATCTGTGAGGTGGGCCGTCAGAAAGCCCTGGACTGAGGCCCAGCTCTGCACTCGGAGGGAGGCAAGGCCCTGCTGCTGCCCGGGGTGCAGGGGGACCCCTCCCCACTTGTCCAATGGCAGACGTCCCCGGCAGCTCTGCGCCTGTGGGTGCGCAGAAGTGAAGACGTGTTTGGGGGGGGTTGTGTCCTTGGAGGCGGTTTCCAAGGTGGCGCTTCTCAAACTGGGATGTCTGATCGCTGGGCAGGTGGGAGCTGGGATTTTTGAATGACCACTAAAGGTGGTCTCCCTGCCCCCGCCTGCCCCCAGTCAGTGTTTCTGGAGCGCCCCCTGCTGGGAAGTGGCTGCCCCCGCCCTCTCTCCTTGTCCTCCTTGGCACCCTTCTCCCAGCCAAGGAGGTGGCTTTTTCCCTGGCAAGTAGAGAGGAGACCTTTCTTTTCCACCCCGTTCTTTCCGCTAGCTCCTTCCACATCTTGGGCAGACCAGTGTGGACTTGCTTGACCTTGGCCAGAAAGGGGCCTAGATGTGAGCGAAGTCCCTCCTCTGGAGCAATGGGTCCCCAGAGTCTCCTCTTTCTGCCTCAGACTGGGTCTCAGATACTGTCCGTGGGGCGCCTCTCTTGGCCCTTGGCCCTTGGCCCTGCGTCTCCCCGGGAGTGAAGGGTCTCCGGGCTTCTCAGGTTCCCTTCGCAGAGGCCGGAGCGAGAGGGGCGGGGTGGTAGGTGGTTCAAGTGCTTCCGACCGACCTCACCTGCTCTGCGTGGCCCCGAAGGGGTTAACGGCGCTGGAACTGGCCGGCCGGCCCTCTCTTTCCCTTCCGCCCCTCCCCCTCCCGTCCTTTTCCTCTGGACCTCACATCCTGTGTTTAGGCTCCAGCCCACATACCTCTCTAATCTGAGGGGAGCTTTCCCTGGGCTGCGCGGGCTCCTTCCGGGCAGCCGGCGGCCCCTTCCTCTGGCTCTCCGGCGGCGTGGAGCGCACCGGGTCACTGCCCTCTGGCTGTCCTGCTGTTCCCGACGCCCCCGAGCAACGCTCGGTGGATGCTGCTGGGGAGCTCTGTCACCCTGTTGAGCCCTCCCCACTCTGGGGGGAGGGGGGTGCCATGCGCAGTGCACGGGGAGGGGCGAAGGGCCTCCCCCCACCCCCAGCTGCCCCCTCCCCTGTATCACAGGCAGGACTCGGGTGCCTGTCCTGTTTGGGGTCTTAAACTGCTGTCCTCCCTCAGTTTTCACTTGGGTAACTAAACGTATCCTGACCTGGGCCCCTAAGGGCCGAACAGGAGACCCTGCCACCCCTCTGCACCTGCTCCGCAAGCAAATGAACCCTGGGTCGGTTCCAAAGGTGATAGCGCAGTGAGGACCAGCCGTCTGTGTGACAGTTGTCGGTGTTTCTGCGGATGCCGAACACAAGGACAGGGACCAGCGCTGCCTGCAGCTCGGGACCAGGTGGAGGGGCTGGAGCGGGAAGCACAGCGCCCTTCCTGCACGCGGGGAATTCCAGCTCCGGCGCACGCAGGCGCAGTGTGAGCCGCGGCCTTGCTGGGTGCAGCGCGGCGGCCAGACTTCTTTGTAGGACAGCCCTGGGGCTCCGTGACTTTAGGGACGCCGAGTCTCTGGTGGTCTTGAGTCCCTGAGAGTCCGAGGGATCACACGCTCCGTTCCCAGAGGCCCAGGGGAAGGGCTTGGCTTTCCAGACCGGTTCTCAGTCTGTGTGGCGAAGCCCACTGGTCTAGGAATCCGGAAGGCTCAGTGAGCCCCAGTGCTGCCAGCCAGAGTTGTCAGAGTCAGGGGACAAGGGGGTTTTGTCCCCGAGCCGTCACGGAGGCCCCACGTTGGGTGGCTTCAGAATTTGGAACCAGCTGTCTGCATCTCCAAGCTGTCTGTCCTGGCCTTTCTGAACCGAAGGACCAAATGCTTCCAGGACCCTGCGGGGGGCGGGCCCGGGTGGGGCCCGGAGAGCCCGTCCTCCCACCTGAGTCTGCAGGCCCGGAAGGGCCTCCAGGTGGAGAACCGTTCTCCGTCAGGGCGGGCCGAGGCCTTGCTCCGCTGGGTGTGGAGGCGGGCCTGGGGTGCACAAGCAGCTGGGGGAAGGGCCTGGCCCGAGGCTCCCTTTTGCCATCACCTGGAGCATCTGCTTCCATGGCCCCAAGCAGCCTCTGCCTTAGCCCAGCCCCTCACCTTTGCTGGGGCCTGGGGCAGCTTGTTCTGGGTCCCTGAGGGCGGAATGGCAAGAACTCTGCCCCACCCCCTCCCGGAGCCTCTGGCCTTTTGCAGCTAGAAGCAGGCTGACCTTTGACCCTTTCTGGAATTCCAGGGCCCTGCCCCCCCTCGCGAACTCCCACCACTTCCTCCATGACATAAGCACAATGGCAGCTGCTTTGCCTCTGGCCCAGATCTGCTGCTCCTCCCCCAGGGGCCACCCCCAGCTGCTGCTCCCCACTTGCTCTGCCCCAGGCCGGGGAGCCTGGATGCGGCCTGGGGTTCTGTCCCCACACTGAGCTTGGTTCCTCAGCCTTCTTCCGCTGCTCAAAAAATCCTCCCTCTTCCTGTTCACCTCCCGGCCTCCCTCCAGTCCTTGTGGCCCCCCACGCCGGCACGCACACAGCACAGACAGCTGGCCGGGCCCCTCGTTGCTGCCGCTGGTCCCTAAGGTGAGGGAGCCGGGGTGGTGGCCTGCCTCCTCCCTCTTAGCTGGAGGTAGAGGCCACGTTCACAGAATGGGTTTCTCCCCCCACTCTGAGACAGTAAGTTTTGTCCCACTTTCTGGCGGTTTCTGTGAGAGGAGCTAGTGACCAGGGCCCGTGTGCCGGGGGCTGGGGCCTGGGCCCCGCCCCTCCTGGCCCCGTGGTTCTGAAGCAGTGCCTGGGCCAGAGGGCAGAGGGCAGAGGGCACAGGCGGGCCGGGGTCTGGGGGCCTGGGGACCCAGCCAGCTTCTGTGGCAGGTCGTTCGACCTCTCTGTCTTCCCTCCTGTGCCAGGGTGTGGGGCTGCGGCCCCCGTGGGCTGGGTTTGGGGAGCAGGACCCCCCCCCCAACCCAGTGCTCTTGTCGACTGCCCCACACACAGGGCTGCTGGGAATTGCCCTGGGGGTGGGGGGTTGTCAGCTGGCTCTTATTGTCTCTCTCCGAAGTGCCAAGATGCCTTTTTCAGTCCAAAGCACTGAAAGTTGGAGAAAACGGACCTTGGACCCTTCTCAGGCTTGTGTTCCATTTCCTCGCTCTTCTTCTTCCGAGCGGGGACGTGGGCTGGGCGTCCTCCGGTGATCTGGAGGGTTCTTCTTGCCTCTGGTCCCAGCCCACCCCCTGGGCCAAGCGACGTCCCTTGGCTGCCTCCCTTGGTGACTTCTTCCTCGGGGGTTTGGGCTGCCTCCCCCCCTCCCCCTCTCTGTCTCTCTCTTACACTCTCGCTTTCATTCTCATTATTTGGTGGGTCCGGCTGTCATGGAGTGGGTGGGGGCTTTGGATGGGAGGGGGTGGTCAGGAAGAGGTAGGAAGCCTTGCCCTTCCCCACAGACCAGGAGTTGCTCGCTCTCTCTGAGGCTGCACCTCCTCCGGGGTCCTGGGACACCTTTAGGCTGGAGCAGGTCCGAGCCTCCAGAGGTGCCCAGGGGTCCCCCGGAGGCCTGAGCAGGCCTCGGCAGGGTGCCGCGCAGCCGGCCCTCACCTCTGCTCTTCCCTCCCCCCTCACAGTGCCTGGAGAAGTTCCCCGTGATCCAGCACTTCAAGTTCGGGAGCCTGCTGCCCATCCAGCCCGTCTCCCTGTGCTAGGGGGGCCGAGCGGCCCGTGCCACCCCGGCCGCAGCTCCTGTGCCTGCCCTTCCTGACCCCCGTCGTGGCCCCCCCTGCCCCCTCCCTCTGTTCTTTCTGTTCGATGAGAGGCTGTTTACTGGGGCGGGTGGTGAGTGCGGGGTCACGAGAGGCTCAGGGCACACGGCCGAAGGACCCGAGGGGGGAGAAGTGACCAAAGTGCGGCCGGTTGGCTGACTTCTGCCGTGGTGGGCGGTGGAGAAGAGAGGGGCCGGGACAGGGTCCTCGGGCCCTGCCCCGCTCCTGGCCCTCCTCCCCTCCCTCTGGCCAGTCCCGTCCTGAGGCCCGGGCTGCCTTGCACCACTGTGGGGAGGGGAGGTGCTTGGCCGATTCTGTTGCTTTCTTGGGGGTGGGTCAGTGGACGGGTGGGTCAGTTTCCCAGCCGCGTCTGGGTGGGTGTCTGGGGGCGGAGGGCTGAAGGCTGAGGGGGGGCCAGCCTGGGGTGGGGCAGGCTGGGAGAGGCGCTGGCTGTCCAGTGACCCTCCCAGCTCCTCCTCACGGCTGCCCCTGGGCCTCGGAGCGCTGTGTCCAGTGCCTCCTCCTCCTGGCTGTTCTGTTCTCTGGGCCTTGGCTTCTCGGGTCTTCTGCCACGGCCACACCTGTCCCCACCCCAGAGTAGCCTCTGGAAGCTGCCCTTCCAAAGCTGTCTCTGGCCAGGAGCAGGTGGCAGAGCCTGGACAGGCCTCGGGGCCTGTTGTGGTTCCCCAACCACAGCCTGGGTTCCCCTCGGTACACTCTCGTGGCCACCTCTGTCTCCTCACTGCTGCTTTCCCAAGGCTCTGAGCCCCGCGTCCCCGCCTGCCCAGGCACCGGGTCCAGAAAGCCCACCCCCTCGTCCTCCTGCCTCCCTGAACTCACCTGCTGGTGTCCGGGGTGGGGGGGGGGGGTGGTCGCCCAGGCTTGGGCCCTGGCTCTGAGGACGGACAGGACCACCCGGGAGCGAGGGGCTACTGGTAGCAGCACGTCAATGCCAGAGTTTTCTTCCAGGGCCGCCCCTGGGCCCGACTCCTGCAGACTGTCCCCTGCAGACCATCCCCTGCAGACCATCCCCTGCCCACGCCCAGGCCTGCCCCTCTCCGCCAGCCACTCCTCCCGTCTGGGTCCACATCCCCTGCCCCCCCGGGACAGGTGTGCCACAGGAAGCACCCCTTTCTCTGAGCCCCGAGGGGCTTAACCCTTGGACCTGGGCCGAGGCTGGGACGGCAGTCGCGAGAGTCCGAGAGAGAGTTTCCTGAGCAGAGGCTCTGTCAGGGCCCGGCTCCCTCCCAGGGCCCAGACCACCGCCTTCCCGGCCCCCCCCCCCCGCCCCTCCCTCCCGTGCCTTTGCAGGCCCCACTCAGCCCCTCTGCGCCTTCGTTGCTGTTTGGATTAAAGCCTCTGTTTTGCACCTGTCACCTGTGTCTTTTCGTGCCGCGTGCTTGTTCCGTCTTCACAGGACGGTGCGTCGCCCCATCAGGTCCCCGCCCCCTGGCCACGGGAAGGCTCACCCCGCTGGGCGTGTCAGGGTTGCCCAGGCGGATTGAGCAGAGACTTGGGTTCAAAACCCGGCTGGCTCTGCCCCCAGCTGTAAGGTCTCAGTAGGTGACTGAGTCTGCGCCTGGCACGCAGGGTGTGAAGTCCTTACCCCGGCCCAGTGCTCGCTGGGGCCTCCTCGGTGAAGAGCCTCTTAGGAGGCCTGGTCAGCTCCACGCCGCCTGGGGGGCGGGGCCTGGTCTCGGCTAGGGAGCATGCCCTGTGGTTTTTCAGGGGGTGCCCTCCGTTCCCCCGCCGCCCCTTGGTCTCTGTGGTGGCGGAGTCCGGAGTCTCGGGGGCTGCCGTGCCGGAGGCCTCGGTCACTTCTGTAAACTCCTCTGCTCCTGGGCTTCTGTCTTCAGATGAGTCTTCTCAGAGAATGAGAACCCTGGTCCTTCCTCCTGGCCTTCGAGGCCTCACAGGCTCCGAGAGCCGCTGGCCGGGAGCCCTGCCTCTGGAGTCGGGCCGCCCTCGGCCCGCTGACTGCGCCTCTGAGCCTCAGCCTCCGGACCTGCGAGGCGGGCACCGGCTCGCTCGCACCGCCGGCTGTGGGCACACTCGTCTCCCAGTCGGTGGCCGCGCCTCCTCGTTCTCGTGCGGCGGCGGCGGCGCAGCGAGTTCCCGACAGCAGACTGCTGGGCAGTGGCGTGTGTTATCAGGAGAAGAACCGCAACTAGTCAGGGTGGCGGCAGCGGGGCGGGGGGGCGGCTACTTGAGCTACAAGGATCGGGAAAGTCACCTGCAAGGACAAGAGAGATGAGGCCGGAGGGGAGCCCCCAGAGAGCCCGCTGCAGGGCTGCGTGGCGGGATCCCGGTGGGGCCAGGCAGGGAGGGGAGGACAGGACGGGGCTCCTGGGGGTGGGGGTTCGGGGTGGCGAACAGAGGTCCCTGGAGCTGGGCAGGCCGCCGCAGAGCCAGGCTCTTTGTCTCGACCCTCCCTCCCTCCCTCCCAGGAGCCTGCTGGGAAGGGAGCGGAGACCAGAGCCGGGGGCGGGTGGGGGCCGGAGGTCAGGAAGGCTTTCGAAGGGAGAGAGGTTCGGCCGTTCGCCTGCCGCGTTCTGTGTGCTGGGAGGGGTCCACGTGGGGGAAGGCTGCCACACGGGCCGGAGGGGGCGAGGGGACGATGGGAGCGTGGCCTCGGAAGGGTACCAGGCCGCCTGTCCATCGTCGGGGGTGGGGGCGGGCCCTCAGCCCCTGTTTGGGGCCCCGTCGTTCTGGGTCCACTTCTTCGGAGGAGCGAGGAGCGTGTGGCGAGGCCAGGTGCTGTCCCTGGTACTGGGGGGGAGGGGCAGCGGGCCCCTGAGGACGTGGGCAAGGGCTTCAGGGAGGGGAGCCTGCTGAGGAGCTGGGAGGTGACAGTGCGGAGTCGCACCTCCTGCTGCCCGCGCTCCACTCCGTGGAGGGCGGCTGCGCTGCCGCGCTGCCCAGGGTGCCGGCGGGTCCACGGGGCACCCGAGAGCGGGCCCGGGCCCTGGAGCTGGAGGGTGCTGTCGGCCTCGCACCATCCTGGGCCGGAGGGGCCCCGCGGACAAGGTGAACTCCAGCTGTGCCCCCTCCTGGCTTGCGGGCCCAGGCCCCTCCCTGCTCTTTCGGCTGAGAGCGGAGGAGCCTCTTCCAGGAGGAGAAACCCCCCAGCAGGAAGGCGCTGGGATGGGGGGGGCGGGGGCGGAGGGGGCCGGGGGTGCACAGCACCACACCCAGGCCGGGGAGCCACCAGGGTCGGACACATGCCGCACACTGGGGACACAAACATGAAAGGGGGTCCTGTGTTCAAGACACTGCCAGCCTGCCAGCCGTGCGTGGGCCAGCCGTGGGGGGCGGGGATGAGGGACTCCGGGTGCGCAGGGGGCCTCCTAGAGCAGTCCCGAGGGCACTGGGGTTGAGGCGGCAGTGCAGTGGGCTGGGGGGCGATGAGGGAAAGGTCAGGGTGCAGAGGAGAAAGGGCGGAGGAAAGAGCAGGGCCCCAGGAGGGCTGTCAGCCCGGCTTTGGGGAACCTGGGTGCAGCTGCAGGCTGAGGACCCGGACTCTTCATGGGGACACAGAGGGCTGGAGAGACCCGGTGGGGGCGGAGCTGGAGGCCACACTGTGTGGCCTGTGTCGGGTCACTCATCGGGTCACTCATCGCTCATCCGCTGGAGCCCTGTGCCGGCCCGAGATGCATGGTGGGCGGGCAGAGGCCTCCCCTGCCCCCCGCCCCCCGCCCGTGCGCACAGGACGTATCCTGATGAGGCAGCAGCATCCTCTGTGCACTGACAGTGGGGGCTGCCAGAGGCCGGAGGGGGCAGCCGTCAGAGGGGCCGTCGGACAACGGAGAGACAGCGACCCAGGGAGGTGCAGCCTCTTCTGCAGAAAGCGAAACCTACATTTTCGATCTGGTTTTCTCCCTGTCCACCTACAAAGACCAGACGGCAGTTTTGCCAGGTGGCGACGCGGCTATCTCTTGGTGGTGGGACGGGAGGATTTGGGGGAACCCCTTCTTGCGTCCCCTGTTCCTGAAAGGTGGCAGCGACCGTGTTTGGCGTCACCGAACCACAGAAGAGAGTGAGTGCGGGCGAGTTTGACCTTTGCGTTGCTCATGTTTGATTTTCAAGTCTTTCCGTGTCCACATCTTGTGGTGAGAGAACATAAACTGACCATAACAACTGCCCCCCTGGAGCCTGGCGTGCCTGTGGCGGGGCGGCTGCTCAGACACATCAGAGCAGGGGCGGGGACAGGGGCGGGGGCGGGGACGGGGAGGCGGGCTCTCGCCCACAGGTGTGACTCTGGGGCTCCTGGAGAGGGGGGCGGGCAGGTGGCCCGGGGTCAGAGCCGCTGGGGACCCAGTGACGAGGACAGCCAGCGGTTCCCAGTGGCCACGGACAGTCTCCCTGGCCTGGCAGCGACCTCTGGGACCCGGCCCCTGCTTTCAGGACCCCCGTGGGCACGGGCTGGGCCCAGAATTAAATCCCAGAGCGAGGAGCCCCAGGTTCTGCCTGGGGCCTGGGTTGCAGGTGGTGACAGACCAAGGGACAAGTGGTCCCACTGTCCCCAATGCCTGCAGCACTGTGGGGGGCGCTTTCCCAGGCCCCAGGGAAGGGGGTGCCGCTGGTGGGCCCTGCTTCATCCACCCCCGTCCTCGGGCGCTGTGCCCAGGGGTGTTGAGGGTGCTGTGCCCAGCACAAGGGTCACCCGGGACAGCACAAGGGAACACAGTCGTGGGAAGGGCCTGGGAGTCCGGCAGACCTGTGTGACCCCGGACCAGGGGCTTCACCCCCCTGAGCTGGAGGGTCCGCGGAGCCTGGCACGGAGGCGGAGCCGCAGGAGCAGGACCAAGCGGGAGGCCTGTCCTCTGGCAGGGCAGCAGGCCGGGTCCCTGGTGCTGGTCTCCGTGACCCCGCCTGTGGTCATCACTGCAGGACGTTAGCACCTCTCCAGCTGGACCTTCGCTGGACCTGCGGACAGATGTCTGGCTGTGGGCAGAGCTCCGTTCCCTTCGCATTCACTCGGGGCTGGGTGGGCCTCTTCAGGAGGGCACTTCTGGTGTCCTCGTGGTGTGGACACCTCGTCCCCAGATAGCCGGGGTCCGGCCGAGGGTGGGAGGCCGCAGGCGGGCCGGCCTGCTTGGCCCTCTACTTGGGGACATTTGGGTTGGCTCTGCCGCCTGGACAGACCTCTGCGAGGGGTGGGGGCTCTGCGCTCAGCTCACGTGCTTGCCCTGTGTGACCTTGAGCAAGCTGCTTGCCCGGCCCAAGCCTCAGCTCCCCCACGTGGGGGTTGGGGGTGGGCAAACACAGCCTTCTGGGGGCGTGGCGTGACCCCCTGAAGGGAAGCACATCGCCTGCACAGTCTCACCCTGTGGGTGGGCGGGCGGTCCCCGAGGCACAGAGGTGAGGACTCACTGGGAAGAAAGGGCTGTCGGGACCCAGCATGGGCATTCTAACCGCTGAGCTAAAAACGGCCTTTAGTTCCTTACGGAGGTTTCAGAAGAGCATGCGGGGGCCTGCAGGGAGTGAGGGGCCCAGTGGGGGGCAGGGGTGAGGGTCTTCAGGGCGAGGATCCCTCGGGAGGCTACAGGGTGATTGTCCCGTTGCTGCTGGCTGCTGCCGCCGGCCCAGGCTGGACCCTGCTGGCCCGGGGAGTCCTCCTGGCTGAATGAGCTCCTTTAGGAGCAGCTCCTCCCCCAATCCTTGCCTGTTCCTCCCCACCCCCCACTGTGTGCCACCCATGTCCCAGGGCCCCGAAGCCGCCTGCACCCTGACCCCTGGGAGTTCCCCAGAGACCTCGGAGCTGGTGGCTCCCGAGCCCAGCCCGTGCATCTGGCCTTGAGGGAAGCACTA